TATGATAAATATAGATCCAGCTATAGTTCCAAGCTAGTTACTAGATAGAAAGATAAATAGCTTGATTAACGTAGATATTATGATAAATATGTACAACTAGTTGCTACTAGTTTGATTGCAAGATAGGCAAACATTTGTTAGTTGTGATTTAAGATTCAAGTTTGTTCAATCTTTAGCTGACATGTGGCCCAACATGAGGTTTAATCTCATTATAAGAAAACAACATTTTTAAAAAATATTTGTGAGATTTTTGAAAAAAAAACATTTTTTAAGAATTTGTGAATTGTGACTAAATTTTATATGTTTTATTTTTCTTAGGTTACAAATTTTTCTTTTGTATTCAGCATGTGTCATAGTATCAGGAAGGTAGTATTTAAAATTAATATTTCATTTATATTTATTTTACTATACTTCACGTTCATAAAAAAACATTAAAGTTTCATACAATATAACATTAAACCATTGCAATTAACATTGAAGGTTTTTTAACAAAAAAAAAGCACATCATGTTACCAATTTGTAATAAAAGATTAATTATTCAGGACGTTTACAATAGAAGTAGATGAAGCAGACTTTGAAACCGATGAGAATCAGTTTCTATTTGAGAATGAGAATGGCTCCAAATCAGCTGATGCGAAGGATAAAACCGGTTTCATAGACCAGGGTTCCCCTTTGCTGTCGACTTCAAAACAGGCAATTTTGTTAAGGCATTTTATCACAAAATAATGTGTGTATCTTATTATTACTGAAAACTTTTTGCGCCGATTTAGTGTTGATTATAATGAACAAATTGTGTTAAAGTCAATTTTAAAAAGCGCAATTTAAATTCTATAATGTAAAGTTAAATTCTTTATTTCAAATGAAAAGATGAAAAAATAAAATGATAAAAAACTTTTTTTTAAGGTTTTTCAATCAATCGAAGATAAATCCGCGGAAGTGCGCCACAGAACTCAGTCATTGTTCCGGAATCTCTTCAAAACTTTAAACTCAACAGCTGGTAAAAGCTTCAATGTTTCAAAATAAAATTATTTTCGAAAATGCTTTGTATAGAATAATAAACAAAAATAGTTACTTTACTTGACCCCTTGTCAAATGTCACGTATTTAGATGAATTTTATGAATTTTCATTCATTCTTCCACAAGTTTCTGTATTAAAAAGTCATGGAACACTCGCCACAATTCTAATTTTCTCTTTTCCTTAGAACCATGTTGTCATAGTCATTAATTCTATTAGATCAAATAGTCTTCAAAGATAAATGATTGTAAAATAAGAGTTGAAGAGTTGAAAGCCAGTGTTAAGTTCCTTACTTTCTTATTTACCATAAAATCTATTTACCATAAAATCTGCAACTATTTCATCTATTTACCAGCTTCATGTCCCTGTAAAACACTCTTACTATCTTCACTTGGTCCAGCTTCACAAAAACAGTCTGCTACACTTGGACTCTATTCGGTTAGTATCTACTATTAACACTATACTAGGGTTTTTTGTGTTTAATATACAAATTCTACTGGGGTTTATTGTATTCAGTATCTACACTCTACAGGGGTTTATTGTATTTAGTATCTACAATCTACAGGGGTTTATTGTGTTTAGTATATACACTCTACAGAGGTTTATTGTATTTAGTTTATACATTCTACAGGGGTTTATTGTATTTAGTATATAAACTCTACAGGGGTTTATTGTATTTAGTATCTTCACTCTACAGGGGTTTTATTGTGTTTAGTATATACACTCTACAGGGATTTAGTTTGGTTAGTATGTACACTCTACAGGGGTTTATTATATTTAGTATCTACACTCTATAGGGGTTTATTGTATTTAGTATATACACTCTACAGGGATTTAGTTTGGTTAGTATGTACACTCTACAGGGGTTTATTGTGTTTAGTATATCAACTCTACAGGGGTATATTGTGTTTAGTATATACACTCTACAGGGGTTTATTGTGTTTAGTATATACACTTTCTACAGGGGTTTAGTTTGGTTAATATATACACTCTACAGGAGTTTAGTTTGGTTAGTATCTACATTCTACAGGGGTTTAGTTTGGTTAGTATCTACCTACACTCTACAAGGATTTAGTTTGGTTAGTATGTACACTCTACAGGGGTTTAGTTTAGTTAGTATCTACACTCTACAGGGGTTTAGTTTGGTTAGTATATACACTCTACAGGGGTTTAGGTTGGTTAGTATATACACTCTACAAGGGTTTAGTTTGGTTAATATATACACTCTACAGGGGTTTAGTTTAGTTAGTATCTACAATCTACAGGGGTTTAGTTTGGTTAAAATATACACTCTACAGGGGTTTAGTTTGGTTAGTATCTACATTCTACAGGGGTTTAGTTTGGTTAGTATCTACACTCTACAGGGATTTAGTTTGGTTAGTATGTACACTCTACAGGGGTTTAGTTTAGTTAGTATCTACACTCTACAAGGAATTGGTTTAGTAAGTATCTACAATCTACAGGGGTTTAGGGGCCTAGAGATGGGCTTCGTTTTTTGAGCAAACGAAATTTTTAAGAAGAAACATAATATGGTGTGAAAAATGGTGTCGTTCAGAAAAAAAAACAATGGATAAATGAAATGGACCGTTCAGAGAAATAAAAAAATGAATGTTTTTTTAAAACAAATGAAAAAACTAATGATTTAAATTTGTTCGAACAAACTTTTTACTGAACGAACGATTTTTGAGACAAACTTGTTAAAAAACAATCGTTTTTTTCCTGAACTAACTATTTAATAAACAAATAATTTTAATTTACGAACAATTTTACTGAACGATAATTTTGAGTACAAACGAAATAAATTGTTTTGAATGATTGAAAAAAAAACTGGCAAAATGGGTCGTTCAAAAACGATGAACGAACGAAATGAAAAAATATGGAACGTGCTCATCTCTAATGGAACCTGTGGTTAAAGTAAAATTTCCGTAAATTATCGTAAATACTAATAATAAAACTCCAGACACCCTGACTAAAAGTATTTTTAGAGTTTATAAAGAAATTAACGCCAATTATATCGTGAACCCAATGTAATTGTTGGTTAAGTGGTTTCCCAATAAACCAATAAACCCGTCACTATAATAAAAATAAACTGAATTATCTTTTTCGAAGGAAAATATTGGTAAAATGTTAAGTACGTTTCATTCCAATTTATTTTCCATTAATGCGTGCAGAACTGTCAACGGGTAAAACATGAGTTCAAGTAGATTAAGTCATGGCACTCATGGGTTTGGGTTTCTTGTTAATCGGATACGATGTGGTAAAAATAATGGTTAAAAATAATTATTTTTTATAAAGTCTCAGAGAATAAATTCAACCATGACAAACAAACAAACAAACAAATATCTAAGATTTTCATCTTTTTCTTTCAATCGATTCGTTCTCTATTTGTATTACAATATTTTAATTGAAAACATTGTTCTCAGTACTTCAAAAAAATTGAGTCTTTGCCACAAACTCTGATGTTCAGACCATTTTATCTTTCCAAACCAATATCATAGACCTTGGATATTTCAAACTATGAATTCTGTCAGATCAAATAGATTAAATTTTAAATATCTTAGATCTACGGCATTGGAATCCAAAGATATGCGGATTAGAAAATTAGAGCTTGTGGAAAAAAACTCAATTTCTTTCAACACACATTTTTTATACAATATACTTTATCATCTCATTATAATATTTACATACAACATATTATTCTTGATTATTCTATTACAATGTTTAAATCCAATATCTATATCATTTTCGATTATTTCATGAAACTATCCAATTACAATTACAATTACAATTACAATTACAATTACAATTACAATTGCAATTAAAATTACAATTACAATTTCAATTACAATTACAATTACAGCTACAATTGCAATCTAAATCTTTTTGATGTCAAAGTAATTGATATTGTATATTTTGATATCAAAATACAGTTGTCGTTGTATATATAAATATAATGAAGACGACTTTCTGCTTTAATTTTCATGTTTACCAGGAGTTCAAACATCAGAAACGCTTAAACATTTAATCAAATAGAAGTTGTTAATCACTAGTTTCTCTTTAATTGTTGACATGTAAGCTTGTAATTTTAAAAATTCTTGTTAGGGATCAATGCATTATTAATAAAAAGTCGTCTTTATTGTATTGATATAATCACCGACCACTGTACAATAAATATTGTTTTGACATATAATTACCATATTGAAATACAATTTATTCAAACAAAGATAAAAAATGTATTATTTACACTGTACAGTACTACCAAGAGTACAACGGAAAACCGGTTTACTATGGTCCAACAAACCTTCATTCTTCAAATCGGTTATTCTTCTCTACTCAATACAACCTCTGGATGCTTGGAGATAAATTAGGTAAACCCATTCTAACCGGATTCTAACTATGGATACACAAGTTTACTTTTTAAATTAGATCCTCCAAATATTTCTATCTATCTTTAATTTACAGGTTTACTCACAAAAGATGAGACTTTATAGGTACAACTTTACGGATTTCTTAATTCTTTTTTCTTACGTTGATTATTCCCTGAAGTTGTACTGTACAATTTGTACACTTGTTTCTCTCTCTTATGAACTAAACTTTTTAAAAGAATATATTGGAGACAGAAAGTTAAATTCATCAATGAGATCGGTTACTTTAGAAGTTTCATGGGTATAGTCTCTAAAGTCACATTCTTGCGGGTAACCCTGTACAAAAATTATTTTTTTTCAGATGAACTTTTTTCAACAAATTCTTGAAACATGTTACAGAAATGTTGATTTTTTTAGGCAGCATGAATTCTCAAAGAGAATTAGGACTTTACCAAGAATCCGCTTTTTCTGCAAAAAAAACTTGACAGCGGAACTGAACGCGTATTCCTCAAACGCCTAGCATTTAATTTTAATTTTAATTCCTACACGTACATCAGTGTAACCTGATGGTGCAAACCTTTGATTTTTCAAACTTCAGATATTTGTCTATACAGTATTCTCGGTATGAAATATAAAAAGGTTTACGATGTTGGGTTGAAAATAATTAGGAAAATGAATTTAAAGTTTGATGCAATCTTTTCTAAACCTTGTTTTGCTAGGAAGCAATGCTGGGTTTATCTACAGTGCTAACCCATCACAGTGTCCTTATTTGATTCCAGGTAAAAAAATATGATTTCTTTTTGCAAAAGAAAAAGAATATGTTTAAAGGGACTGAAGCTGTAATTTATCCTCCAGTTCTAGAAGGCCATGGCCCTGAGGCCTGATTCAAAGGTCTCTTTGAAAACTTTAACTAATCATGAATGAATGAGATATCCAAGATTTATTTGAAAAAAATTTGTTTATTTTCAATTGTGGTTTCTCTTTAACAGTGACTTGCAGAATTATTACTAAAGAAGCAATGACGAAAATTATGAAAATTGAACAATTTTAAGCTAGAAATACGAGGATATCTTCTACATTATTTAAGTGTTTAAAGGGTATTGTTGAAAATCAGGCACGCCCTCTTTAAATTCCCTTAAAAGTACAAAGTACAGTCCCTTTAAAGATTATTTATCTAGACGGATGGCAATATTTTGTACAGTCCCTTTGAAGGTTATTTATCTAGATGGATGGCAATATTTTGTACAGTCCCTTTAAAGATTATTTATCTAGACGGATGGCATTATTTTGTACAGTCCCTTTAAAGATTATTTATCTAGATGGATGGCAATATTTTGTACAGTCCCTTTAAAGATTATTTATCTAGACGGATGGCATTATTTTGTACAGTCCCTTTAAAGATTATTTATCTAGACGGATGGCAATATTTTGATGGAAATACTCATCAGTGGTACTACGATACAACTCTTGTTCTTAGGTATTCATAGCAATAATTTCAAGTTCAATTTAACGAGGAATTAATATCCTTGCTTCTAGGTGTATCCCTGCTTGAGAAATGGTGAAATGGTTGAATCTACTCTGGTCTGATTAGCTTTTGATGATTAAATATATTTAAACAGAAATGATATTTTGTTGGTAAAATATTTGATACTAAAATGTATAAAGAAAAGTAGACCTTCATTGACAATCGAAAAACTCGAAAATTTAGTTAGAAAGTAATTGAGTATTTGTCACAAACTCTAATTTTCAAATCCCTATATCTCTGCAACCCAATGTCGTAGACATTAGGTATTTCAAACTATGAACCCTGTTAGATTAAATATTCAAAGTTTGAAATAACTAACTTTTCACTATCAGGTTGCAAGGATATAGGGATACGAAAACTTAAGTCTGTGGCAAAGACTCAATTCCTTTATTAATTAAAAGCTACAGTGGCGGGCGTTAATATCAAACGTTGAATAAAGCTGAGTTAACTTAAGTTAACAGACTATAAGATGGAATATTTATTTTGAATTTTTTTCGAATTCTGAAAGGTACAAATTAGTTTTTCATTCTTCATAAACGTAGTCTTCTCCAGGCTGGGTCAAAACAATGTTCAAGATTTTTTAAAATTCAAAAACTCAAATGATGAAACAGTTTTACGACAAAAATTTTATTACAAATAATTAATCTTAAGAATGAACAAGGGATGTTAAACATAACCCGACTTTTATAATAATTGCAAAAGGCATGTCTCTTTAAACAGTATAGACATTGAAGAGAGCACAAAATTTTTTAAATCCATTAAAAACTAAAAAGAAATAAAATAATCCTTCTCTTATAAAACCATTTATACATGACTTTAAAATAATACCTATTTAAAACCGTCAGTGATCCTGTGTCAGAAGAATTCTATAATTCTCAAACCAAAAATATGCTATAATATTTACAAATAAAAGGTTGGTGAAATTCCCCTAAGTTGGGAACTCTAGTCTTGGATACTCAAAATACCGATCGTTTAATCTCGATACCCGATATCCACTGCGGGCAGTTTTAATGTAAGGATCTATATAAAATATACCTTTCCATGATCTTCATTTAGTTATTCCTCTCCTGATCAAAGCTCCCTTCAACCCCTGACTAGGATGCGGATAATCGAATAAAATTTAAATTAATCTGCAGATTAACAAAAGATTGAGATTAAGCATCGATCTCTAAATAAATAGTACAAGAGTACTGGTTTCTCATTGGTCATTCAGGTTCCTACGTGAAAATAAAAAGGGAAAATTTTTGCGTCAATAAAATAAATATTTGTTCACAGAATCAAAATGGAATGGATCAAACGCACTACTGCTACAGTGACCCAAGGTTTTAAATGTTTTTATTTTTAATTTTATACGATTGATTTCAGATCTGTGATGACATTGTATTCCTTGTATATATAGGGTTTCACCGTTGTCCCAGTATCAAGCTGAAAACATTTCTTTCTTCAAAATTGATTGTTTGAAGCGTTCACTAAATTTTTTGTTAGAAACGCAAAACGTTTTTAGAATTTATCTAAATTCTAAACATGATAAAATCCGGGGAAAATGTCTAAAAAGTGGTGAGGAGATTGTTTTTGTTAACATCCTATTATACGTTTTTCTTATTGCTTGACAATGACAAATCGTTGGAGTTTTCTGTTTAAGACAATTTCCATAAGCACAAGATCAAAACACTACGGCTAGGACACAGGGCAGGCAGCTGATTAGTTAGTTTGATTGAGTCATGGTGCTTTATAAAGGAATTGAGTTTTTGCAACAAATCCCAATTTTCTAATACCTATATATGTATACAACCAAGATATGTAAACCTTTGATATTTCAAACTTTGATTGTTTGATATAACAGAAGTCATAGTTTGAAATATCTAAGGTCTACATCATTGGGGTGTTAAGATATTGGGATAGAGTTATCAAGATATAGGGATAGAGTTTGTGGCAAAGACTCAATTACTTTAGACATAAAATCAAATGTATAAAAATCAATTAACTTAGATGTTTTGAAACTGGGTGATCTGAAACTGGCTTAAGATAATCTGTATTTGATTTGAACCTGCATATTCCAAGTTCCATGATCATTCTTCATTTTAGTTCCATCATCGTAGATACACTCCTGATAGGTCAGATTACCTGCACAATCACGCAGGGGCTGTAATTTCAAGTGACATGTTCGATTTACAATGGTACGCTTAAAGCTTTTGTCTAATCAAGGATGCATTTCACATAAATGTCGTTATTATAATCTTATATTTCACATTATATGTCGTTATTATAATCTAAAAGAATTGATTATTTTCATTTTTCAATTGTTGGTTTTCTATGAAAGTGACAAGCGCATATTTGCTTTAGAAAATGTAAGAAATTAACAGAATTCAACACTTTATAGATATAAAAATGACGAAAACTTTTATAGTTTATGAAACAGTTAACTCTGCCTTACAATCTAAATTAGACAGGGGAAAAAATTGGCTCTGCAAAAATTCCATCACAGACTATGCAGAAAAAATGTTTCAACAAGCCACATTAGAGAACTATGGTGAAGCAGAAATGCCTGAGTGGGAAGAACAAGCTTCCAAACATCAATGCTATATAAAAATGAAAACAACTGTCAGTGAAAAAGTATCTTTTGAAAACGAAACTTTCTGGAGAGAACATACAGAAACACTTATAAAACAAGGACATTTTCTCTGCCTGGCAATGCTTGAAAAATCTGACATGATCTGGAAATCTTACATGTTCAATCTGAAGAAAGGTACACTGAAATTCCTACTCAACTCCTGTTTGGACACCCTGCCAACACAAACTAACCTTCTACAATGGGGAAAATTTGCTTTGCTATGTTTACAGGTAGGCGCTGAATTGCAAGGTAGAAGACAAGAAACTACAAACCATATTTTGAATGGCTGCAAGGTTAATGGAGGAAAAGATGGATATTTTTGAGCTTACTTACAGACTAAAAACATAGAAAATAGAAATAAAAATTTAAGGTCAATAGGTTCAGTGGTTCCTGAGTTCGAACATTCAATCAAACAAACAGAGATTATTACTTTATATATATATATAGATACCTGAAGCAGTTGTACTTGTTTCTTCATTGACATTATAGGTCATATCTCTAGACAGGTGAAGTAAGACATAAATGTATCTATATTCTTTTAATGGGAGTGACCGGCAATGTATGGTAATTGAACAGAGAATGTAATAGAATGATTTTTAACGTCGAGTTTGCGCTCAAACTCAGTAGTTATACATCATTAAAACGTGTTATATCATTATATGTCTTAAATGAATCCTAAAGAATTTCTCTACAATACTACATTCTCAGTTCAACTTCCATACATTGCCGTTCACTCTCTTTATTAAAATATTTTTAATTACTTACTTACAGTGAATCCTGGTAGAAAGGAATTCCAGTGAAAACTGTGCAGAAAGTCCAGGTTTAGGCGGCTAAATAAATTGTGTTCATGATTATAAAAAATCTTTTAACATTTTTTATGCTTAATTTAGAAATCAAAGTTTAAATAAACAAGAAATTTTTAGGTTTAATTTTTCCCTTTGAATTTAGAGGATTTTGATTTTAAAGAAAGACTATATAGCTAAGCGAATTCAAAGGTTTGTTTTACACAATAATTATTCAAAAATAAGATTTTTAAATTTTTTTTGAAATATCTCAAAATGTAAGTTTGTCAGTGTAAAAAATACGTGTAAGTCTAAAACGAAGTATGCGTATATCAAAAAATCAAAAAAAGTATACATACTTACTAAACTTTTTATGACAATATCACCCAGTGGGTACATGGAACCTAAAAATAATTATTCTAAATATCTAAAAAAGATTTCCTTAATGACAAAAAACAAATTCCTTTTTACGAAATTATGTTTATTAATATTAAAAAGTTCAATGGACTTGGATTTTGGAACATGAGAGGGGAAGTTTTGGAAATCTAACTAAACAACTTTTTTCGAGGCACAACACAATATTGTATTTGAAATAAACATTGATTTTTTAAACATTAGATTATTTTTTCATATCTTTCTAATTTTTATTTTTTTAAATTTTTTAATTAATCAAGAATATCTTAAATCTTTATATTAATTTAGGATTTTACTTCACCTTTTCCAGACCACTCCCCTGGAGTTTTGTTGAAGGAAAAATAGTATTTTTCTGGAACTGCAACTTTTAAGCAAACCAAACATTACGGTACAGAACGTGTTTACTATATACAGAGACGGAAACGTAAGAGAGTATTAATTGTTAAACCAAACTCCCGAGTTTCCTTTTTATGTATATAAGCAATTGCGTAGATTCAACAAAAAGAGAGTGCAAAGAAACCACATGAAATAATATTTCTACAAATATATCTACACAACTGCCTGACCCCATTCATGAAACCGAGAATTCGATACTGGGTTTCATTGCCCTGTTTTAAGTTTCGGGCTCAGTGTAAACTGTACTGTCTACCCAAGGTTATAATGTACGCAGAGTATACGCAACTGCAATTAACTTTCCTTGCATTATAACCTTGTGTCTACCTAACTAACCTTACAGTAAAGTTTACAGCGTTAAGTTTTACTTTTTACGGGGACAGGTTAAAATTGCCGGGAAATTTTTCTTTTTTGGCAATTTGCTAAAAAAATAACTTTAACATAAAAAAGAAATACGAAATTTTGAAACCTTTATTTTTGGTCATTATGGTACACGATAATATTTGTATCTATAATCTCATTTTGGTAAAGTGTGTTTAAAATAAGACATAAAGTGTGTCCCATAAATCAAGACAGTTTCAACGGTATAAACAAACAAAATACTTTGTGTGAGAAGGCTCAATTACAGTGCAGTGTAACCCACAAAGGATGATACTTCAGAGACGAATTTTCAGAATACATTCTGTCATTTTACATTTTACATTCATTGCATTCTGTCATTTTACATTTTACATTCATTGCTTTCTGTCATTTTACATGTTACATTCACTGTTCCCTGCAGTCATTTTACATATTACATTCACTGTTCCCTGCAGTCATTTTACATGTTACATTCATTGTTCCCTGTCGCAGTAAAGTTGTTTCTTTCACTTTCAAATCGTTTAGTATACGAGACCTTTAAAGAATATTTTGTAGACAAAAAGCCAAATTTTAATTACAAATCTGCAAATTTAGGAGTTTCAGGTCGTCATTAAAGTCTCATCCTTTGTGGGTAACCCTGTAGTCCGAACACTTTATAGTTTTGAAATGTTACGTTAATAGGCTACTAGAGTATTATATGATTCATTCATTGTTTTTAAACATAAGAGTTAACAAAATTATATAAAGAGATTTATAGAAGTTATTAGATGATTCTATAAGAGTTTTCACATATTGAATTCTAGATCAGATTCAAAATAATTATATTTTCTAAAATGTTTGTTGCCTAAAGGTTGTTCCCAGTATCCGGTCCATGGTTCAAATTCTCCTGAAGATAGAAAAATATTAAAACACACTATAAGGGAGGTCGATTTTTAAAAAAAAATTTCGAAATTTTTATTGCTTCAACCGGATTTATATGGAGCATAAAAATTTAAACAACTTTGATAAAAAAATGTTATTTAGAATTAATTTTAGCATGACTAATTTGACTTTTAAGAATTTTGTTTAAAAACCCACTAGCAAAAAAAGATCTAAAGATCCGCCTTAGTCCGCTGATTTTCGATATTTTCAAAATTGGTTGAGTTATTGCCCAAAAACGGGCTCTTTTCGGACTCTAACAAATTTTCTGTCTTAAAACCGTTTTCGTCACTAACTTTTTTTTATGAACTGATTTGATGTTTTACATGTGTTTAATTCTGTGTTCCATGATGGATATTTTGATATTAAAGTCATAATTTGACCAACAATTTTCTCGCTTGCATTTATAGTCACGTTGATCAATTTTATCAGAATAAAAACCGGTTTTTGTCCAGTAATACGGACTTGAGAGAAAACCGGTTTTTGCCCAGTAATACGGACTTGAAAGAAAAACGTTTTTTCTCAAAGATGTTTTAATAACCAATATGTATGTTATTCTGGGTAAAGCAAATAGTATTTTTAAAATCGACATCCACTACTATAGTACACCACACCTTACAAAGAAAACACCAAAAATTGTATTGTTATGGTTTCATCGGTGTAATACATTGTGCTAGGGTTGGGAACTTTTTTGATAACATACAACATACAGTAAGAACCAGAAAACTCTGCAATATGAAGACGACTTTTAGACTCAAGCTATGACTTTAAGTAGTCCAATGAACAAGGTACCCTGCAGCGCCATTGTTAAGTGTCAGACCCATTTCACTAAATTAGTGCTTTGATTTAGGGTCAAACGACAAAGGGTCAAAATCGCGACCAAGGGTAATTTAGGGTAAAACGACATAGGGTCAAAAAGTGCAAGAAACGGGCAATTGTTTTGAGAGACAGCACATTATTTAACATTTAAGAGACAGCGCTCGGTTCAGAATTTTTCTGGACATAACCTAGCCCAGAATAAGGTGAGAGACAGACAATTATTTCACATTTTAAAGAAAAAAATAAAATAAATATTTTTAACATTTTGACCCTTTGTCGTTTTACTCTTTGTCGTGTTTTTGACCGATTGTCGTTGTACCCTATCTCGTTTGACCCTAGGCCGTTTTACCTATAGGTCGTTTGACCCTATGTCAGTGAACCCATAGAAACACAGAGAAGCTTTTTAGTTTAATAGCTTCTCTTGTTTACTTGTAAACTTGTAATTAAAAAAAAATCTTGTTAGAAATCAAAACTTGAATCGAAATTTCATCCTTTTTGTTTTGATATAAACGCAGAGCACTGTAGGTTAAACTATGATCAAAAGTTGGGATGAGTACTGAACTGTTAAATCTTGTTGGGATGAGTACTGAACTGTTAAATCTTGATGGGATGAGTACTGAACTGTTAAATCTTGTTGGGATGAGTACTGAACTGTTAAATCTTGATGGGATGAGTACTGAACTGTTAAATCTTGTTGGGATGAGTACTGAACTGTTAAATCTTGTTGGGATGAGTACTGAACTGTTAAATCTCCGCGTGCCATGAAGGGTGAGACTTTAGAACGGAACCTTGCTTGGTAAATCTTTAAGTTTATCCAAAGCAGGAGACCAAATTCAACTTTAAGATTATAATATTTAAATAGTTTCAGGTCGCCATTAAAGTCTTATCCTTTGATGATTAGCCCTGTATGATAATACATAATAATTACCATCAGTTTGAATACGTTATGGTGGAGTGGATTTTCGTTCTTGCTTGGTAGAATTCTGGTCTAGCTTAATGGAATTCTGATCTAACTTGGTGGAATCCTGGTCTAGCTTAATGGAATTCCGCTTAAGCTTAGTGGAAATTTGATTCAGGCTCAACTTTGACTTAGCGGAATTTTGGCTCACCTTAGTGAAATTCTGATCGAGTTTGGTGGAATTTTGGTCTAGCTTAGTGGAATTCCTTCCTAGCGAAGTTGAATTTTCGTCTAGCTTAGTGAAATTCCGATTTAGCTGAATGGAATTCTGGCCTATTGTATAAGAATTCTGGTCTAGCTTAATGGATTTCTGGTCCAGATTACTGAAGTTTTGGTTTAGCTTAACGGATTTTTGGCCAAGTTTAGCCGTATGTCGGTTCAGCTTAGCGGACTTTTGGCCAAGTTTAGCCGTATGTCGGTTCAGCTTAGCGGAATTTTGGCCTAGTTTAGTGCTGTTTTGGTTCAGCTTAGTGGAATTCTGGCCTAGTTTAATGGTAGTTTGGTTCAGCTTAGCGGAATTTTGGCCTAGCTTAGTGATGTTTTGGTTCAGCTTAGCGGAATTTTGGCCTAGTTTAGTGACGTTTTGGTTCAGCTTAGCGGAATTTCGACCTAGTTTAGTGCCGTTTTGGTTCAGCTTAGTGGAATTCTGGCCTAGTTTAGTGCTGTTTTGGTTCAGCTTAGCGGAATTCTGGCCTAGTTTAGTGCTGTTTTGGTTCAGCTTAGTGGAATTCTGGCCTAGTTTAGTGCTGTTTTGGTTCAGCTTAGCGGAATTCTGGCCTAGTTTAGTGCTGTTTTGGTTCAGCTTAGTGGAATTCTGGCCTAGTTTAGTGCTGTTTTGGTTCAGCTTAGTGGAATTCTGGCCTAGTTTAGTGCTGTTTTGGTTCAGCTTAGCGGAATTCTGGCCTAGTTTAGTGCTGTTTTGGTTCAGCTTAGTGGAATTCTGGCCTAGTTCAGTGCTGTTTTGGTTCAGCTTAGCGGAATTTTGGCCTAAAATAGTAGAATTCTGACCTAGTTTTTTGGAATTATGTAATAAGGTAGCATTTAGACGCTGGGGATCATTCTGAACATTTTTAGACGCTGGGGATCATTCTGAACATTTTTAGACGCTGGGGATCATGCTGAATATTTTTAGACGCTGGGGATCATTCTGAATATTTTTAGACGCTGGGGATCATTCTGAATATTTTTAGACGCTGGGGATCATTCTGAATATTTTTAGACGCTGGGGATCATTCTGAATATTTTTAGACGCTGGGGATCATTCTGAATATTTTTAGACGCTGGGGATCATTCTGAATATTTTTAGACGCTGGGGATCATTCTGAATATTTTTAGACGCTGGGGATCATTCTGAATATTTTTAGACGCTGGGGATCATTCGGAATATTTTTAGACGCTGGGAATCATTCGGAATATTATTAGATTTTATCAAATTTTGTGAGACGGTCAAATTACTCAGATTATCTGAAGTCTCTAAAAGTGTTTCATAATCAAGTTCTGTGAAATTCTGTGATATGATGGCTTGCAACCAATCTGTCGAAGAGTTTTGAGCTGGCTTAGAGCTTAGATCTGATGTAGAGTTTTGTGCATGGTTTAGAGGTCTGATTTGATATTTAGTTCTGAGCTGGTTTAGAGCTCTGATCTGATAAAGAGTTCTGAGCTGGTTTAGAGCTTTGATCTGATAAAGAGTTCTGAGCTGGTTTAGAGCTCTGATCTGATATTGAGTTCTGAGCTGATTTAGAGCTCTGATCTGATAAAGAGTTCTGAGCTGGTTTAGAGCTCTGATCTGATAAAGAGTTCTGAGCTGGTTTAGAGCTCTGATCTGATAAAGAGTTCTGAGCTGGTTTAGAGCTCTGATCTGATAAAGAGTTCTGAGCTGGTTTAGAGTTCTGATCTGATGAAGAGCTCTGAGTTTGAGAAGAACTGTAAACTGTTTTAAAAGTTGATTCAGCTGGTTTATTAGATTGTCCAGTTAAAGGTATTACAGATACAGATGTATCAGAATAAAGACCTACAAAGGAACTGAATTTTTGCCACACACTTAAATTTTCTAATCCTTATATCTTTTCTAACTGATGGTGAAAATCTCTGATATTTTTAACTTAGAATATTTGATCTGACAGAATTCATAGTTCACTCATCGCTAACCCGCACTTTTCTTTCGGTCAGTGTACTCCAGATTACTGCAGAATGCACGGAAAGCTGAGTTTAGGGTGAGTTTGAAATATCAAAGGTCGAAAACATTGGGTTGCAAAGATATAATGATTAACAAATCAGAGTTTGTGGCCAAACTCAGTTTCCTTGGTTGTTAAGCAAGGCGCTGACATTCCTATAGGAACTGTGTACGTGATTTCAAGTACCCCTCCGTTTACAGAGTGGTATGTCCGATTCCCAATAGTACCCCTTAAAGGGACTGTGTACGTGATTTCAAGTACCCCTCCGTTTACAGAGTGGTATGTCCGATTCACAATAGTACCCCTTAAAGGGACTGTGTACGTGATTTCAAGTACCCCTCCGTTTATAGAGTGGTATGTCCGATTCACAATAGTACCCCTTAAAGGGACTGTGTACGTGATTTCAAGTACCCCTCCGTTTACAGAGTGGTATGTCCGATTCACAATAAGTACCCCTTAAATCTTAGAAATAGATTAATTGTCAGAACTCAGTCTTTTACAAATAAAAACTCAAATAAAACTATTTTCAGAAATCTATTCTAGACCTTCAGTAAATTATAATATATATATATATTTATATATATATTATGATTTATATATATTCAGTAAATTATATCATCATAAACTAATCTTAAATAAAAATTATGTTATGGTGTTTGCAGTATCTTAGACTCTCCTGTTGTATTTTCATAAACTTGGATAATCAACCCTAAGGATTAGATGTTTGGGGGAGAATACAGCATTAAACTGGAGAGCGGCGTGTGTAAGGGACTCCTCTTTACTTTTTATCAACATTCTCTAAGGATGCAGAGACAAACAACCTTTGAAATGACAATGTTTCTTTTTAACTTTTTCACCCCAAACGCAAAAGAGAAAAGGCAAAAGATTTATGTTTTATAGATCAAATTGTGATCGAAAGTCATAGCTTGCTGGGATAAGGAAGTTAAATCTGCGTGGAGGATGCAATTAAGTATTCAGATTACAGGTGAACTAGAAATAAGATCGCACTTTTAATGGGAACGTAAGCATAATTTCAGACGGACCTGTCCTTCAATGTAAAAATGGTAGTGCCGGATTCTCAACGGTTGAAACCTTTCTCTGATCAATAAAAATAGTGTGAATTATATTGTCGTTTTCAGAAACTAATGAAATATTTTTATGTCCCATTGGACCATGCAAAGAAGTTTTTCCTATTTTACAAGAACTATTGAATACAATGATAAATAATTTATAAACAATATAATAATAATTTAATAACTGAAATGATAAATTTTTCAATGATCAATGTCTCCTATTTTTGCATAATATTGCATATTTTTTCTTTCGTAAAACTATAGACATTGAAAATTATAAATATTTTTTTAAAAACTAGATATTTATTTTACGTATCATTATAGTTTACAAGATTGTTAATGTGGATTTAACACAAAACTTTCTTACATATAGTTGTAAATCATTCAGTTCGAGATTTAATTTTAACAGATTTATTTTCGTTTTTTCATGTCTGAATTGCTGGTAAATTTGTATTCAAGTATTGGTAAAGCAGCAGTTCCATAGAAAAAATCTACATTATATATAAAAATGATAGAGTTCTTTTATGAAAACTGACTGAAAGATACTACAAACACAGTGTGTGTTATCTCTTATTGGAAAATGCTACAATTATCAGTGTGTATGCTTTCGCATAAACATACACAAGAGCGAATTTCCTTTTTTACATTAAAGAAAATTATTTTGAGCTTCATAACGAGGAACATTATACGTTCTTCGTTAATATTGAGGCTACATTTTAAGCGAACATATGTTAATTCGTTATTATTGAGGCTTCATAAGCAAGGTGCAATAAGGAATAATTAAGAAGTACTCGAAGGAACGAAAAGCAATAAATGCGAACATTGATGGTTCGTCTTAATAATATTGAGACTTCATTAGCAAGGTGTCAGAAGGAACGTAATAATTAATTAAGAAAAAATATACTAAATACGAACATTGATGGTTCGTTAGTATCTTTTTAGCTAATAAGCAAATATGCCAGCAATTTAGTATTGAGGCAACATCTTTTATGAAATATAATAACTAGGATCATTTAGGTTCCCAGGTAACGTTTCATCTATGTAAACATGGATGGCCGACAGAAAGGGACAAACTCTTCGTTGTCCCCTTATCTTGTGACATCAAAAATTATAAATATTGATATCTTATTAAAGGGAGTGTTCGCAAACATGAAATGGGTTGTTGTATGCTATCGAATAAAATTCGACGATTATAGGTTGTAATATCTGAACGATTTGTTTGGAATTAAACTGATTTATTTACGATCTTCTTCGGTATGAGTCGTTCTTAACAATTTTCTCCTTACAGAAGTAACAGGCAGAAGTAAGATTAGTAGCGATCACCATCGATTATTTTTAGACGTAAGTCTATACCCCCTTTCATTTTTCACAAACACTTTCTTTAATGTCTGATAATTGATCAGACAAAGCATTTAAGGATGCTGTTGTGTAAATCAGGCATTGTCCACCCTAACCTAAGCTTTCGGTATGTACTGCAGATAACTACAGTACACTGACCGAAAATATAATTGGTTTTAGCGGAGGTGCCATCTTTGCATGAAGGATCACTTAGGATTACGCTTACATTCCCTTTCAGAATGCATAAGACGCAGAAGAGTGAAATATATAATAGCCAAGTTTACCTGTACTCTGCTGAAGTAATGATATGAATGTAACGAATATAATAATATATATACGGAACATGACACCCCTTCACAGTCACATCATAACACACAAGTAAACCGTACTCAGAGTATACAATATGTTTATTCTTTGAACATTCACTTCTGAAAACAAGGTTGTCATAATTTAAACGGCGAATTTATTTGTATTCTTTTTTTTAATTTGTTGTGATACGATCGATTTCAAACGAAATGATAATTAAACTTGTGAAAAACGTGGGGAAAAATTAAAGCTTATAAAGACGTATGCTCACATTGCGGAAGGTGAAAATAAAAAGAAAATAACTGAAATATGATACAGTTAAATATGCTACCCTGAACATTTAGACTTTTTATTACTTTAGATGCTTTTATTGATAATTGCTTTCATACTCTAAACTATTTTATGGTTTCTCTCTTCTTTGTTTTCTTATTCCTTTATCTTCTTTAGTTTCTCTCTTCTTTGTTTTCTTATTCCTTTATCTTCTTTAGTTTCTCTCTTCTTTGTTTTCTTATTCCTTTATCTTCTTTAGTTTCTCTATTCTTTTTTTTTCTTATTCCTTTATCTTCTTCAGTTTCTCTCTTCTTTGTTTTCTTATTCCTTTATCTTCTTTAGTTTCTCTCTTCTTTGTTTTCTTATTCCTTTTACCTTCTTTAGTTTCTCTCTTCTTTGTTTTCTGATTCCTTTACCTTCTTTAGTTTCTTTATTCTTTGTTTTCTTATTCCTTTACCTTCTTTAGTTTCTCTCTTCTTTGTTTTCTTATTCCTTTACCTTCTTTAGTTTCTCTATTCTTTGTTTTCTTATTCCTTTACCTTCTTTAGTTTCTCTCTTCTTTGTTTTCTTATTCCTTTACCTTCTTTAGTTTCTCTCTTCTTGGTTTTCTTATTCCTTTACCTTCTTTACTTTCTCTCTTCTTTGTTTTCTGATTCCTTTACCTTCTTTACTTTCTCTCTTCTTTGTGTTTCTTATTCCTTTACCTTCTTTAGTTTCTCTCTTCTTTGTTTTAATATTCCTTTACGTTCTTTAGTTTCTCTCTTCTTTGTTTTCTTATTCCTTTACCTTCTTTAGTTTCTCTTTTCTTTGTTTTCTTTATCAAAATTTACTTTCTGTAGTTTCTCTTATTTTTATATTTTTCTCAAATTCCTTTGGCAATCCCCCCCTCTCTCTTATTCTTTTCTAGTTTTCATCATTTCCTTTCATCTACACATTTACTCCAATATTTAACGGCTCCATAAATCTGCCTATAATGTGACATATCAGCAAACCGTTGTTGTGCATGCAAAATGTGTACTGCACATTCTCATTATACTTATGCACGTGTAAAATTCGTACTGCATTTAACCTCGATATAATGATATAGTGCGAACTCATCAGTTTTCTTGAAGTGAACTGGGGGGACCTTCCACCCCACCCCACCCACCCTATAACTATGAAAACCGTGTTGTCGGCAGTTATTATGCCTGAGTCAAAATCAGGCAGATCAAGCCTGAAACTAAATAGGAGTTCCGAGTTACTTTGGAAACTTTGAAAAAATATTAATTGAAGAAAATTATTTGAATCTTCATCGTATTTTTTTTTCTTTAAAATTTATCATTCGTACTTTTAGTTTCTGGATTTATTGGGACTTCTGGCATCTTCCCCAATAATATAGATGACGGTGCATTGGGGGGCCTCTGACGACGTTGAGGCTAAAAGTTGACATCGAGGTTTACGGCAGGTTGACCGTTCACTCTCTAGGGAAACCTGAAGAGCAGCACTTCTCCTGATTATCAGTTCAGGTAAGAGCAAAGTTTGGAATAATTTAACGTCTTAGTCTGGAGATAAAACGGCGGGATATTTAAACTTCAAGTACAGCGTGTCACACTAAATATGAATATAATAATTGATATTCATCTATTAATGAAAAGTATGAATACAAAGTAAGCTTGTGCGACTTATGCACTTAATTTTATTAACTTATCTTTACCTTAATTTATATTTTTCTTATCTATATCTTTGCAAGCTGATGGTGAAAACCTTTATTTTTCATACGTTGACTATAAGGCCTGAATTCATATTAATGACATATTAAAGGTCCACAACATCAGGTTGCAAATATAATGTTTAGAAAAATTCTTATACCCGCACTACCAATGTACATTTGAATATCCTAGCTGGGACAACCTTTGCGTTCCTAGTTTGGACTGTACCGCCAATTTACAGTTACTAAAACGGCACACCTGTGTACTATGCAGTAATTTTGAACTCCCATCAAGGCCAGACGAATATTTAAGATACTAAGTAAGTTTGTAATTATTTTTAACAAAGAGTCATATATTCACGAATGAACGACACATTATTTTTAAAGAATTTCTCATGTTTCGATTTTTTTAATTTTTATAAATACATACATATTTAATCAAATAGCATATTATCACATACTGCCTCGGGGACCCAGCATTTGCCCAGTTTACTTATAGTTACTCCAGCCGTTTACCCGCACTAGGTCGATTTTATCGAGAAACTAAATTTTCAAAATAAAATTCGACCCACTCAAATACACGAGAACTAAAATGTTGCTTTATTTTTAAATATATCAGAAATCAATGATTTTTATATGTGTTGGAATGAAAAGATTATAGACCATGTTTAAGTTAATACCACGTTAATACTTTGTTATAATTATTGAATTATGAAAGTTAGCCATTTTGGACGCAGAGATTTCAGTTTTAACCTAAATAAAGTTTGACATCATTTTCTTGGATTTGAAGATTCCAGCAAAATAAAATCATTGAAAAACTTTAGACTAACCAAAAAACGTGGCCAGATTTTCAAAAAATATTCTCCTCTTGAAGGATTAGACACAAAATAAAAATATTTTTGAAAGGACGAGTATTTCGAGGTGGCTCGGACGAGAAAATGAGGAGAATATGGCTCGTACTAGGTTGGCCTTCCTCTAGTCCTCGTAGTTACTCCCGCCGTTTACATGGACTGTGTCGTCCATTACGATTTTCCAATTTTTCCCATCAAAATTCGACCCACGTAACTTAGACTTCTAACCCCAAAATATGAACGTTCCCGATGCTCTCCCATGTTCGTTCATCAAAATTTGAGGCAAAATAGTCCAGAGGTTCCTGAGTTATGGTTGGACAAACAAACAAACAGACATACAGACAAACAAAGATTACAAATTTATATATATATAGATATATAAAGTCACGTGAATTTATTAAATATTAAGGTTTGAGCATCAAGTATGCCCGGTCACGTGAATTTATTAAATATTAAGGTTTGAGCATCAAGTATGCCCGGTCACGCGAATTTATTAAATATTAAGGTTTGAGCATCAAGTATGCCCGGTCATGTGAAGGCAGGTGGTTCCAAGGAACCGGATCCAGGTAAATACTTTAATCTCCATAAAGGGGTTGTTCACCGTTTAGGAAAAGCACATCATACAAATATTTTGAATTGGAAATTGCCATGTAAAATCGGGGTTTCTCTGTAAATCCATGTTTTTTTCAGTGTTTGCTAGAAAATTCAATTGTTCCAGTCTACACCACATATCTTTGCAGCCTGATGATATTTCAAACTTAAGACTATTTCATATTCGTTCTAAAAATTCATATTTAGAAATATCAGGAGTATGCAAAATCGGGTTGCAAAAATATAGGCATTAAAATCAAAATTTGTGCTAAGAACTCATCAGTTACTTTTTACGTTCAAGAATTTGTTCTAAACTGAAGAAGTAAACATTCACCACAAATTCTAATCTTCGCATCTTTCCACCCTAATACCGTTATAGACTTTTAAATATTTCAAATAATGATTTCTGTTAGATATTTTTTTAACATTTTTATTTTCAAAACTAGCTGCAGGACTTCATTAAGTGCTTGTATATAATAAAAATTTTGTTAAAATTCAGATTTTAAAAATTTATTTATTTAACAGATCCAGCACCATTCCTTTATGTATCCTTCGAGATGAAGAAGGAGGATTCTCTGAAACCGTATGATGCTAAGAAGTCCGTCTGGGTTCCTGACGGTGAGGGGGGATATAGCGAGGCAATGATCACTGAGGTAACAAAATAAAACTCGTATATTTGCTCTAGAAATCCGCAAATCGAGTTTTCACAGGAAGTGAAGGATTACTGAAAATTATATTGACAGTCCCTTTAATTTTTCGTTCCGAAACCTTGAAGTAGAGAAGAATAAACATTTTTCAATCGATTTTTAAAGAGTTTTTTTTTTAAAAGTTAACCGCATTATTTTTGACTGTATCCCAGATCATTTTTTGGCCGTTTCTTTACCCGCCAGAAGCCATGTACTGTTAAATAACTTTCGATACTTTTAAATAGTTAATTTCTTCAGAAAGCACTAATCCATATCTTTTGTTTCTGGTGAATGAAGTAAAATCTTTATGAATATGTTTAAAGGTTCGACCAATCAGAGGCCCACATAAAATTCAATTCCATGCCAGAGAATAACGCAAAAATACGAGTCGCAGATTACTAGCTTCAAATTTAAAGTTTCCGCTTTGGATATCAGCGTTAGATTAGTGCTTGCACATTCAAAAGTTTCTACTTACAAACCTAATGACAGCCATTCTTAAGAGAAAACAACTGTTTAGGTGAAGGGAGATATGATTGATGTAAAAGTGGGCTGGGAACCAAAGACATACAAGGCAACACAGTGCATGCAGATTAATCCTCCCAAGATGGAGAAGTTCGATGATGTGTCCAACATGACATATTTGAATGAGGCCAGTGTCCTCTGGAACTTGAAGGCTAGATATGTTGCAAAGCTGATCTATGTAAGTAATAAAAATCAATAGTTAAATCTAATTTTTCTTATAAAATATGTATTTAGACTTACTCTGGACTCTTTTGCATTGTCATCAATCCCTACAAGAGGTATCCCATCTACACCAACAGGGTCGTCAGGCTTTACATCGGTAAGAGGAGAAGTGAGGTCCCACCTCATCTCTTTGCTATCTCTGATGGTGCTTACCAGCAGATGATGACTAACCAGAAGGATCAGTCCATGTTGATTACTGGTGAGTCTGGTGCTGGTAAGACAGAGAACACCAAGAAGGTTATTACCTACTTTGCTATTCTTGGTTCCAATGAGAAGGCCAAGAAGGATGGAGATCCACCAGTGGAGAAAAAAGCCAATTTGGAGGACAGGATTGTCCAGACTAATCCGATTTTGGAGTCCTACGGAAATGCTAAAACCATCCGTAATGACAACTCTTCAAGATTTGTAAGTTTACGTATATCTAGATAACATTTATAAAAATCATCCATTAAACTTTATTACCTATAATTTTAATACTGTTTAGGGTAAGTTCATTCGAATCTACTTTAACCACATGGGTAAACTTGCTGGAGGTTTCATTGATGTCTATCTTCTTGAGAAGTCCAGGGTTACTTATCAGCAACCCAATGAGAGATGCTACCATATCTTCTTCCAGCTGGTTGAGGAAGGGCCTGTTGAAGGTCTCCAGGAGATATGCTGTCTTTCAACTGACCCTTATGACTACTTTTTTATCTCTCAAGGTAAAGTAAAAGTTGACTCTATTGATGATAATGAAGAGCTGGAGTTTACTGATCAAGCCTTTGATGTACTTGGGTTTACTCAAGAAGAGAAGAAGAATGCATTCAGGCTCACTGCTACTGTTATTCACCTTGGAGAGATGACATTCAAGCAAAAGGGTCGTGAAGAGTCCTGTGAACTTGATGATCCCATCCCAGGTCAAAATGTCTGCAAACTTTGTGGAATTGAAAATTGGCAGTTGTTCTATGGTAACTTTATCAGGCCTAAAATTAAGGTAGGGACAGAGTGGGTTTACAAGGGTCAGAATGCTGATAACTGTTTGAACTCAATTGCTGCCCTTGCAAGGTCAATGTACAATCGTCTCTTCATGTGGCTTGTTGATCTCTGCAACCGTACTCTGATTGATCCTACAATGAAGAAAGTTAACTTTATTGGAGTCCTGGACATTGCAGGATTTGAAATCTTTGAGTTTAACACCTTTGAACAGATCTGTATTAATTTCTGTAATGAAAAGCTTCAGCAATTCTTCAACCATCACATGTTTGTTCTTGAGCAAGAAGAATATGTAAGGGAAGGAATTGAGTGGGAGATGGTAGATTTTGGAATGGATTTAGAGGCAACAATTCAGTTAATGGAGAAACCAATGGGTCTTCTTGCCATTCTGGAGGAAGAAACTTTGTTTCCCAAAGCTTCAGACAAATCCTTTGAAGACAAGCTAAAGGAAAATTTGTTGGGAAAGTCTCCAGTCTTTCTGAAAAAACAACCAGGGTCCAAAGACAAGAATGCTCATTTTGCAATTGCTCATTATGCTGGTATTGTTAACTACAATTTGGGTGACTGGCTTACTAAGAATAAGGATCCTGTAAATGACACTGTTGTTGACCAAATGAAAAAAAGTGACAATGCTTTGGTTGTCTATCTTTTCAGAGATCACCCGGGTCAACCAGAAGAAGTTGACAAGAAGGATAAAGGAAAGAAGGGAAAAGATACCAAGGTTTTCAAAACCGTGTCTTCTGCATTTAGAAATCAGCTTGATTCTCTACTTTGCACTTTAAACTCTACAGATCCCCACTTTATTCGTTGTATTGTGCCAAACAACTTCAAGACTCCTGGACTTTTAGATTCAGCACTTGTTATGCATCAGCTAACTTGCAATGGTGTACTGGAAGGTATTAGAATTTGCAGAAGAGGTTTCCCTAATAGAACCTTTTATGCTGATTTCAGGCATAGATTTATCATCATTAAACCTAAAGAGGTTTATGCATGTGGAGATGATACCAAGGCAGCAGCTAAAATTGTGCTTGAGAGTGTAAAAGATGTTGATGACAGGTGGCGCCTTGGACACACCAAGGTATTCTTTAGAGCTGGTACAATTGGTATGCTAGAGGAAGTTAGAGATGAGTGTATCAAATCTATCTTGAACTACTTCCAAGGTATATGCAGAGGATATCTTGGTAAAATTGCATACAAGAAAGAAGTAGCAAAACGAAACTTCATTCCTGTTATGCAGAGGAATTTTAAAAAGTACATCTTCTTCAGAGATTGGACATGGTATTTCTTGATGAATGCTACTAAGAGGTTTATTGGTCAAGTAAATATGGAAGATGAAATTGCAGCTCTGGAAGAAGAGGCTGCCATAGCTTGCTCTGCTTTTGACAAAGAAGTTATTGAAAGGGATAGGCTCAACGCAGGAATAAAAATGATGACTGATGAAAAAAAAGAAATGATGCACCAAATAGAATCAGAACAAGGTGACTTGTCATCCTACCAACAAGATCTTGCAAAAGCTAGTGCAGCAAAGGCAGAAAAAGAGGATGAATTAGCTAAAATTCAGAGGACCCTTTCAGACACAGAATCAAAAAGAAATGAAACAAATGAAAAGAAGCGAAAATTTGAAAATGACCTTTCAAGCTTCAGAAAGGATATTGATGATATGGATATGGCTATTCAAAAAGCTGAGCAGGAAAAGACAAACAGAGACCACACCATAAGAAACATGAATGATGAAATTGCACACCAGGATGAGATGATCAATAAGCTCAACAAAGAAAAGAAGCATATGCAAGAAAATCAAGCCAAGTCAAGCGAAGAACTTACTTCAGCTGAAGAAAAGCTTGACCATCTTAATAAGATAAAGGCAAAGTTAGAGGTAACACTTGATGAGCTTGAAGATTCTCTTGAGAGAGAAAAGAAATCTCGCCTTGACATGGATAAACAGAGAAGGAAGGTTGAGGCAGATTTGAAGGTTACACAAGAAGTTGTCAATGATCTTGAGAGAGACAAGAAGGAAGTGGAAGGCCTTATATCAAAGAAAGAAAAGGATATATCTTCTAATGTCTCTAAGCTTGAGGAGGAGCAAAATGGTGTTGGCAAACTTCAAAAAATGATTAAAGAAATGCAAGCTCGTATCGAATCCAATGAGGAAGAACTTGAAGCTGAGAGGCAAGCAAGATCAAAGGCTGAAAAACAAAGAGGAACGCTTGCTCGTGAACTTGATGATCTTTCAGAGAGGTTAGATGAAGCTGGAGGTGCAACTTCAGCCCAGATTGAGCTTAATAAGAAGAGAGAAGCAGAGATTGGCAAACTTAGAAGAGATTTGGAAGAGGCAGCAATTCAGCATGAGTCTACACTTTCCAGCTTAAAGAAGAAACATATGGATGCTGTTGCAGAAATGTCTGAGCAAGTGGATCAATTAAACAAAATGAAACAAAAGATTGAAAAAGAAAAGCATGGAAAACGACTCCAGATTGATGAGGTGAAGGGAGCAATGGATACAGTTCTGAATGAGAAAGCATCTGTAGAAAAGCAGAATCATCATCTTAACCAACAATTGAGTGATACTACTCGTAGGTGTGAGGAAGCTAATTTAACTTTGTCAGACTTTGACAATTCAAAGAAAAAAATTGTCATTGAAAATGCAGATTTTTTGAGAAATATTGAAGAGTTAGACAATAATAACAATGTTCTCAGCAAGATCAAGCAAACTCTTTCAGCCCAATTGGATGAACAGAGAAGAATTTCTGATGATGAGGCAAAGGAAAGAGCTTTCCTGCTGGGAAAATTTAGAAACCTTGAGCATGAGGTGGATACAACAAGAGAACAGCTTGAGGAAGAAACTCAGTCAAAGGCAGATGCTCTGAGACTTCTGTCCAAATCTGTTGGAGATGCTCAAATGTGGCGCATGAAGTATGAAAAAGATGGCTTGGCAAGATCAGAAGAGCTTGAGTCTGCAAAAATGAAGCTTCAATCAAGACTAGCTGAAGCAGAAGGCACTGTAATGAATTTTAACAACAAAGCAATGGCTTTAGAGAAGGAAAAGATGAAACTTCAGTCTGAGATTGAAGAGATGGGAGGCATGCTTGACGATGCTCAATCTAGATGTTTCCAAATGGAAAAGAAGGCAAAGAACTTTGACAAAATTGTTATTGAATGGAAGAACAAAATTGATTCTCTGCAAGCTGAGCTAGACCAGAATCAGGTAGAATGCCGCAGCTATTCTACTGAGCTCTTTAAAGTTAAGACTGTATATGATGAATCCCAACAACAGTTAGATTGTGTAAGGAGAGAAAACAAAAATCTTTCTACTGAAATTAAAGATATCATGGACCAGATTGGAGAAGGTGGCAGAACCATTCATGAAATTGACAAAATCAGGAAGCGTCTTGAAAATGAAAAGCTTGAGCTTCAAGCTGCACTTGAGGAGGCTGAATGTGCTCTTGAGCAGGAAGAGAACAAGGTACTTCGTTCTCAACTAGAGCTCAGTCAAGTTAAGCAGGAAATTGAGAGACGAATCAAGGAGAAAGAGGAAGAGTTTGATGGACTTAGAAAAACGCATCAAAAGGCAATTGAATCCATGCAGGCATCACTTGAAAATGAGACCAGAGCTAAAGGCGAATCAATCCGCCAGAAGAAAAAGCTTGAGTCTGACATTAATGAACTAGACATTGCTTTGGAGCATGCAAATGGTTCTAATGCTGAATCACAGAGAACAATAAAGAAATATCAGCAGCAGATTAAGGATCTTCAACTAGTCCTAGAGCAGGAGCAAATAGTTAGAGACAAAGCTAGGGAGCAGCTTATTCAGGCTGAACGTCGTCATCATGCAGTCAACAATGAACTTGAGGAATGCAAAACTCAGCTAGAGCATGCTGATCGCCAACGAAGAGGTGCAGAACAAGAAATGTCGGATGTAATGGAACAGCTTTCTGACAGTACTCTGCAAAACCAAGCTCTTCAGTCAAGCAAGAGAAAGCTTGATTCAGAAATGCAGACCTTGCATGTAAGTATTTTCCTTGATTTTAGTGAACTATCTATATTTAATTACTTTTAAATCTAGGCTGATCTGGAAGAAATGCTGACTGAGAGCCAGCTTGCTGATGAAAGAGCCAAAAAAGCAATGATAGATGCTGCTCGTCTAGCTGATGAGCTTCGCATAGAGCAGGAAAATGCCCAGAATTGTGAGAAAGGACGCAAAGCTTTGGATTACCATGTCAAAAACATGCAAACAAAGCTTGATGAGGCTGAACAGATGGCTATGAAAGGAGGAAGAAAAATTACTTCAAGGTAAAGCTCTAAAATAAAAACAACCCACTTTTTGCTTTTAATCTCTAAATTGTTTAGGTTGGAGCAAAAGATCAAGGATCTAGAGACACAACTTGATGATGAGCAAAGACGTTATGTTGATGCTCAAAAAGCTCAACGGCGTACAGAGCGCCGCATCAACGAGCTCACCTTTTCACAAGATGAGGATCACAAGAACCATGAGCGCATGCAAGAACTTGTTGATAAACTCCAGAACAAGGTCAAATCTTACAAGAAGCAGATAGAGGAAGCTGAAGAAATTGCAGCACTTAACTTGGCCAAGTTCCGCAAGGTGCAAGCTGATCTTGAACAAGCTGAAGAGAGGGCAGATATCAAGGAGCAGGTTCTAGCAAGATACAAGTCAAAGGGAAGAGGAGCTTCTGTAGGCCCAATGTAAACTCAATCCCTAACGTTAGTCCTTAGTAGATGCTAGTCCAAGTAAAAGTACTTGTAGCTCATTATGTGAATAGCTATCTGTAATATTATATGATGAGTATTAAAATACATATGTAAAAATGCTTATAATGTTGAACAGGGTTAGCACAGTTTCCAATTAAATGATTGTTAAGATGAGTAATGAGGTACTGAATATTTCAATATATACCAACTTCAGCCAAATAAGAAACAATCTAAAACTTTCCTAAATAATGCAATGTTTTTAACCATACACCATAAACTTTTTGACTTTTCTATAATAGTCAAAACAAGGAATATAAGTCTGAAGTCTATAAAACCAATTTAAGACATAGAGACAATCATAAGCAGACATTATATATCCAATTTTGCCGTTGCCCTATCGGTAGAAATTGAAAATTTTTAAGGTAATAATTTATTTTTCATTATTTTCTTTTCAAAAATTTTACTCAACTTAATCAGTGGTGAAGTACCAAGAAATGAGTTCTTGTTGCTTCGTGAACAAAAATATGATTTAACAAAGTCACAAAATACATTTAATTTCTGAATGATAAAATGAAAAGTAAAATAGAGAATATGAAGTGGACTCTGTGGAACAGCTATACGAATTTGAACTCAAGTTAAACTTTAAACAAGGCAATTGTGCAGGGTTCACAGACATACAAATAAAATAATGATTTTCAAGCCACAGGTTTAATGTAGTCTTTGTTACAAAACCATATTTATGGTTCAAGTACCTTTAGGAACCTTAGACTAAATTGTTCACAGGTTTAAAACAAAAAGCTGAACTGATTAATAACTAAACTCCTGAATAATAACTAAACTCCTGATTAATAACTAAACTCCCGATTAATAACTAACTCCTGATTAATAACAAAACTCCTGATTAATAACTAAACTCCTGATTAATAACTAAACTCCTGATTACTCCTGATTAATAACTAAACTCCTGATTAATAATTAAACTCCTGATTACTAACTATACTCCTGATTAATAACTAAACTCCTGATTAATAACCAAACTCCTGATTAAAACTAAACTCCTGATTAATAGCTAAACTCCTGATTACTCCTGATTACTAACTAAACTCTTGATTAATAACTAAACTCCTGAATAATAACTAAACTCCTGATTAATAACTAAACTCCTGAATAATAACTAAACTCCTGATTAATAACTAAACTCCTGATTAATAACTAAACTCCTGATTACTCCTGATTACTAACTAAACTCCTGATTAATTAATAACTAAACTCTTGATTAATAACTAAACTCCTGATTATCAACTAAACTCCTGATTAATAACTAACTCCTGATTAATAACTAAACTCCTGATTACTAACTAAACTCCTGATTATCAACTAAACTCCTGATTAATAACTAACTCCTGATTATCAACTAAACTCCTGATTAATAACTAACTCCTGATTAATAACCAAACTCCTGATTAATAACTAAACTCCTGATTACTAACTAAACTCCTGAATAATAACTAAACTCCTGATTAATAAGTAAACTCCTGATTAATAACCAAACTCCTGATTAATAACTAAACTCCTGATTAATAAGTAAACTCTAATGATTTTCAATGATAATTTTACTCTCACTACTCCGACCACATCAAACTACTCATATATATTCATGGAATTCAGTATGTCTTTTCCCTTTTACATTCTTGATGCCCTGTGAGCGGGAAAGGCACACCGTACAATTTCGTCCGCACCACAAATGACGTCACAATTTACCATTATTTCTTCCGACCATTCCCTTTTCGCTGGGCGTTGCTTCTGTGTTTTAAGATGTATATTTTTATGTCCTTGAACACTTTTTTTCTTAAATATAGGCAACGTCATGTTATGTAAAATGATTTGATTTTGTTTAGAATGCATTTTGTTTTAAAAACAGAACAATTTTAGCCCAATTTAGCGCAAAACGGAAAATAGCTATTTTTCGTCCGGTGGACGACACACTTTTCTGTTTTCTTAATTCACTCCTATAACTTAAACTTTAAGGTAATAGCTTCGCCGGGAGTTTTAGAATCTACTACTAAAAATTAATATTTTTGGTAAGGAGCCTAGCAATTGGGGTTGATTTGATCGAAGTATTATGAAATAAAAATTTCCATTCATTGTTTTATGTCTATTGAAATTCATAAGATTCTTTACAAAAAAATGTTAAACCATAATTAATACAACATGACGTGGCTCAAAATTCGAATAAAATAATGTAAAGGTCTTTAAAGCGAATATTAGCAATGCCGGACGAAAGACAGGTCTGATCAAACAAAAATGGTGAATTGTTAAGCTATTTGTGGTCGGACGAAATGAAAGTGTGTCGTGCCTTCCTTCCTCGCCCTCCACAGCTTATCAACCTAATTCTATCTTCGTGAAATTCTTTAGTATATTGTCCAAATAATTAATTTTCGAAATAAAAGTTTCAATTCTTAAAATTCATCCTTCAGTTAATTATTACTATAAAGTGAGTGAAGTAAATGTCGACACAATTATTTCTTCAATAATTAATAAATCTGAATCTGGACAGTTCAGTCTTCAGAGCTTTTTCAGAAATAAAATATGTTGCCCCCCCCCCTCTTGACATTTCTTGACTCTAAGAAATAGTAATTTTTGCAACATTTTATGTTCAAATTTTCAACCATAATTCTGGATAAATAATAACACTCTTGAAAAGCCCTTGAAAAACTAAGATGAAAACAAGGTCACATATGCTATTATTTGTTAATTAAAATCTAAATAAAGAATAAACATTTTCCTAACTTTTTAAGAAATTTTTTAAAAACCTTAAAAGACCATGGAACCTTAAAAGTTAGCGGTTACTGCGGTTTCTAACTGGTCCGAGGATCTTGTTCTGATGTTTCTCTGGTCGGTGCAATGAGGACCCTAATAGCAAGTAAACTATTCACGATAATGAAACAGGACTAGATGCAATTACCGATGCACACGGTAGGGTAATTTTACTTCAGTACTAAAGCATTTCCGTCCTACGATACTTCGGACATACGCAACATCGAACCAACGACAGCTGTATATAGGTCTGATGTACATTCTATTTTGTTAAACTCTGACCTACACAGGAATTGCTGCAGGAGCTGCAGATAGTCAGTTATATATATAGTTGATATATTGCTGCGAAAAAGATCGGTTTCCCCGTAGGTTGGATGCAAAACTTTCGTAGGTCAGTTGCTCAGATTGTATAGGTCAGATGCACAACTTTCGTAGGTCGGATGCATTGAAGAATTTGTAACTCGGATGCACAGATTTTGTAGGTCAGGTGCACAAGATTAGGTTAATCGACCAATTCTGGTCCGAGCGCTGCGGCTGGGACAGGCTATGAGGCCGATAGCTGCGGGCACATTTATCAAAATGACCAAGCGATAGACAATTTGTGGAGTTAGGTTAGGTTAAGAACATTTCTGGGCCTTGAGCGCTGCGGCCACATTTATCAAAATTACAAAGTTAGCCGATGTGGGGTTACTTTAGGTCCTTTAGGTTAAGACATTTATTGTGCGTCCGACTAACAGAATCGAGTGCAACCAACTTAAGAACTGTGCAACCGACCTACGGTAGGTCGGATACACTAACTTTTTTGTGCATACGACCTATACAGAAGAGTGCAACCAACTTAAGAAATCTGTGCAACCGAACTAAAGTAGGTCGGATACACTTCACTTTTTTTAAATTAAGTTAATATCCGACCTACGGTACATTGGACCAATAGCAGCTTGAAGCTGCAGAAAAACCACGCGCGGGTAGGTCCGAAGTATCGTAGGACGGATGTAACGTTAGGTAGATGTAATACAGTCCCCATTTAAAGTATCAGATATCTTGGCTCCCTAAATCCGGATTAACTAGATCCATAATATGTTAGCTCCCTGGATCCGGATTAACTAGATCCATAATATATGTTAGCTCCCTGGATCCGGATTAACTAGATCCATAATTATGTTAGCTCCCGGGATCCAAATATAATAGGTCTATAACATTTACCTACCTGGATCCGAATACAATATATCAATAACATGTTAGCTCCCTGGATCCGAATACAATATATTAATAACATGTTAGCTCCCTGGATCCGAATACAATATATCAATAACATGTTAGCTCCCCGGATCCGAATACAATATATCAATAACATGTTAGCTCCCCGGATCCGAATACAATACATCAATAACATGTTAGCTCCCCGGATCCGAATACAATATATCAATAACATGTTAGCTCCCCGGATCCGAATACAATATATCAATAACATGTTAGCTCCCTGGATCCAAATACAATATATCAATAATATGTTAGCTCCTGGAGAGGAATACAATATATCAATAACATGTTAGCTCCCTGGATCCGGATTTTCTCTTATAACACACATTTATATTTCAACCAATGAGAGAACATCAAGATAAAATGAACCATGAGTAGTGAAGAGAATCTTACTAAATAATTTAATACAAATTTTTCTATTGAGTAACTAAATCTGAAAGTTGATTTAGATAATAGAGTTGAATTGAACACACTACTAGTAATATTCAACGTAATATTAAACAAATATCTCAGTATCTTGTCATAATTTTTTGGAATAATGTTTTAAAATATCACAGTTACTTTTTATCATAGAAGAATATGAACATTGTACAAGCTCGTCTTTTTCAAATTAATATAAAACACATGATCAATCTGAATCCAGCAGTTCATCGTAGTCATCATAGTCATACTTATTTTTAATGACCTCAATCTTTGGATTATCTTCTTCGTTTTGAATCCAATTGCCAGATTGGCCGGCAATAGTTGCAATATTTGATGCAGTTTTGCCTTCATTAATAGCCACCACACCTCGATTCTGTTTTGGTGAAATTGATCGTGTTTTCTGTTCTGATAAATCGGATTGTGGTTTCTGATCTGCTGAATCTGTCAGGGATTTCTGATCTGATAAATCTGACTGTGTTTTCTGATCTGCTGAATCGGACCTTGGTTTCTGTTCTGATAAATATAATGAGAGTTTCTGACCTAATGAATCAGAATCTAACTGCGGTTTCTGGTCTGAAAAATCTGACTGTGGTTTCTGTTCTGTTGAGGCCGCTAGAGGATTCTGATCTAATGAATATAACAGTAGATTCTTATCTGAAGAATCTGACTGTGGTTTCTGGCCTGATGAATCTGATTGTGGTTTCTGGTCTGATGAATCTGACTGTGGTTTCTGGCTTGATGAATCAAACAGTAGGTTCGGATCTGGTGAATCTGACTGTGGTTTCTGGTCTGATGAATCTGACTGTGGTTTCTGGCTTGATGAATCTAACAGTAGGTTCGGATCTGATGAATCTGACTGAAGGTTCCGATCTGTTGATTCTGGCTGTGAGTTTTGTTTAGAAGAATCTAATCGTGGTTTCTTATCTAAGCCGTTTAACCGTAGTTTTTGTGCTGAAGATCTTAGGGATGGTATTTTTTCCGGTTCCGTTAAAGTTTTATCCTGTTTCCCGCTCACCTAAATATTTAACTTTTAAAAAGAAAAACGATAATTCCAGCCATGAAATAAAATCAATAATGCAAACAATCAATCAATCAGGTTTAAAATCAATCAATAATTCAAACATCAATTAATCAATTTATCTATCAGTTAGTATGCAATTCAGCTTAAGAAATATATATTGTTTAGCTGTGAAAATCTAAAACTAACAAATAAATAATTAAATCAACCAATTAAAATCTTAAATACAAAATATCTAGAGTTTGTAAAGTTTCTACCTCTAAAAGAAGCCCTTCTCTAGAACGTGATCGAAACTTTTTTGATAAACTTTTATCATTTTCAGCAGTTTTTTCCTCCTTATTCTTTCTACAATCCTCTTTAACTTTTCTATCCTTCCTTTCTTCTGTTTTCAAATTCTCCGAAGGTGAGACAGGAACCCTTCTTCTCTGTAATATGAAATCATTTTTATATTATTGATTTCTTAAAAAATAAGTATAAATGCAATTGCTTTGCAAAAGGCCTTCAATACCGCCCCCCCCCCCCGAACGCAAAATATAAAAAGATTTTCCTAGACGCATTAAAGAATATGATGCGCCATGTAGGTTGAACATTACCTTGACCCCCCGGCTTTCAGGTATCCAGGCCTCCTCAGGCAGGAATGCCTCAACATATGAATGCACCTGACCCATGTGACTCACGGCAGTGGAAGAACAACCCTAAAAATACATAAAGTTGCCACTTTTATGGATAGAAACCTATTCTTAATTTTTTATCATTAATTATGCAAAACAAAGATGTTCAATGCATTGAAAAGAAAACCAAAAAAGCTTATAACCTTAAATCCGCCAAAAAAAAATACCTTTGAAAAATCCTTCCTGCAGATTGGACAGGAGGTAAAATGTCCAACTTTTTCCTTCAATTCATAGTAAAAATGAGCGGTGGTGTAGTGCCTTGAAGTATTACAATAAAATTAATCAAACTGCTATAATCTATAAATGAAACCAAGTCAACCAAGATTTAAACTGGAGAAAATTAACAACTTTTCTGTTGCGGCATTTCTATGAGAAACAACTACCGAATTTCGCAGGAAAGTGAATGGAAATTCTTAATTCCAGAAAACCATTATGGATTTTAAATAATTAAATAAATAAAAGATCAATCTTCATTCCGTGGACATCGATATGCTGAATGGCTAAGAGCAAGTTTCTAAATTGTTAATAGCACTCTATTTTAGAGGTAACCTAAATTACAAGGAACCAGGGGGGTATATTTTCATGGAAGAAAAACATTTCACCCTTTGGAAATAATTTTTTTTCAACCTAGAAATTTGAAATTTGGGGAGGGGGGGGGGATTCTTTAATATATATACACCCCTGAAAATAACTTTCAACCTCTTGTGATTATTTTTGATTTTACCTGTATAATTCAGATTTATTTGCACTTCCTTTTCTAGGAAGAACTTTGCACCAGAAGCAACGGTAATCGACAAGTACCCCATCTACCTCCTTAAATATGTTTAGATCAGGTCAAGGGGGGAAAAACTGTTAAATATAATAATCCAGTTTTCTTCATCTCTTAAAATATCTTTCTATTAAGAAATATTTTACATAAAAATCTATAAGTATACATTACTTTTTTGGAAACATTGATTTAAATAGGGTTAAATAAGGTCTAGCTTTCTATAGCAACGTCAATGTATCTCTATACTCAATTTTTTAATATACAAATTAAAATAAGAAACATAGAAATTGATTTTCAAGGGCGTATACAGGGTTTTATTATAGGGATCTATGCAAGACACAAAATGAAATGGGCCAAATTGTTCAATTTAGAAATTCCATGTGAAATACAATCTTAGACCTTACTTTTCTTCGAACAAATTTAGATTTCTAGGGACAGGTTAGGGTCCTACTTTCTTTGCCCGCCCCCCTCATCGTTACCTTCATAAATTCATATTCGGAATGCTTTTCAATCTCTAAAGAAGGTGATCTTACACGTTTCTTCTTTTCCTGTTTTCTTTCCTTTCTATATAGCACCTCTTCCCTTTTTGACAGATCCTTATCATTCCTGGATGGAATCTTGTCTCTTCTAGGCGGATCAGTTTCACAATCCTCAAGTAATTGAACTCTGTCCTTTCCGTTTGGGTCTTTGTCCCTCCAAAATTGCTCGTATGCTTCTCTTTGTTGTTTTATTTTTTTTATGAGCACAACATTTATGTCTTTGTTCTCAAACTTTTTAGATTTTAATGGACCTCCCTTTCTACCTTTTTTTGTGCTTTCACCTTCCTCACAGATTTCCCGTTCATTATTCTCTTTCGCTATTGATGCTGTTTTTTGCTGTATTAGCATGTTTCTTGTTGAAATAAATTTATCATTTGAACATCCTGAAATTTGTATGTTTGACGCTGGGATATAGTCCTCATCCTCAGATTTCTTTTTTTTCCTCTGCTGTCTAACTCCAGAGTATTCATTTAAATGTTCCTCCATGATGGAAAGATTGTCCACTTCATCATCATTGAAGAAATCTTCTGCTTCTTCTTCCTCTTCAGAAGATTCACAATTTGCACTTTTCATGTTTTCAATAGCATTATCATCAACAAGGTTGAAAGTACCAGAAATATCATCCTCCTCTGTTCCAAAGTAAATATTCTCATTCTCCATCCCCTCCTGTCCCTCAATTAGCAAAGGGTCTAGTGCGTAATCTGTCAAATCAACATTCATCATTTCCTCAATCATTGTCCCAAACGGTTTATAGTAGGTATGATCTTCTAGATGTGGCAATCTGGAACAAATAATGTCATTTCTCTAAATTCCATTTTATTCTTAATGGTTTTGATTCATTAAGAGGAGCTTACCGTTCTTTCCTACTGATAAGCTTGACAGTCCATAATGTGTTCTTTTTATTCTTAAAAATCAAATCATCAGTATTAAATTTTGATAATTAAACAGAGTTACTAATGCAATGATTTTTTTATTCTTAATTTTTTACCTCAGTTTTCATTTGAGTTTCAAAAAACTGAGAGACTGCTATTCCTTTATTTATAACTGTAGAAATGCAGTGGTCCATCAGAGCACTAAAATTTGACTGTACTAGAGAAATAAAATGCTAAAATATTTAAGATAATCACTTTTAGCACTGAAAACCCTTTCATTTATTTTAGTAGATTTAGATTTTTACCTTGGGCATTGATTTTCAGTGTCTGGAATCAAAGGTACAACATTTTCTTTGGATTTTGACTTTGGTCGATTAATTTTAATTAACGTTTCAAGCTGAAACTCTGGTACGGTTTCAACTAACACTGGGCTTTTCTTTAATTTTAAAACTGGTTCTTGCAGATATCTATGAGTGTTGCCTTTTGCTTGTAAATGTTTGTGAGTATTGCCTTGTGCTTGCAGACATCCAGGATTGTTGCCTTGTTCTCTAGGTTTATTCTGATCACTACCAAGCACTATATAGGGAGCATTAGTTTTTTTGTGAAATGCAACAGCTGACTGGTCCTTTTCTGAAGTTGGGTCAGGTAACATATTTTTCTTCACTTTGATGGACAGGTTAGGGGAATGATTAACTTTTGGTTTTAGTTTGTGGGTACTCTTTTCCTGTTGATATGTTCCAGGATAACATGTACTTAGGGTACTCTCTAATCTGATTGGCTTTAGTTGAGCTATTCTTTCATTATCCATGAAGAAAAGTTGATTGCCTTCTTCATCCTCTAGGGTTTGGTTTTTATTCCTGGCGAGATGTTTGATCTTTTCTTTTTGAGCCCAAAGAGTTTGTTCATAGGCTATCTGTCTAAAATGCTTTGATTTTGAATAGGGCTTCCTTCTAATCCATCTTGATTCATTTAAAAGTTCCTGAAAATTAAATATTTTAACAAGTCTATCAACATCTTTTCTGGAAATACTATTGATTGATTAGTTAAAAGGTTCTCATGAAACCTTTACCTGTTCAGTTTTAAATGTCACCTTTGTGGATAATTTAACTTCATTTCTCTTCAAAACTTCTTTAGCTATCTCTGTGATTCTAAGCAATTCTTTTACCTCAGAAGCAATTTTCTTACATGGAGGATTAATTTCCTCAGATCTACTAACAGATGAATCATTCTTTAATCTACTAGCTGCAGAATCTTCTTTGAGCTTATGATTGTTTGAATTATTATGCACTACTAATGGAGATCTGGCTTTAGGACTGTCAAGTGGAGTTTCTGTGCAGAGTAGATTAATTTGAGAGCTTTGATCTTCATAAGGATCAAATTTACTAGAATAATGTTCAACAGCTTTAGAAATCATTTCATTGATAATTTCGTTAACAGTATGATTCATATCTAACTTATGATCTTTAAGTTCAAGTAAATTTGTATCATCTTGGCCTGTTTGTAGGTGATCTTTGCTAAAAGCTATTTCAGTATAAAAAAGATCATTAAGGTCCGAGTTTACTTCTGTAAATTTAGGTAGATCGTTAAAGACACTTTTTGTTTTATTGATAATCTTCTTTCCGAATCTGGTAAGATTTAGAGTTCTAGATAATTCACTGGTTAGTGATTGTTCCAGCTTCAATATCTCATCATCAAATGCTGTTTCATCTGAAAAATATGCTAATAAACATACATAATACATATCTGTCAGATCAAATTCAGGGGCATTCTCAGGAATTTGTCCATGAGTGAAGGCTTAACTTTTTTCTTTCTGGGGGGTATCAGCTCCCATTGGGGCCTGAAAACCCCATGAAAACCAAAGATTTTAATGGTCCAGGGGGGCAATGAGCCCCAATAGCCCCCCCCCCTAAAAATGTCTATAATTAAATAAATTTGTTGACTAATAGATATCATAATAGCACTGTTGATATTAAAAAAATTACCTATGGGCAAATTATCCGAGAAGGATTCTGAAGCAAAATCAATTCTTCTATTAGAATGCAAAATCTGCATTGGGTTTTTTCTTGAACATGGAGGGTTGACAAAACTTGCATTTGCAGATTTGACAGAGCAACTTGGAAGCTGAAGAGGAAGTGGATGCTTTGGTTTAGTGCTTTTTGAATTGATGATCAGATTTGATGTGATTAAACCTTCGTTTGATTGGAAGATAGCACATGATTTAGGATTAACATTTGCTTGCTGATCTGGTAAGCTTAGAGAACCCACAAACTTACTTTCATTAATACCGGCTAAACTGCTAGGCATCAATTTATAAATAGTTGATGGCGACTCATTTGAAGTAGAATATATGTTTGATTTTAAATTGTTTGGATTATTGATCACAGAATGGTTAACTGGCATCACAGAGGAGGCTGTAGAACTTGGATTGACAGGAAACCTGCTGAGGGAGGGATTTAATTGAATGAAAGATGTGTTGTCTGAAATAACATGTTTCCCAGGGTTCACATGATAAAGCTCTTCCAGACCTTGAGAGAAAACTTTGTCTATCTGAGGAAAATCTAACAAGACATTCATATAATTTAATATAAATCTTCTGATTAAAAAATAAATTGATGATGGTTGAAGTTTATGAGTTTTTGAAAAAATCATCATTCTACTAAATAATTAAAAAAATAGAATGAAATAATAAAACCTTGTACAATTGGAGGGTTGAGACAGGGTTTGAAGCAGCAAAATGGTGTTTGTCTAAACATGATAGATTTTTTTTATTATCAAAACTTTTCAATTCAGTTCTATACTTACATGTATCTGTTCAATTCCTGCTGGGCAAGACAGAAATGACCAGGTAGACAATGAGGATATTTGCAGTTTTCACAACTTTGGCACCTTAAAATTTAAAATTATAGCTTTTTTATCAGTATTTTGTATGCTGGACATTCTGAATTGTAAAACTGAAGAGTTAAAAACTTGCCTATTACTGGCTGGTGGGTTCAAGTAAGCTCCAGTCTGATTTTTTGCTGGATTGTGGAGATTACCAATTGGGATCACTGTCTGAGATCTTAAGGTTTCAGGGTTCCATCCCTTGGGTAGGATATAGATGGGAGGGGAACATTTTCCAATAATGTTCTGGGTAACATTAGACGGACTTGGAAACACTCCAGTAAGCACTGGTTTGTGAAAAAATTTCATATTGGAACTAGAAACACTTTTGGGAATATTGATACTCCCAGGTGGTAGAATTCTTCCTCTGAGCAGTCCATGATTTTGTATAAAAGTGCCTCCAACAGAATTTCCACTCAAGAGCTTTGTAAATTGCGTAGATACCGGGCAAGTTGGGATTTTTGAAGATATTTTAGTATTGGTTGGTGTCCATTTATGGATATTACTATTGGTTGGTGTCCATTTAGGGATATTACTATTTATTGTAAAATCAGGTTTCTTTAAATTAAGTTTTATGCCATTGTTAACTTCTTTGGTGACACTTTTACCTAAAATATTAAGAATTTATTTAGTAAAACCAATGATTTTGAAAACTATTATGAAGAACAAACATAATTTCAAGTGAACCTTTTTAATAATTCATACATATGAAAAATATACTTACATTCTTCAGTTGTTTTAGGTTGAGTAGATATAGTATTAGAGGCCGGCTTCAATACTCGTTTCATACATACAGGCTTGTAAGCTTTATCAACAGAAAAACGTTTGTATGCTTGATTAAATGCTCCATCAGCAGATACAGGCTCAAATACTTCATCAAAAGATGAATGCTCTAAAACTTCATCATCAGATACGTCAGCAACAGCGTTATGCTCACATTCGTCATCAACAGAGGCAGGCTCAAGTGCTCCATCAAGTCCGGAGGAATGCTCTGCTGACTCAACCTGCACAGTCAAACTTCCATTTGAAAATGTTGAAATGAAAAAGGTCTTCAGAATTTTTTTGAAGTACAAACCAATCATTTGATTTACAGCAAGTGCTTAATCTCAGTATCAGAATGTTTTATATAACTAAAAAGTTACCTTTATATTTAGCTCATCTATAAGATCTTGATTACAATTTTCAACAACTTTTTCTAAACTCTCATCTTTATCATCATCTGAGTCCAATGGGTTGGGTATAGTTAGGTCTGTAAGCTCATGATCATCATCGTTATCATTCTCTTCTGGTAAAAAGATGGCTGTAGTATGTTGTTCCCTGGCATTGTCTAGTTCAGGGTTTTCCATGATGTTTAGATTCTAGCCATATGACTAAATCATACTGTGATACAGGGCTTTCAATGTCTGCAAAAAAATTTGATATTAAAATTTAAACAAAATCAAAATTAAATTCCAAATTTGAGTAGTTTAATAAAATGTTATTTAAAGATGAAAACTTCTTAAGTAATTAATGCAATTTTATCCTTTATGTTATGAACAATCAAACATTATTATTCACAATATCCAATTCCAGGTGTACATTTGTGACAAATGTACATGTTCCTCTTTTTTTAATGTTGACCAAAGAGAATAGAATATATATTAGAGTGGAATTTAGTCATTCCCTCGGTATGAATTTTGTGTACAAATCATGTAAATGTTCACTAATTATATACAAGTACATTAATACAGTATGTTCCCGAGACTATCCATTTCAATTTCGAATTTTTAAAGCTTTTAAATAAACTTTTTAAAATGAATCAGGTGAATAATAAATATTATCTTGATTTACAGTCTTAACGGAAAATCATCGATTGTAAAGTGAAAGGCATTGAGTCTATGAGAAATGATCATTGGTCAATTATAAAACCAGCCTATTTTATAATTTGGTTTTATTTAATATTAATTTTAGAATTTCTATAAAATGATGTTCCAGGACCCAAAATGTTATATAGCACAAATATGTGAAGTACACCTGCAGTATGGAAACAAAATAGCAGTTTTACACTTTTTTCTAGTAAATTTCACTATAATAAATATTCTATTCTCTTTGATGTTGACAAAGGGAGCCAGCCAGCCATAAAACCAGCCTATTTCATAATTTGGTTTTATTTAATATTAATTTTAGAATTTCTATAAAATGATGTTCCAGGGCCCAAAATGTTATATAGCACAAATATGTGAAGTACACCTGCAGTATGGAAACAAAATAGCCGTTTTACACTTTCTTCTAGTAAATTCCACTCTAATAAATATTCTATTCTCTTTGATGTTGACATAGGGAGGAGGGGGGGGGGAGGAATTTGGGGCCATGCCCAAAATTTGGCAACACTTAATGCAAAATATTTTATTCACATATAATTGATGTTCACAATTATTTTCAGCTGTTATTTTAAGGGCTAGGCAGAAAAATGTTGAGAGAACAGGTTTACAAAAATCAAAGTAAAAGTCATGCATTGACAAATTGTAAAACCATTAATTTTCAAATCATTAAAAAATTGATTGTTTTTTTGAAAGAAAAATTAACAGTGAAATTTTAAAATATAGTCTATAATTAACCCCCCCCCCCACCCCTCCTTATTTTATAATGGAATGACACATTATTTTGCAATTTAATGAACCATTAATGTTTTTTTTTCTGAAAATTTTGGAGTTTTGGCAATACTGGTAATTCCACTTACTCTTAATGGTTTGTGCCCTTAAAATTTTACAGACCATTAACAAAATATTTTTTTGCTTCACTCAATTTTCAAATTAAAAATACCATTAAAAATGTAAAAACAACAGTTGTTAGCAGAATATCTTCTGTTAACACCATTCATAAATTGAGATTGTTGATTTTAAGAGTAACTTGAAATTTTTTTAACGATTGGAACTAACAGTTAACAAAACAGCTAGAAAAATTGGAACATGCCCAGCTTTAGCTGTACTATAAACTTTCACTGCACTTTACCTCCCTTTTATAGTGACAATTTAAGTCTTTATAAATGTTTCATCCGGGTTAAGATTTACTTCAAACTAAAGGATTAAAAATAATTTTTATAATGACACAACTTGTGAAATGGTATAAATGTATTTGAGCTCTAAAATTGGAATTGGAATTAAATGTTTTTTTATTGAGTTGAATTTGAATTAATAACATTTAATATTTTTAACACCCTTCCTCTCCCCAGAAAAAAATACTTCTTCAGTCCTACCTTGACATTTTCTTAAATTTTTAACAATTTTAAGTCTGTGTGTTAATGTTTCTCACACTATGGGGTAAAGTAAACTGCCAACCTAAACGTGAGATTTCAACTCAATGTACAAAATAATTTAACTGCGCAGGTTACTTGTGATTTGCGCATGCCCAGTTTCTAATCTGTTCTCTGATTGGTTTGTTTGGATGTAAGCTGATGCGCACTTTTATGTTTGAGTGTTCTGCGCACTACTGCACGGATAGCTAATATCTCTCTCTCTCTCTCTCAACATACGATACACACTGGTGGATGAGGGGAGGGAGGCCAGCCACAACAATTTCTCATCCAAGCCACATTCTCCTCATTTTCTTGCCTGAGCCACCTCAAAATCCTTGTCCTTCGCTTATTATGCATTATTATGCATAAATAATGGATAGACTTGAGTATTTAAATGATTACATCATGTTGATTTCTTCAAAACAATGAGAATGATATCAAACTTTATTTAGATAAAACTTAAATCTCTTCTGCCTCTGTAATGGCAAATCTTTGTGATACAAAATAAATTGCAAAATATTTGGCATACCTCTGCCTATAATTTGCCCCATGAAACCACCAGCTATAATATTAACAAAAAAGATTAAAGTTCTATATAAACTTGGAATAATTTGCAGCATGTACACCTGAAAATGCGGTAAAAAAGGTGAATATTTTTTAGGACATTACTCAAAAACCTTAATTCTATTAAAAGTATTTTCTACGATTTAAAAAAAAATTAATATTTCGTTTATGCTTTAACGTGACCTGATTCTTAAAAAATTGTTTTATTTTGGAGCATGAACACTTTAAAAAGATATTATTCGGAGGATGGGGATTTTGAGTTTTGAGGTATCTATAAGGTTGACATATTTACATTTGGTTAACTCTCTACCTCTCTGTCTCTATTTTTCTGTTTCTCTCTCCTTCTCTCTATATACTTTAAATATAAATCAAAAATGTTAATGTTAAAAAAATGTATTAATCCTGTATTATACATGTGTATCTTTGATTAAATCACAGACTGCCTGGAACTTGTTAACTCCAGATGGAATTCTTTCTTTGAAGAGGAATTCATCAATGTAGGATTGTAGAAGATTTCTTGGAACTCCGCACATTGCCTTAAGAGGTCTTTTGTGTTTTGACCAGTAGCCCTCGATCCGATTTGTATGTACCCCTGTTATTGGGTCCTTAAAAGGGAAATCTTTGTTGCTATGATTCAACCATTGAACTATTTCCTGGTCCCCCATTTCCATAATCATCTTCATGTCCATATTAGTTGTTTTCCCGCGTTTGACTAACTCATTATAGTGGAGTCATAACTCCGTATAGTGTATACGCGGAGTCATCCCCTTCCCCCTCTCCAAATCAGCTGATCCCTCGGAGTCAACCCCTCCCCCCGCTCCCTCTCTAGTCGGCATCCCCATAGTATTGTATCTCTGTATTCATATACTTCCATATTACCGTTCATTCTAACTACTGAAAATGACGTCTGCATTTCCTGTATAGTTCCAAATAACACATTATTTGCTCATTAAATGCCGGTTTAAATTTTTATATTTCGTGAAATAATATTGGTCAATGATCAAAAAATATTTTACCATGGCCCATAAAAATATATCAAATGACCAAAAAAATTTAGTTTAATATTATAGTCAGTGGCGTATATAAGGGGGGTTATTGGGGTTATTTACCCCCCCTAGAATCCTGGGGGTAAATACCCCCCTAGAATCCTGGGGGTAAATACCCCCCCTAGAATCCTGGGGAGAATTCTAGGGGTAATTACCCCTGAACATATTTTCAGGCCCTGAATAGCAGGGGTTACTCCATTTGCTGCCTCTACAAGTAACAGTTCCAGTTGCCTTGACCCCTTCCCTTCAAAAAAAAATACATTCCCATTCCCTATTCATTAGTCTGCACTTGTGTAAAGACGACTATTTTCATGATAGTAAAAGTTTTTGCGGCATTTTGCAGATGCTTAAACTTTTAGTTCGGTTACTTCAGCAAAGTTCACTCACACACAACTCGTCATTATAAAAAATATATATATTATGAGTTAATTTCCTAAAATACGATTTTTGGACCCCCCTCCCCCTCCTTTTGTACATGGATATCATATCATATGTAAGACAATTTTTGAGCCAGCTAAGACTCTGAATCAAAAATGAAGATATTCTGAACAAGTTCTTAAGCTCCAAGCCGCGCCGACTTTATAATGGAGGAAAGAGTTGTTACTTTGTTTTTGTTTTTAAAAAATGGTTGATTTTAAAATTAAATATCTTTTAAATTTGCACGAAAACAAATAAAATGTTCACTGTGCAGATAGGTCGGAATCAGATATTTCAAATTTTAAGTCAACATATTCTAAATGATTCTAAATTCTAAAGTAATAGTCAATGTCATTAAAATTAGATGTTTTTTAATAGAAAAAAAATGGTGAGGACAATAAAAAAACATTTTTATTTTTTACTTATAAATAATGTCATTTCCACATTAGATTTCGTTAATATCTTAACATACTACATTGACGACAAGAAAATTTAACAATGAGTAATGACCATATTTTTTCAAAGTTTTGCAGAGTAGCTTTTCTAAAGATTAAAAAAAGTAACATCTTTTTCCTCTTAGAGTAAAACTATCATTTTTTATATTACTGCCTTTTTTGTCAATGTTTGGAAAAAGTTTAGTTAAACTTGAATAAATTCAGTTTTTTTACAGATCTTTGTAGTTAATGTAAAATGAATGACTATAATGAAAGATATAAAACAAGGTGAAAGCTGAAAGGTATGTCATGAAGCCTTTATTAGATTGAGTTTGTAAATCCCAGAAATGAGTGGAAAATGCAAATCAACCCCAATTAAAACCAAAAATTTGATATACATCATGATATTTTTCCAGGGGGGGGTAAAAAATTTCTAGGGGGGGGGGTAAAAAATTATAAATATTTACCCCCCCCTACAGAATCCTTATATCCGCCCCTGATTATAGTTCAAAGCATTTAATTTCAAATGAGCAAAAAAATGGTGGATTCTCAATATTGAACTAATCCCGTTTGAACTACTATTGTTTGTTTGAACTATTGTTCATTTGAACTATCGTTCATTTGAACTACTGACATGACATCATGTATATCCTGTAGTTCAAATCAACACATTACTTGCTCATTTGAACTATTTTTCTACCAATTCAGTTTTTAAATTTTTTTATAATTCATGAAGATATATATTTATGCTCAAATTTGAACTATTTTTATGTCCATTTGAACTATTTTTTTGTTCATTTCATTATGTTTATTTCATAATGTTAATATAGTTCAAATGAACAATAGTTCAAATGAACAATAGTTCAAATGAACAATAGTTCAAATGAACAATAGTTCAAATGAACAATAGTTCAAATAAACAATAGTTCAAATGAATAATAGTTCAAATGAACAATAGTTCAACTGAACAATATTTCAAATGAACAAGTTCAAATGATCAATAGTTCAAATGATCAATAGTTCAAATGATCAATAGTTTAAATGAACTAAAAAATAGTTCAAAATGAGCATTAGATAAACTCGTTTGAAATATTGTTGATTTCAACTATTCATGTCGTACCACGTGCAGTATAGTTCAAACAGACAATAGTTCAAATGAACAATGCTTCAAATGAACAATAGTTCAAATGAACAATAGTTCAAATGAACAATAGTTCAAATGAACAATAGTTCAAATGAACAATAGTTCAAATAGTTCAAACGGGAGTAGTTCAAATAGCCCTACTAACCCGAAAACCTAAAAATACCAAAGTCTCTATATATAGGTGTACGTATTAATAGGTATTTTTAAGTATAAACTTTGGTTTTAGAACTTCAAAATACGTATTTTTACGTAAAGGTAAAACCTAAAATTTCAAAAAATTAAGAAATGTTAGGATTTTATCAAACCTAAATCTACGTATAGGAAAAACCTAAAAATTCCTGGTTTATTGGATTTTATAGGTTTTTTACATACACATGTTGATGTATGTCATATACGTAGTTTTACAGATATAAAATACATATTTTTACATAAAGGTAAAACCTATAAATTCCTGATTCATTGGATTTTTAAGGTTTTTTGCATACACACTTTTAAACTCGTTTGAACTATTGTTGATTTCAACTATTCACGTGGTACCACGTGCAGTATAGTTCAAATGAACAATAGTTTAAATAGTTCAAACGGGAGTAGTTCAAATAGCCCTACTAATCCGAAAACCAAAAAATACCAAAGTCTCTATAGGTGTACGTATTAATAGGTATTTTTAAGTTTATACAGTTTATACAGGGTGTCCCAAAAAACATGGGAATTCAGTGACGAATTCGATATCGTCCTTGTTATGAATTAGCATTTTAATACCTAATTTCAAAACCTATAATATTATTATGTCTGCTAGAGTTTATTTAATGAAAAGGGTAAAAGACTGTAAAGATGTGTCTATAATGTCTCTGCAAGATGAACAGTGGAGACGGACAAGTTTACTCTGTTTGTATACTGTAATTTTCTTGTTTTACTAAGTACAACCGTATGCAGTCAAAACATAAACAAACAAAATGTAAACATAGCAGACGAAACTCTTACAGATTACAGCTTTCTCAGTAGGTATCACTATACTAAATCAAAGAATTATTTGAAAAGACGATATCGAATTCGTCACTGAATTCCCATGTTTTAGAACTTCAAAATAGGTATTTTTAAGTAAAGGTAAAACCTAAAAATTCAAAAAATTAAGAAATGTTAGGATTTTATCAAACTTAAATCTACGTATAGGAAAAACCTAAAAAAAATTCCTGATTCATTGGATTTTATAGGTTTTTTACATACACATGTTGACGTATGTCATATACGTATATTTACAGATATAAAATACATATTTTTACGTAAAGGTAAAACTTATAAATTCCTGATTCATTGGATTTTTTAGGTTTTTTACATACGTATTTTTACGTTTGTCAAATACGTATTTTTACCAAAGAAATGGTTACGAAAATATTTATGTCAAACGTATGGAAAATACGTATTTTTACGTATTGTAACGCTGTCGTGGTGTTGTAATCTTTTTGATGATAGTTCAGAGATGAAAATATTTATCCCAAGTTTGAATCTATAAATAGTATGGCGGGAAATTCAAGTTGGTTGATCCAATGCTAAGAAGGGGCCCGGGTAAAGAGGCCAGGTTAATTCACCGAGAAATTTGTTGGCATCAGGAATTCCTGAAAGAAGCGAGCAGGTCAACCTGTACCTGATCTATAGTTAGTTGGCGACGAACCTTCACATCAAGGAGTTATAAAGAAAACTGGATCGTTAGTCAGAACTCAACCATAAACTTCATTTCTCTGATATTTCGTAACAAGCATCATTTGTTATTTTATCATTAAATAAATTAGCTAAACTGTACATCGCTTAATATTTGGTTAGAATGAACTCAGTTTTAGCCCTTTTGGCTTGAGAAAATATCTCACTTTTTCATATATATTACAGTATTCCTTAACCTAAAATTGCGTATATACGTATGTCATTTTCGGGTTAGTATGGAGGATAGCATCATTTTTTCTCATGTATGGAATATTTTTTGCTCATTTGAACTATTATTTTTGCTCATTTGAACTATTTTTGGTTCATTTAAACTATTTCTTTGATCATTTGAACTATTCTTTGCTCATTTGAACAATTTTTTTTGCTCATTTGAATTATTTTTGGTTCATTTAAACTATTTCTTTGATCAAGCTATTTTTAGCTCGTTTGAACTAATTTTTGCTCGACATTCGAACAATTTTTGGTTCATTTGAACTATTTTTTGGCTTATTATGAATTATATACCCAGCTTTTCAATTTGCGTAAGCAGTGAAACCGCATATTTGTCAACCATTAACCCCCCTCCGCCCATCCATGTAATGTCGTCTTTAACTCTCTTTATTCCCCTCTCGGAGACACCAAACCAAATAATTTTTATCCCCATTTTCTTTGTTCTCCGGTAACGGAGTCTAAACACTTTTATTATTGTGAACAAAATATTTCATATAAAGAATTGGTGAATTTAACAATTAATTGTCATTCTTTTCAGAAGTTTTAACCTTCATATCAATCATTAGATCGTAAGAATCTTTTCATTATAAAATTATAAAACTTTGTAACAATTTATGTATTATTATCCATTTAATTTTTTTTAGGAAATAAAGAGTTTTCTGCATTATCGGTTTTGATTTGAGGGTTATTCCATTGTCTATCTGTTCATTATTGAGAATCTTGCTGCTATCCGACAACAATATTATTTTGGCTCCAATGATGCAATTACAGTATTAAATTTGAGTAACTCTGGATTTCAAATTATTTTAAATATCTATTTATATTTATATTTAAATTATATATTATATATATATATATATATATATAAATATATAATATCCTGAATTTGTGTAGATATGGATTATTTTTTTTCAGGCATACAAATTGCATAAAAATGCGCTCAATTTGCGAAATCGCCGAAATGTTAAATATCTAAAATGTCAGAAAAGACATTATTGCATTTTCCAAAAAAATTTCAAAAACACCGTTTTCTTAAAAAGAATTTAAGTTTTCCCAGCTGGAAAATTTCTCATGATCGGAATTCCGATTTCTGACTTGAGGAATTCTGATGAAATCGCTCCGCTTTTTCATTCCGATCTGTTCTGATCATACATTCATGGCCAATTTCTTATTTATTTAACCATAGGTACAACTATAAGTCGTATCTATCTATCTACACTGCTCTGGTAAAGCGTAACCATAGTGTGACTATGGTTCTAACAAAGGTAGAGCGTCTAAGAAATTGGCCAAAAGCAGAGAACGAAAGGTAACAGGGCCGTTGAACCGATCGGTGGGACTAAAGCTGGACACAGTGCCAAATTCTTCAGTTTAGTTTACGATTTGGAAGATAGGATTTGGGTAAATTCACTGAATTTTCTAACGAAAGTTTTAAATATCTTTAATATTGCTTAAATTATAATCTAAATTATAGGAAAACATGCAACTTTATTAAGCGTTTATTCAATCAAATTAAGACAACTTTTTAATTAAGGTTATGATTGGTAACAAGCAGTCTGAATATTAGCCAGGATGTACATTGTACAATGTACATGGATACCTCATTGCAAGTATTGCAATGTAATAGATCCCGTTGGATGTTGAAATTCGAATAAATAGCAATATCAAGACGACATTTGATTTATTCACATTATTTTGCATTACTTAACTTTCGTTTTGGAAAGACACGTTCAAGTGAAAGTGTTCGGTAGAAAACAGAAAAGAGTTGTTGTATCATTCTGTTTACATTATGAAATGTTTAGGGGCGTATTCAGATATTGTCTAGGAGGGCTTAGCTTTTTTTCTTGATTTTAGGATTTACAACCAATTTATTTTATAAGAATGCTGATCAATTCTAGGGATTTATGAGAAAAAAATTAAATGAGTTAAAGTTCCAAAAAAAGAAACAAGATGGCATGATAATTTTACGTTAATGTATGTTTTGTCGGTATTCCTGCAGGGCTTTCTTGGTCTTGGTCTTGGTTAGGGGTGTCTGACTGAGTTGTTCAGTGAAATAGAAGTGCACCTCTTAGGACATTGTATTGTCCAACAGTAATAGCATTAAGGTTAAAACTTACTTAATAATTTAATTATTATTTCATTTTTCACATTCAATTTACTACGGTTTACCAAAAGAGAAATTAATGGCGTCTAAACAAGCCCTCAGCATTCTGTGCACATTGTCGGGCGAGTCGGGCACGTCTGAATTTTCTACCATCTTTGCATTCATTCTTTCTAAACAAATTGTTTATACAACATCTAAGACGATTCCCATAAACTTTACAGAACGTTATGGTGCTAACTGCTAACATGATTTAAAAAATAACAGTTTTAAAAAGCACACCAAATATAATTTAATGTTTTATGATTTATTTAATAGAAATTAAGTGCAGGAAGAAGCAAAACAGGAAACTTCAGAAACATTAATTTTTTCCAATTGTATCCTTTGTATATCGACATATATAAATATATATTTATATGTATATATATATATATATATACATATAAATATATCCTGCTAAATTATGTAAAATGTAAATATCACAACTTTGTATGTATCGAAACAATAGAGATCTAAACTGCATGCTCACTGTCAGAATTAGGTAAAAACAAGGGTGGAAAATTCAAACACAATTTCCAAACTTTAGATTATCTCCCAAGAATGAAGAGCATCATCAATTTTTGGGATCTGAATGAGTTTTTGCTTTGATTAGTTTTTTTTTGACATAAGCAGTGCAAGTATAAAATCTTTTGAACAACCTTTAACAGAGAAATGTGCAGGAACTACACAATGTGACTATAATCGTTCCTATTTTTTTTTCTGAAAAAATTTGAGGGATTACGCATAGTATTGTTTTGATCTTTCTTGGTCATCAATTTAAAAATTGATAGATTTTAAAGTGTAAAGAAACAATCAACCTAAAAGGGAAAGGTTTAAAAGGTTAAACAAGTTCTTGATACTATCCCTGCACAAATCCTTATATAAATATAAATATTAAATCAAACATTTAAAATATAGTAAATGACTTAGTATCACACAAATTATGTTCACAAAACTTCAATTTCTTCTTACAGAAAAAATATTTCAGCTCCAGTGAAAATGTCTTGTTTTCAAAGGTTTTCGTTTTAACATTCGCCCCAAAATCATTTTTTACTCTCAACATTTAGATAGGTTAGAAATATGGATTGAAAAACTCAAAATCTTAGAGTCTACATTTTTTGGCGGCTAACAATTTAGAATGAAAACAGTTAAACATGATATAATTATTATCTTTACCTAAAACGACTTATAAAGGACATTACAAAATTACAGTAAAGGGTTCAGAAAATGTCTTTCTTTTTACATGCATACGGAAAAGATCTAAAGGTGCAATTTTTCAATCAAAAGAAAAAGAGTAAAATTTGATTGTGATTTGTGCATTTATGTGAAAAGGCAAATTTGTTGTTTGCATTATTCAAATATATAAAAACTAAAATCTTCTCCGAATTGATATAAGAAATTTAAATGCACACATAAATCTTTGATCTGTGATTCAGTAATTGATGATGTAAAATGTACAATTAAAAATTAAAATCAAAGTATCTTACAAATATTTTAATTGTAATTTTTCCTTGATTCCTTTGTTAGAGGATCCCAACATTATAACAAAGGTATTGGGTACCATGACAGGGTTTAATTGTTCACCATCCAAAGGAAAGGATTCGCCTATTTTTGCCAAAAATATCTGACCTGTATTGTTTTTGTAAACGTTAATAGTGGTTTAATTAACTAACCCCCACTACTTATTGAAAGTATACTTTTTATATCCTTCGATTTTATATCAAACACCAGTTTTTATGAAAAGTAATTTGGTTGAATTATTCAGAATGCCTGAAATTTTTAAGTATGGTGTAAAGCATAAATTTTTTCGATAGATTATGTAGGGAAAAATTTAGAACTGAATAATTTTTTGCATTGTTATTAAGTCCCATATTTTTTGTTCGTTAAATACTGTTTACATGTAAAATATGATTTGTGGACCACATCTGATCTCAGTAAAATGATTTATAAAAATATTTGGATAGTTTATCACAAAACAAACGTATAAATATTAAAATTGAGTAGAAATTAGCGTGCTTTATATACGGTTGTATCAAGCTGAATAGAGAAGGCATAACGAGACAGAGAAATATATATATTAGTTCACATTGTATAAACATTAAACACTGCTTCATATTTCAGACAAATAAATAATATATGATGTACTTTACAGTATTACTCCAGCCACAAATATATTGTTTTTTTTTAAGCTGAAGAGCAAAATATATGACAAAGTAAGTTTTCACATAATACTTGCGGCTGCAATAACTTTATATTAGTATTTACAGCTGAAATAGTTTTATTTTTGAATGAAATGAAAGCAAATTGTCCACTGCACTTGAAACAGATAGATCTAATCACTGCATTGTATTTAGATCTCCTACAAGAGCAGCTGATTTATAAATATTAAAAATTAAGAACCGGATTACTTTTTTTGTAAAAATTAAAAATTAAAAAATAACATCTTTATCTTTTTTTAAAATCTTGATTGTTCTGATATTTAAGGTAGTTAGTAGGTTATTTAGTAAGCTAAGTGTGTTCTAAATTTACTAAGAGCTAGTATCATTAAAGTAAACAACCCTTGGAATCCGGATCAACATTTTTGATGTCTGGATCTGGAAAAATATACGGATCCAGGTATCCAGATCCTAGAGGCAAAATGTTATCCTTAGTTTCTTTTATACTGTTTTATTGATAAGGAAACTTGTTGGCTTTAAAAAGTATAAAAATACTGCTCTCCTAGACTGTGTGGAACATCTTGACAAACTCTGTAAGAGAGAGAACATCTCCTATCCCTCCAGCATCCATACTGATAAACTCATCTAAACCAGCAAATTGATTCAACTTGGTTAAACAAAGATAAAATTCTTAAATGTATTAATAATTGAATCAATTTATTCAGCAAACACTATTTTCCTCTTAACTTCAATTTCCTAAAAAATGTATATTTTGAAGAGGTAAATTTTCTTGCAAGTCCGGGATTGTGATTATTTTTATTTTTAAGAAAGAATTAAAAAGTTCCTTGAATAAAAAAGTTGTCAAACCTTTAATATATAATTATAAAGCCTGCACTGATACTTCTTTGCATAAGAGCCCTGATTGAATCATTAGGAAAGACTTTTCCACAAGTACTTTCGGTGCCGGAAGAATATAGACGAAATGTGTCACAAACTCTAATTTTCTAATCATTATATCTGTATCTTCTTTATACGTTCTAGGCCTGTTAGATCAAATAGTCTAAGTTTGAAATATCAAAGGTTTACATCCCCAGATTGCAAAGATATAAGGATCAGAAAATATGAATTAGTATTGTATGTGCAGTTTCTTTCTTCTCAAAGAATATAATGGCCAAGATAAGCGATTGAAGTGTTTTACCAAGGTTATGTTGGCTGGTAGGTGATGATATACAAGGATAGGAAGGAGCAGGTTTCAACCAGCTACCATCCTCCTAAATAAATCTTTATGTTGGCTGGTAGGTGATGATATACAAGGATAGGTAGGAGCAGGCTTCAACCAGCTACCATCCTCCTAAATAAATCTTTATGTTGGCTGGTAGGTGATGATATACAAGGATAGGTAGGAGCAGGTTTCAACCAGCTACCATCCTCCTAAATAAATCTTTGTGTTGGCACCAAAGACGCACTTATTCACGAACGTCAAAAGTTACTCTTTTTGAGGTCGGAATATTGAACGCTTGATATCAATATCCAATGAGGGGACCTATCTGTGGATCTGGGTGACCATCAAAGGTCTCCATAAGATGGAGATCGATGCTTCTTTCTGAGATTCAAAACCCATAAGCTCTCCCTTCAGATCTGATAACTTTGAAAGGTAGCTGTACGTACTGCTATATTAAATTATTAGAGCCACGATTCTTTGAAAATTCGAATTTTTCTTCTCCAGGGGTGTATATTTTCTTGCAAAAATATATTTTATTCCCTCCCCTTTTGAAAACTAGTTTAACCCCAAAATTTTAGGTGTAAAAGTATGTAATATATATATGTACCCCTGCACTGTTCTATGAATACTTTTAAAGTTTGGAAAATGATAAGAATTCAAATAAAACAATTAGATTTATGTTCTGCTGTTCCGAATTTCAGGGTATGATGTAAATAAAAAATCAATAATTAATGTGTTTTCTCTGTTTGCAATGGAAAAGGTAATAAACTCTGAAAACCAACGCACTTAGGCTTGTTCATGTTCAACCAGAAAAAACGGCACATTTGTTATGCGCACATTTTCTGTCGGATATAACTAGAATTTAATTTAATTTAATCAGAATTTAATCAATAAATAAAAGCTGATTTCATTTGAGGTACAACAATGTTTATTTGTAAATATTAAAATATAGAATAAAATAAAATAACCTCATGTTTTTGAAGACAGTTCCTTTTAGGTGCATAATTTACCCCTGAAGGAAAAAATGAAAGTATTAATTAGAAGGTATCTTCAATGCATTAATATTCTATTAATTGTAATAACTAAGTTATTGATCTAATTACTGTTCCATGTAAAGACCCTCATTTATCAATCAATTAATTATTCATTATAGCTTTCAGACTGTTCTAGAAGGAAAGTGTGTGATATCAAATTTCCATTAGAAATCAATTAATTTTTGAAAAGATCCTGGTCCAGTAAGTGCATTCACCAAGACAAAGAAATCTATGAATAAAAAAGCAACCAGATATACATATTTAACTCTCCTGTGTCAATCTTTAAATATTTAGAAGAAGAATCGTTGTATGTAAACTGAGTTCCCTGGTAAATACATATTCTATAGAATGCTTTCAGCACATCAAAAGGTTTGATATACTCTTCTCTATGTCTATAGTATATGCTGGTTTTCCTTAGAATCAGTTCCTCTTTAAATATCTTTTTACGTGATTTGAATATTATCAAATATATTTTTACAAGTTTTTACTAATTTTTAAATCTTTAATCCATCAGAAAGTTTTAGTTCTATACAACTGGACATTTTATCTTACAGAGGAAGACAAGACAGGCAATCTTTTTAAGGGGGTGGGGGAGATAAAGTTTAGGGGTTTACTATCAAACAGAGATAAAATTCCTTGCTCATTGAGGTCGCGATACATATTTTTCCCTTCTAACTTTGATATCAATTTGTTCTTGGTTTGTTTAGCAGAATTAGGACTTTAAATAAAATGGGCCCAAAGCAATGGTGTATTTATACATCTACATTTGGCAATCAAAATGGGCAAAAAATCTAAATAAAGTTAATATATGATATATTAATATTATTTTTTTCTTTTTAAGCAATTTTAAATATTTTTATTTCCCCAGAGATTGTCTTTTAAAAGTTGGTAATTTAATTCTCACCTTTCTCATATGCCGTCTGTCTGAGGCAAACGTTGCAAGGAAGGTCGTGGCTGAAGAAACATCATTCAAAAATGTCATAAGAAAATAGTTTTAGTTTTTAAGACCTCATGATTTGTAAAGTTGTTTTCATCTTCAAATATAATATATTTATATTGTTTTTAAATTGAATTTTAATAAATAATTTCCATGATAAAACAAAAATCAACATAATAAAAATGTAGCAATATCAAATAAGAAAATGACAAAGAACTGCGTAGGTTGGATATTAGCTGACAGGAATACATAATATCAAATGTTATTCCATATTAATAATTGTATATGAACTCATTTTATTTTAATTCTTCTTTGATCGAGTTCTTGACAAATTTATTTATGTATGATGTTTGTATATAATCTTCACTCTTAGTACATTCCTAACATAACAAAACAATGGATTTACTTTAATTTTCAGAACAGTAAGTGGAACAGTAAGCAAAAGGGGTACATAAGTTAAAGGGACAGACCAGCTATGTATTAAGGTAGTTAAACTTAGGATGCAGTGTTGTGGACAAATTCTTTAGGATTCATTTGAGACATATAAACCGTTTCCACGTTGTAAATTTACTGAGTTTGAGCGCAAAGTCGACGTTCAAAATCATGATTTTGGGTGGGTACGTTTTCAGAATCGTTTTTTTTTAATCTATTAAATAACGACCCAGGATTTACAGATCTTTAAAAGTTTTATATGTCTCAAATGAATCCTGCAGAATTTGGCTACAACACTGCATACTCAGTTTAAATACCTTTACACATAGCCGGTCTGTCCCTTTAATCAATCAAAAAATCATGAAAAGAGATATGTACAAATTTAATTTCATTTGAATGTTTCTGTGAGAACCCCATTGAGCACTGCCCACAGCTGGATCATCTTGATATGATACTGAATGAATGTTTGTTCCTGGTATAACTCTAAATAATCTATGGTACTCCTGGTTTAGGATTGCATCTGTTCTGAATGTTTCTGTCACATACTAAAAATAAAATAGAGATTTTTCTACTAAACTTTAGTTGTGGAATTACTTAGCATGCATATCTAAGACTTCCCAGTACGGAAGGTTGATTTTTTTAGAATTTTTAAAATATCTATTGCTTCAACTGGATTTGCATGGAGAATTTTTTTGATTTCATTAGAGAGTTAAACAAATTTGATCGTAATAAAAACCAACTTTTGTCCTTGACAACATTGACTGAAGAGAAAAATGTTTTAATTCTAAGATGGGAGTCCCCTCCCCATGAACTAAATAAAAATCCATAAAATTAGATTAGAGACAAACAGAGATTCCTAATTTATATATAACTTAAGAAAAGAAAAAAATCGATTTTTTTTAGCCAATAACACCCCCTGCCACCCATGAGTGTCCACAAAAATGCTCAGCCCAATAGGGCCGGCTATACGCAACATACTTATGAATGTCTTGTTTTATTATATAGATTTATCTAGATATATAAAGTATAAAAAGAAATTTTCTTAGCTCGGTTTCAGAATTCTAAGTTGATTTGGTCGATTTTTAAAGGAAAATTAAGATTTCCCTAGCTATGTAGTTATGATTAAAGTATATACATAGCAATTCAGTATGCAATAACCAGTTGGGTATTAGTTAATTGGAACTTTGTTAATTATTCAAGACATCCCATCGGTGAATAAGGATCATGTTAATTATACTTAACATCCCATGGTAAATAAACCACCATTACTGTTGTGCAACTCATCTAATTAATATTCATAGTTCACTAGAACTTCAGTAAAAGTTAAAACCAAAATAATGTTTACATGAAGTTCAATTCCGTCAATTGGTGATAACTTAAAGTAATTGTTTAGTCATAAGAATAAGTTAAGCAATGTTATGCAACCATAGAGGAAGAGTAAGTTATTCCTTATATATCTTATATTTCCCCTTCATATTATTCAAGACTACTTTTCTATATCCTTTCTTATTGTATCAGATATTGGATTTGTTATACAATCAATGAAGAGGGGGGGGGGGGTACATATACAGTTCTCCACATAATAAACCAATATACAGGATCTACATGCCTTTATGAGGCAACAATATCTAATCATATTTGGTGTAGGTGTTTGTATGGTTTTATTACATACTACAGTGATAACTAGAAAACTCAGAAATAGGAAGACGACTTTTAGACTCAAGTTATCACTTTACATTGTCCAATAAGCATGGGGCACAGCAATTGTGAAGGGTAAACATACTCATTTCACTTAATTAGTGATTTGAAAAGTGTCTAGTGAAACTATTTGCTTTGTAACAACATAAAATACACTTAAGCATTGAAATAAGGTCGTCTTCCTATTCCAGAGAGTTCTGATTATCACTGTACTAGCTTGGGAACCCAACTCTGTCCTCAAACTAATCTTTTTCTATTAAAGTAAATCCACTTAATTTAGAATTTTTAAACCGAACTAAGAACATTCCCGTAGTTCTACCGAGTTCTCCAATGAAAATTTGAGGCAAATAAGTCAAGGAATTTATGATTTATGATCGGCCATACAAACAAACAGAGATTACAACTTTATTTAAAGATTTGTAATAGCTGAGGAGGAAAAAAATCTTGCCTTTTCTAATATTTTAAAATTTACTTAAAGCAATTTGTAAAGATTACTCAATGTCGCAGCTGTTCCATTTACAGTTTTTCCCAAACTTTAACTATTTCTGTCAATATGAGAAATATCTGAACAGCTACAGGGTTACATGTACGAAAATTTACACTGTCTGTTTCCTTACATTCATGAACTGTTAACTTTTTCGTTCTTTTAAATCAGAGAACCTAATTCAACCTTGGAATCATCAAATTTATAAAGTTTTAGGTCGTCTTTACAGTCTTATCGTTTGTGGGTAACCCTTCACCTAAATCCAACCAGGGGAGTTTTTCATAATATTGAACAATGTCTGTAGTCTGAATTTGAGCCTTGTTATAATAATATCATACTTTTGGATGATAACCATGAAAAAGAAAATCTTTGTTGTTCTGTTTAATACTGTCATGAAGTATGAAGCTGTTGTGTTGATTAATATGTCTATATACAATGTACAGTAAAGTATGTTTATTTAGCCTCCTTGAAGTATTCAACTATTGTATTGTATAATGTTTATGTACATTGTACATATACACCAAATATTACATATATTTCTTATCCATTAACATTTACTATTTGTTTACACTGAGCGTGTGTGTGTGTACACATTAAGCAATACAAATTTCCTCTATTTTATGGCCAACTGTATAAATATAAGAGTTTGCTCTGCAACATACAAACGATACTTCTTTCCATATAAATAGTTTTACACTAAATAAGCATTATGGTGCATGCTTCATGTTTTACAAGCCATGCATTCCGTTTTATATTCTCCATTTTTTACTTTCATCAGCTAAAAATTTATTTTGAAAATAAATTGTTGAATTTTCTTTTAGAAATAATTAAACCCTAAATAAAAATGCTTATATGAAAGTAGTGGGGAAATAATAAAAAAATTAACCTAGATTTTAAATCTATGGTAAAAAAACAACTGAATTACAATTTGGTTGATTTACAATAATTAATGGGCTATTTTGGGAAGAGACATTAAATGAATGACAATTCAGATTAAATGTTAAAAAGAAACACTTGTGCATGTAGTTTACTGCAATGACAAAAATACTATTTGATCCACATGTTTTCTAATAAAATAGAACACGTTTCATAAAAAATATGTTAATGAATTTTTTACAACCTATCTTACCTTGTGAAAATATGTTGGAAAAGGTAGTTCTGAGTCCAAATCATAAACTGTACAAAAAAAGAGTTTTTCTTTTAAAAATATTCCCCCCCTCCCGCCAAAAATCTGAAAAAATAGAAGGCCTAAGTAGATCAAACCTCCCCGTCCTAAATAATTGACCACTTTTCAAGTTTGCAAAAAAGGCACCATATCCATGTTTCAGGCATCATAAATTTATTTGGGAGTTCTTAGCTTCTCTTCATAGATTGTTTACTTCTTTATTCTTTATTATTATTATTATTAAAAACTCCGGAAAAAAAGTTGAAATGAAAAAACGAGAGAAAACTCTGATTGCCTAGTGTTCGGTGATCTGGTTTATACAGTAGAATAACATGATAATCCCAGATAACTAACTTCTCCTCCTCCCTCCCAGCCTTCTGCCGCCACAAGGGCACAACACGCTTCTTGTTAGAGACGAAGACGACAACACATTTCTCCACTTCATTACCAGATGTCTCTTTAACAGATTCACACAACTTGTACACGTTTTCTTCACAGTAGCACGCAGCGTATGAACACTAAAAAAACGTTATTACCAAAAAGTTTAACATTGGAAAAGCACAAAAAGCATATGCGCATCATGTATTGTTTTCCCGGTTTGTTGTTGGTAGGGTTTGGAAGGATTATGTTTTAATTTAACAAGTTGGAAGTTGCGTTTTACATTATTAGAGTTGTTTCCTTTCATGCTAGGTCATGAAAAGAATAAAGTTAAATTAAAAACACAAATTGCAGTTTCTCGAAATAATTGTGAAATGACCTAGAGATAAGGATTAAAGAAGGTAGCTAAAATCAAGAGTCATGACTACATTTTCGACTTTTTTTCCTGTTCTCAATATTTTCATTTCAAATTCACAATATTTGCTGATGGACTAGAGTAATGCCAGGTTTGGTGCATTACTGGAGAAGATTTTGAATATGTTAATTCTAGGCCCATGGGAATTTGCCCACGTGAACAAATATTTGAAATAAAAACATTTTGTAACTTCTAATAAATTTTTGTTCTTTTTTTAAAAATCCATAACTTTCTTCAGTCTAAAAGTAACATTTAAAGGGACAGACCGGCTTTGTAAGGTGATTGAACCTGAGTATGCAGTGCTGTGGAAAGCTTCATTAGGATTCATTTGAGACATATAAAACTTTTTAAAGATCCTGAGTTTGAGCGAAAATTTGACGTTCAGAACTCCTACTTTGGGGGTGGATACGTTTTCAGAATTGGGTTCTTTAAATTATTAAATAACGAGGACGAAAAATGTAAACAAAACTCTACAGTAAACTAATTGGTTGTTTAGGAACCTGTTGAGAAAATCAAAAATTAATCATACCTTCGAAAATAAGTAATCTTGTTCAATTATTAGTTTATATTTTCTCATCATTCTAGTTCTCATTATTCACCTATATTTTCTGCAGATTTTCTGGAATTATTATTGAAAAGACGACATTTGAAGAATTTGAAGAAATCTGCGAATAAACTCAAAGAAAATAAGATATTCAATATAATGATGAAAACAAAATAATTTTCTTCTGAGAAATATATTCCCAACCATCTAATTAGATTACTGTATGATTTTTACTTTATTTTTCGTCCTCGTTATTTAGTAATCAAAAAAACCGATTCTGAAAACGTATCCACCCAGAAGTAGAAGTTTTGTACATCGAATTTTTTCTCAAACTCAGGATTTACAGATCTTTAAAAAGTTTTATATGTCTCAAATGAACCCTAAAGAAGCTTTCCACAACATTGTCCCTTTAAAACAACAAAAAATGAACATTTATCATATTTCTAAGAAGAGAAATATTTCAACAAAATTACATTATCATATTTTTAGATTGTTTTTATGATGATTCTCAGAAAATATAGGTGGGGGAGGGGATACCTGTACGGCAGGAGGGATATTAGCTGGCATAGGAATCCTAGAGGCGGACAGTGGTCGGACAGTAGCACTAAAATATAGTAAAGGTTAGTGGTCGGAAAGTAGCACTAAAATATTGTAAAGGTTAGTGGTCGGACAGTAGCACTAAAATATGCTAAAGGTTAGTGGTCGGACAGTAGCACTAAAATATTGTAAAGGTTAGTGGTCGGATAGTTGCACTAAAATATAGTAAAGGTTAGTGGTCGGACAGTAGCACTAAAATACAATAAAGGTTAGTGGTCGGAAAGTATCACTAAAATATTGTAAAGGTTAGTGGCCGGACAGTAGCACTAAAATATGGTTAAGGTTAGTGGTCGGACAGTAGCACTAAAATATAATAAAGGTTAGTGGTCGGACAGTAGCACTAAAATATAGTAAAGGTTAGTGGTCGGATAGTTGCACTAAAATATAATAAAGGTTAGTGGTCGGACAGTGGCACTAAAATATAATAAAGGTTAGTGGTCGGACAGTAGCACTAAAATATAGTGAAGGTTAGTGGTCGGACTGTAGCACTTAAATATAGTAAAGGTTAGTGGTCGGATAGTTGCACTAAAATATAATAAAGGTTAGTGGTCGGGCAGTAGCACTAAAATATAATAAAGGTTAGTGGTCGGACAGTAGCGCTAAAATATAGTAAAGGTTAGTGGTCGGATAGTTGCACTAAAATATAGTAAAGGTTAGTGGTCGGATAGTTGCACTAAAATATAGTAAAGGTTAGTGGTCGGACAGTAGCGCTAAAATATAGTAAAGGTTAGTGGTCGGATAGTTGCACTAAAATATAGTAAAGGTTAGTGGTCGGGTAGTAGCACTGAAATATAGTAAAGGTTATTCCTAATAACTAATATCATTGATAATAGACCTCATTTCTTGAAGAGTTTCATCACTATAAGAGTTGGAGAAAAGTTTTAAAAAATTCTAAACATTTTAAGTCGGTTCTATTGGGTGGGTTTTTAGGGGTCGTTCAAAAGTTTAAAGTAATGCAAAATTTACAAAAGGGGGGGAGGGGGGAATACTAGATTGTCCCTAAAAGTCTGGTTTGATTTGATTTGACTTGATTCCAAAATAAAGCGTGTTTTGCGCCCAAACTTTGCATTTGCTTCAAACGGTGACATGTTCTAAAATGAAATCAATTATTATCTAAAATTGAAATTTCTTTATTTTCGGGGGGTATTTGAATTTTTTTTATAAAAATATAGTCTTAACTATTCTGAATTAAAGTATGCAGTCGGTTTTTTCCTTCTAGACTTAAATTGATTAATATAAACAATTAAAATTGTGTCAGGTCTGGGCCAAATCATGGTGAGGAACTTGCTTCCCCTGCATTGTAAGTGTAACGTGAACTGGAACTAACTTAGATTAAAAATTCCAAGTTGAGTTGGTAGAAAGGGAAAGATTAGATTTCCAGGTAAAGCTGGGTTCCCAAGATAGTAAACTCGACACTCAAGAAACATTCTATTTGATTTATGTACCTTATTACTATATTTGTATCCAGTTATCATTAGATAAGTGAATATGAATATTAGATGAGTAAACATGAATGAATAAATATACCTTTTCAGAATTTAAGGATTTAGGATTAAAGTTGTGTTAACAAAATAATTTTCGACTAAAAAATCAACTTTTAGTTAAAAACTAAATAATTTTTGTAGTTTTCATTTGTTAATATATGATCAAGTAGGATGCTTTTGTACAGAATAATAATGTGTATTACAAATATTACAAAGGAAAACAGGCACAGAAGTATAAATATAATATTTTATTTCTAAATGAGGCAATTTTTCAAACAAAATTCTTCAATGAAAAATTGTATTGTAAAAAACATGAAGCAAGAGAAATATGAAAATTTTATGAACATGAATATATTTATGAGGAGTGACAGTTTTATTGATAATAAGTGACAATGTTATAATTTTATTTGATTACGCAGAACAGAATCTATAGAATATAAATGTCAGAGATATATAAATTAGCTCCCCCTGGAGGGTGAATATAATTTTAAAAATCTACATTTAGATATTTTTTTTGGATACATTTCTCTCATTTTAGGTCATTTGATTTCCAAGTCATCTGGCCACTCTGAGCCCAAAACTTAAGACAGGGTATTGTTATGAAAAGCAATTTTAAAACCCGGGTTTCACGACTGGGGTTAGGCAGTTTTGTGAATATAAATATTTTTGTAATTATTTTTTTCAGTTTGTTTATATTCTACATTTTTTTCGAATCTCTTAAATTGAAATCTACACAAATGTTAAGACCCCAAAAAGGAAACTCGGGAGTTTCGTTCAACGATACTCTTTCAAATTTCGGGCTCTGGTGTACAGTACAAACTCACCCAGTAAGTGTACAGTGTATAGTATGAACTCACCTGGCGGTTTTACCGGTTCCATTTCCGCTTCTCAGGGGACTCTCGTTGGATAATGACGCCATTTTGGAATCTTTCATTCACTATTTGTCAGATCTATACACTACTTTCAAACCGTCTGAACAATAATTAAAATTATTTATTTTTTCAAAGAGTTTTCTAAAAAGTTGATGCTTTCCTTTATTTGCATAGTACTGAAAAATTTAAGCCTTTTTAAAAAGTTTCTTTTCAAAATATTGGCCAATAAGAAAATTTTGAAAAATATTTAACCGACCTTGTATTCCAATCAAAAAATTATTTTTATATCTAGTATAAAAGTTGATGTCACAATTTAAAATATTTTGAAAAGCAAAGAATGTAAAATAATTTTAACAAGTCGAGAAGTTTTAAAGTTTCTCACGCGAAAGTTCAGTATCAGTTCCTACGTGAAGATTTAACCGATCAAGCTAATCTGTTCAGTGTTTATCAAATAGTTTATCAGTTCTCCTTGATTATCCCCTCAGCCCCCCCCCCCCTCTGTCCCCTCAGTCCCACATTCTTTCCAATTTACAAAATAGTTTTTGTATTTATACTTGTAAAGTGATAACATTAAAAAGTGTAATAAATGTCGTGTTTGCTATTTCATTCAGAATGGAATACCTCAGAGGATTTAGTAAAATCTTACTTTTGATATTTGAAAATGTGCTTTAATTGTAAGTTAAAAAGAAGTAACAAAAACAAAAAATTCCAAACATCAGTAAAAGTAAAAAATAGAAGTTAATATTATCAACTGTTTATAAGATTATGGCGGAAGGTTAAAATTACTAAGCATAAAATAATCCGAATTTAATTCTAAACTATCAAAATCGAACTTTTGACCTGCAGTTACAATGGCTTTTAACAAAAATAAACTTTATTCAGACATTAAAGAGACTGTAAAGGAAAAATGAAGCTCAGGAGTTGAATGATACAATGCAAGATATCTATCTGATGTTCCTGACTCGAGAAATTGATTTAAAACTGTGCCAAATTTATACGAAAATTCATATATATGCAATTTTGTATAAAAGTTGTAATATTAATCAAATCATTTTCAACAAATACGCAGTAATTTTTCATAATTCATCATTACAATAAATTGGTAAGTCGGGACAATAAAATAATCAGCAGGTAAAATAAAATGGTAAGCCGGTACAATAAAGTGGAAAGTATGTAATAAATACCGCGGCAGATCCCATAGTTACCCATAGATAAATTACGTTGTATATTGTCTGAAAAATCTAAATGCGCTTATCACTACGCAAATCTTGTAACCTAAACCTAGCTATGTCTGCAAATAACTACGTTAAACCTGTATTGTGATTAGCTGAACTACGTTGGTACATAACAACGCAAACCTTGTAATTATGTCGATTAAACTTAATCTGTAACCTAGAATCCAATATACATTTAGTTGGAATTAGACTCCCCTCTGATTACAGTATGAGAGTAATTTATTCTTGGTTATCGACCAAGAAGCGTCCTGAATCACTCTGTTGCAATATAGAAATAGTTAGGGAATCAATACAGATAAATACGTCCGGATTGACATTGACAGTAAAGTATTACTGAACTGAATAGCTCTCATGCCTCGGCAACCATAACGAGAGGGAACCAGTATCGATGCAGATAAAGCCATGTCCGGATTGACATTGATAGTAAAGTATTCCTGGAACCTGAGTCCCTGATTGAGTTGTACCTGGATTGATACAGGTCTGAAAGACTTTTATGAAGTAAGGCATTTACTACAATCAAGGATAAGGTAACAAGATTACAATTCAGTTTCTCCTTCTCAAGTGTTTGAACGACATTATTTGCAGACTGCAGTGGTTGTCCAAGCAGAACCAATATTGGAGACGAGAATAGGATATAATAGAATAGAATAGAATAGAATAGAGTAGAATAGAATAGAATGTAAAAGAAAAAACAAAGAGCAGTTTCTATAAAGCACATCTTCACAGACGGGAACTAATATCAGAGGTTAGAAAATAAGTAATTAAGTTTACACACAAAGATTATCAACTTTTGGTCCAAGTAGCACTAAGTGGCATCTTATCTTTCTTTTCAGATAAAATACTCATTTAAGAAAAATAAAAAGATTAAGGTATATTATCAAACTAATTTCATTAAGTCCATTGATAATTAGAAAACTCATTATCAGTTTCATTACCTTTTAATCAAAACATTCTTTGTCTGGATTTAATCTAAAATTAATCTTTGAAAATAATAAGAAAAAGATGAGGCAAAAATTGTATCATCAGAAAATTCCTTTGAAAAGAAGTAAATTGTTTTAAAAGATTCTTTCATCTTTATTTTGACAGCCAAAGATTTTCCTTTATTTTTACTTTATCGCGGAACAGTACTTGAGTAATTTAAGCTCCTTCTAACTCTACTTTGACATTTTTCTGAAAAAAATATTTTAGATTTATTTTATTAATGCCAACTTCAGGACAAAGTTATTATTATATTAGAATTATAAGTTTCTCTGGGCTACAGATTATAGTTGGAAATGTATTCGATGACCATAAATATGTTTGAATAGCACTTAGTGAGAATCCAATCTGTAACTGAATTACAATCAGGATACCTCGGGGCCCAGAGAGTCCAGGCTATAATTTGGGAAACACTTGTAATTCCAGCTGTTTCTGTTTCAGACCAACATTATGTAATGATTATTTATTTTACAGATTTTTAAACAAGATGTTTAACTCTTGCTTAGCGAAAGTAAAAGGCAGTGTTAAGGATTCAGATCTGGATCTGTTGGATTCGTAACATTTTGGCTTTCTGGATCCGGATCTTGATTTGCAAAAAACAAAAAAACTATCATATTATCATGTTCAATTTGATACACTGTATGTTATGTTATAAAGGGGTTAGCCCCGCTTTAATGATGGTATATCATGATTATTCAGAAACTAAACATGAAATCCAGCAATTTGGTCTTAATTACTTGTTTTAACAAATTCTATATGAGCAGAGCAATACATGCCATACTGTATCAGGCATAAAACAAATGGATTGACTGAAGAAAATTATGTATTGGAACTAGTTTGGTATATTTTGGTGGTTTTTGGACTTAGGCAATAAGAGGGAAACATTTTTTTTTTGGTACCATAAAAACAATTCTAAGATGTTATCACAGAAATTAAAAATTGCCGTCGCAAATAGGTTTTAATTAATGATAATTTAAGTGTAAAAATCACTAGTAAAGATGAAAATTAAAATGTTGAAAAGCCTATTGATATAGGTACTGCTGAAACCTGCTTAAATACCCAAATTGAATGGAGTTACGGCCGAAACACTAATTATTTTAGGCACTTCTTCACCAGTTTTCAACAAATTTCAACTCTGTTAACTGATTTGAGTGAGAGGAGAAGCTGAACCGCACCAGTTTGACATTTGACCCACAGATGACGTCACAAAACAGGTTTGGGGCATGGGCTTACCCCTATGCCATCCGACCTTTACCCGTTGGCCTTCCGGCTAAATGTCTTAATTTGTAAAGGCAATTATTGTAAGTCATATTAAATTAACCCTTTCTTAGAAAATGCCAGATTTTATTTAAGCACTGATTTTTTCTTGGTGTTCCAAGATTTTTTTGAGTAGATTATTGTCAGTGAGTACATACTTAAATAAAGAGTAAATTGCGAAAAACCGCATTTATTACCATGGGATGTTCAACGTCAGTGCACTCACAAAAACTGCAAAGTCATAAACAAAAATAATGTATTACAGTTACTTTTTCATTTTTTAACATTTTTTGGACCAAGCAAAACATAAACTTTTTTTAAAAATTCTATAATAAAAACAATGAATAATTTTTTTAAAAATGTAAAGGGTTTCTATAAAAGTTTTCTTGCAGAAATACTAGGGTTTTCGAGTATTATGTGCGTATTTTGGCATTAACGCTTAGAGATAATCTAATATGATATGGGACACTCTGTTTTATCTAAAAATCTTATGAATATACTGAAATGCAGGTCAGAAGACATACGGGTAAATGACGTAAATAGCTCAATGCTGCAAATAGATTCCATGACGTCTTTAAGATTTAAAATAATGCTGCATTCGTCTATAATTAGCATATAAGGAACACAAGGAAATGGAATCTGTGTTAGATCCCAATGAGGACCCCTCAGACCACCGCCAGGTGTGGGAAGCAACCATCCCGCACTCATTCAGCCCAGACCTTTCACCCCCCCCCCCCCTAAAGGTATTCCCCTGCTGCTGGTGGAATCATGGAGATCAAACTAATTAACTCCATTGGTTGGTTGGTATCTGACAACCGTTTATTAGGTGAAGCCTAAACAGTTGCCAGGATTAGTGATCCTGCAAGGAACATCCAGTGATCTCGGATCAAGTTTAGTTAGTCAGCTTGTTTCAGCAGCACTTCTTTAGAAGCATTGGCTCCCCCTAGGATTCGTGTAAGGGTTGCCGTGCTACTCAAGACCTTTTTTGTCATGAGGGCTTGTATTCCTGTTGTTGACCTTTCATAGGCCACTACCTGACAAGATACCACAACATGGTGTTCAGAAAGGTGGTTAACTAACCCTTTGTCAAGACAAAGTGGAAAGCTGTTCTCCTCTGTGTGAAAATATTGCTGATCACTGACCAGAAAAGATTTTTGCTAGACTATTCTTGCTCTATCTGTAACTAATTTTCATTGTGTATTCTTATAACTGTTTAAGTATTCCTTTCTTTCTACCAGTTCTTATGACTAATCTCCAGAACTACTTGGACATCAAGGTTGTTCTTGCATGCAGTCTACTTTAAAGGCGGCATTCCCGGACCTTTTCCGTGATCTGCATTCTGAGGGTTTTTGCTTCCTATATGAATAACCTTAAGAGCTTCTCTTTGTTCTTCTCATCCTCACCGGTTCCTAAACCTAAACCATGTTCCAGTTGTTTAACCTGCGACTCTACAACTATGCACTATGCATATACGAATCAAGAAATTTTTACAGAAGGCCAACGGGTGAGGGTTGGATGGCATAGGAGTAAGCGCATGCTGCAAACCCATTTTGTGACGTCATCAGCAAGTTGGATGACAAACAGGTGCGGATCGCCTTCCCTCCCTCTTTGAACTAGAGGTTTCAAGACGGTTCTATTGAAACCCATATCAATATGATTTTTGAACTTAAAATAGTTTTTAACACACCCTACTCTCTATCACTAGACTTAAATAATTTTCTTCTCAATATTTTTCGGCCGAATATTTTGGCTTCATCAGGAGTTTCTCCTACAATATTAAAGATATAAGCAAAAAATAAATAATGTTAGAAATGAATTTTTAAAATATGATTTTAAACTTTTTATTTCTACTTTTACTATTGATAATGATATGTTTACCTTTTTATTCCCATTTAACCCCAAATGCGGCGGACGGCCATTAATAATTTTAGTGAAAAATACCTGTTATAAACATGTCTCAGAATCCGTAGAAGAATACCTAACTGTTTCTGTCTGCAATCTGTTAATTTCCAATACTTTAAAATTGTTTTTTTTTGTAAAAGTTTACTTCAATTAATCTTTGCAATATTTCTATCCTAAGAGCAATATAAGGGAAACACGAACCAAAAACGATTGTTTTTTGCACACAAATACGATCATTTTTTGAATATTTTTCTCTAAGGATTAAGGTAAGGCATTGTGTCAGAAAAGCAAATGTTTACGATAAAATCCAAAAACCTTTAAAGTTTTTAAAAAACGAACCAAGCAATACCCTATCACTAAATGGAACTTTTTCTAAAATATTTATAAAAAAGGCCATTTTTGATCAGAAATTAAATGAAACGGAATGAATCTATCATTTCAACTGCACAGCATAATCTATTCTATTATTGTTTAGAAATTCCTAGGATTAGAGAATATATCTAAAGCTAGGCATATATGGAAGAAACTTTTAATTATGCCAAGAAATGTTTACAGTCGGTTAAAATCTAAGATTGTGGCCTTCAAAGAAACTTTTTTTCTTGTTTTTATTTTAAAATATACGAGGACAAAATGTTTTGCGGGCATAGTAGCATTTAAAAGTCAGTATAGTTAAATAAATGGATGTCATTTGACAAAAATGTTAAAAACTGAGTTGGATTTTCTATTTCTAGATATACGATTACGATTATCAATCATTTATTTAACTTATTTTTAAAAATCATTGGAAACTGAAATACAACAATACAAAATAATAGTGAATAATGCAAGCGAAAATCAAGTTTAAATCAACATTGTTTAATACTTGGTCACTATTAAACTTTGAATATTTCTAAATAATGAGAATAATCGTTGTGCTGTAATTTATAAATTAATGTGTGTGTTCAGTGGGCTGTATAAAACTACATATTTGGCTACACCAAAACAAACATGTACGTAGAATAAGAATTCTAAAGCACCATATTACATTATGTTTATAAAATCCCAATTTGACCTATAAAACATGAATTTTTCTTTTTCTCTCGTTTAAGCTTTTGTATAGGCAAATTCAAAAAGAAGTAAAAGAAAATTCTGATTTTCTAATCTATGCAATCAAATGTCGTACGAACTATGTATTCAAAAGATAAAATTATAAGTTTAAAATATTAAAGGTTTACACCATCAGGTTGCAAAGATATGGGGATTTAAAATAATTAAGTTTGTGGCAACGACTCAATTCCTGTGTAAGTTTAAAAAGATTGCTGAATTTGACAGAATTAAAATCAAAGAAACCGAACACATCTAGTCCTGTTTAGTCCAGAGTGTTTTTCCATTTTCTTCTTTTTGTCCTTTCTCCTTAACCTTCCTTCCCTTCTTTTTCAAGCTACTACGATCTACCCTTCATTTCTGATTTACTTTCTCCATTGCCATTTTATAATTAACTTTAATTATTAATGCATTCTATTATTCACTATTTTTCAGTTTTTTAATTCTTCTCTTTCTTTATTTTTTCTTTAAAAAGTTAAGTTTTTTTTTTCTTAAGTGTATTTAGAAAGAAATCCTGCAGTTGCGGTCAGACTAGTTCACAACTTTAAATTCAACTTTGAAACTTTGACAAGACTGAAAAGAGGTTCACAAGAACTTGGCATTCATCAAACTTTCAACAATTCTAAATTGAAACCCTGACAAACAAAACTTTTCAAGAAGTTTGTACACACAGTTTAAGGGATTGAGTGTTAACACGGCTGAACCAATCGGGCTTAAATCTTTGGAAGGACCTCACAGAACTGTTATTGATGTGAACTATTATATGAATTATGGAAGCCCAATGAAACAGAATATTCAGCAAATTACTTGATTATAATACGATTTAAATATCAGAAGAAGCCTGGATTGCTGATGGATCAAGAGCAAAGATAATTACTAACATGAAGACTGGCCCAGGAAGCCTGTTATTGCTATATATTTGGAATTACGAAACAATTAAAGCTAAAAAAATAAGCCGTGTAAAGTGTGTAAAATATAGATTCCTTCTAAATTATTTCAATAAAAGAATTGAACAATTGCTCCTGCTCTAATTTTCAAATCCTTATTTTTGCAAGTTGGAAGACATCAGGTTGCAAGGTTGCAAAAATTGGGATTGGATTTGAGTAATAATCAATTCTTTTAAATGAGAGAAGATGGATTAAAACTGTTTTTTAAAATTAACATTTTAATCCCATTAAATTTGTAAAACCTTATTATAAAAAATTATATTCTAATAGCACAACCAAAAAGATTGCGAAAATGCAAAAAAAAATTGAAGTTTTCGGAATTACAAATTTATAAGCTCCCTAAAACTAGACAGCACTTTACACATAGAATGTCAAGGTTGAATTTCATCATACAAGTATATTCTTTTAAAACCTCTGAACTTCTATTCTAAAATATTGCACCCACCCCATGTCAAACCGAAAGTTAATAATGGGGCATCTTAAAAAAAAAACATGAAATCAATAAACTTAAAAAAAAAGTTGGGTTTTTATTAGGGTCAGATGGCATCCATCAAGTAAAAAAAAATGTTGAAAATGTTTTATAATTATACCGTTAAATCATGATGCGTTGTTTCCCTTCGCGGTAGTCCGCCAAAACTAGATTTATCGGAGAATATTGGAGAGAAAAGGATGGGGAGGGTGGTGAGGTATCGACTGGAGAGGACTCTGCTTGGTATGACACTAACCCAAGAACTAAGTATGTGTGCTGCGGCCTCAACTTCTATTGATTTCAGCCTCGCCCACCAGCCTCACCCCAACCACTTACCATAACCTTACCCCCCCCCTCACCTTTCAGTACCCTATTTACCCCCCCCCCCTTCTAGACCCATCTTGAATTATTTAAATCAAATACAAATTAATACAGTCAATTTTATTCCAACTTAAATTTCCATGACATGAAAAGAATATTAAAAGGTTCTGTATAAGATAAAGGTAAGAGGGGGTGATTATATATTCCCAAATATGAGGTCTCAATGACTTAGTCCAAACTTATCACTATTCATGCACGCATGGTTGCATTTTCTTTAAAAAATCGCCCCCCCCCCCTTCAAAGATAATTTCCCCCCAAAATGTTAGGCGTAGCTAGAGGGGGGGGGACATAGACTTTGTTCCCTTACCCCCTAGTTACGCCAATGAAGATTGATAAAATAGATTGACTGAATAATGATAGTGAATGATGGGATTGGATTGTAATGGATGATTAATGAGCTGTGGATAGGATGGATTAAATAAAATCCCAGGAGAGCAGTTTGTATAAACTTTACTGGAGTATGTATCTTTGTATATAAGTATCTAAGTAAGTCAAACTACTTTATTCATTAAAAAACTCCTCTCCAAACTGGTAATTAAATCAAGGGTGTAAACTGAACAATTGACAGACAGATTGCTGAAGTGTTGTTTATCCACTTAATCTATGATATGGTCAACATGCTATGAGGGGGACCTAAATGTTGCATTCAAATAAAATTCATGTTGCAATAAATCAAATCTTGATAAATGCAATGATTTATTTTAACATGGTAGCCATCCCCCCCACCTCACTACAAGGGAACGTGTAGACTCTCCCCCCCACACCCTACTCCTCACCCCTGTTAACAGGGAACAAGAATTGGAATGTGTTGATAAAACAGGATCATAGAAGCCGCCAAAGATATTACTTAATATATTATATATGTCTTAATTTGAAGAGGAAAACATTCATATATTGCTAGCGTAAACTCCACTTAGTTTTACGGCAATCTGGAAACTATATGAAAGATAAACACACAGATTTCTCCGGCCTCAATGACCAGTCAAAGGTGAAGTAATATATTTGTAAATAATATAATCACGTCATAAAAGATAAAAGTAACAATATATAAACAAAAACAAAAACAGATTTCAAATGTGATACCTAGCTTTACCTCGACCAAAGATTAACTGAATATGAGTTTGAATTTTATGAATGATGGTGGTTTAGATCTAAGGTGGAGGGGAATAGAGAGAGAGTTGGGTTGAAGAATTCGTAACTCTCTCAAGTTGAATGGGTAGTGTGTGTACTGCAGCATGATATTTGATATTTGATATTCCACCAGCAAACCTGAACATTTCAAATTTGTTTGATAATTACATCAGAACTAACTTGGAAGTTATAACTTTTACTCGTCTTGGATTCACGCGGGAGGCATTCATCTACTTAATATTGTTTTTGCAGTCCTAATACTTCAAGTTCAAAACTAGTTTTAAAGAGTAGACAGCACACCGAGATAGTAGGTAGACACATAGTTGGTAATATTACAAAAAAAAACAATATACTGTAAAAAGCTGTATCTAATAAAAATCCATTTATTTAAAATGAAAGACATGATTTAGGAGATATTAAGTAGTTTAAAAAAAAAAACTTAAATACCCCACCCTTTCATGAATGAAATTATCAAGATTTATAGTACATTGCATTCTTCAGAGATGTGTACTACAGGGCCGGCATGAAAAAAAAGAAAAAAAAAAGATTGTCTGTATTTCTTCAGAAAGAGTTTTTACAACTTTCAATCTTCATAAATTATCCGATATACTTATTCTCCCAATTTTCAACAGTAATTGTAAAGTGACCGCATTTTGGGAAACTTGGTTGTTCTCAATTCCACTGTTCCTCACTGTATTTGATCGAGGATAGCAATACTTTTATTTCTTAAAAGTTCAGTACAGAAAAGTTGCAGAATATAGTTCATTAATGTGCTATTGTGGAATATTTCTGAGAGCGGCGAGCTTGGGACTTATTTTAAATATATTTTCTTTTAATTAAACCAAGTAATGACTAGGAACTGCCTGATCAGATGCGTCAAATATGTGTGTGTACTACAGTGGGAGGAGATCAAAACAAAGAATCCGGGGGAAAAACATCATTTATGTATGAGAATTTGAGGGAGGGGGTAATGAAGATCTGAAGCTTAAAATTTGCACTTAAAAGGCAAGAATATGGAAAGATAAGAAACAAAGAAAAAATTCATAATAATTTCTTGAATATTTACTGTCACAACACAAGATAAAGAAAATTACTTGTATTTTTTAAAGCTTTGGTCCTACTATATCACAGGTTGTGGGAACTTTACTCCCAAAGAGTACTGAGTACATTTCAGTTTGGGGTTCCTAGTGTAGTTCCTTTGATTAAACGAACTTAATGTTTTAAATATTGTTAAAGCTAAATATAATTAATAATTAATATTCCCTTTTCCCGGAGGCCTGAACAAATAGAAATAAATTCAGAGTGTAGAAAGTAGTAAAACTTAATGCTTCATAAAAGTTAAAGATCTCAAAGCACAAATTGAATTATTCATTTACATTATAGCAGACCAGGTTTTAGTTTGGTGGAGCGCTGCGTTTAGTTGCGCATCTCATATCCTTCAGGAGAAGTGAGAAATGTACATAGAATAAAATCAAGACTTTATCTTCAGCCTGGTGTAAATGAAAGAAGGAGTCTAATCCCTAATGGGTATACAAGCCATGCACAATGATACCGTTTTTTACTTGATCAGCTGTGAGGACTGGACTGCTGTGGAAGATTCCTCTCAATGGGGTTTTAGGGCTTACACCTCCCCATTTTGCATAAGGGGTGCAGTTATGACTTTCATTATTTCCTTTTACTCGGAAAGAGTATAATAGAAGAAACACAGACAGCAATCCCCTATATCGTTCCTCCTACAAACCTCTTTAAATCTCTCTCCTACCTGCTCCACAACTCGATGTCAAAAGAACTATTTGGAGAGGCCTCAAAGTGTTGAATAAATGTTGATAAAAAAGGTTCAACTTGTCGGTGGTAGTGAGGGTAGTGGGGAATCGAAAAATAAATTATTGAATAAATGTTGATAACAAAGTTTCAACTTGTCGGTGGTAGTGAGGGTAGTGGGGAATTGAAAAATAAATTATTGAATAAATGTTGATAAAAAAGTTTCAACTTGTCGGTGGTAGTGAGGTTAGTTTAAAATAAAAAAAAAAATTTGAAAAATATGTTGATATATAGATTTTAAAAAGTCGGAGGTAGTGAGGGTAGTGGCAAATTGAAAAATAAATTATTGTATAAATGTTGATAAAAAAGTTTCAACTAATTGTCGGCGGTAGTGAGGGTAGTTTAAAATAAAAAAAAATTTTGAAAAAAATGTTTATATATAGATTTTAAAAAGTCCCCACTACCCTCACTACCACCGACTTGTTGAAACTTTTTTATCAACATTCATTCAAGAATTTATTTTTCAATTCCCCACTACCCTTCAAGTTGAAACTTTTTTATCAACATTTATTCAATAATTTATTTTTTGATTCCCCACTACCCTCACTACCACCGACAAGTTGAAACTTTTTTATCAACATTTATTCAATAACTTATTTTTTGATTCCCCACTACCCTCACTACCACCGACAAGTTGAAACTTTTTTATCAACATTTATTCAATAATTTATTTTTCAATTTGCCACTACCCTCACTACCTCTGACTTTTTAAAATCTATAAATCAACATTTTTTTCAAAATTTTTTTTATTTTAAACTACCCTCACTACCACCGACAAGTTGAAACTTTTTTATCAACATTTATTCAAGAATTTTATTTAAATAAAAAACTACCCTCACTACCACTGACTTTTCAAAATCTTAATTTCAACATTTATTATTTTTTTTTCATTTTCAAACTACCGTCACTTCCAAGACAAAAAACTTAAGCAAGTCTTAAAGAAAAAAAAAGAGGCAATTTAAAGATTTGTAAAGTTGAATTTCTTGCTAAATATTTTTTTTATCAAGATTTTACAAAAAAATCTTATACTTTTATAAGAAAGGTATCTGCTAACTACCATACATACCTATGTTAATTAAAAATTCACCTATTTTTCAGCAAAAAAAGGCATTTTATACGTTCACTGGAAGACGTCCCACCCTGGGGAGGGGGTGAGATGATTGCTCTCCCTCCCCCACCCGCCTCCCCACCCACAAGAAAATATTATGGAAATTGCGTTTTTGCTTAATCAGATGCAATTCAAGAGTTAACAATTCTATATAGAGTTCCAAGAAAGACAGCAAGATCAACAGCTAGTTCAATTAAATACAGGGTTCAGAAAAAAAGCAAGATCCTTTAAAAAGTGGTCAACTACAAGGAAAATTCATTTCTTCTTATTTTCAAAATTAGCGGAATATGATTAAAAGATGTACGAAAGAAAATGAAGAACAAGAAATATGGAAATCTCCAAAAATTTCTATCTGATATCATATATATATTTAAAAATATTGTAAAAAAATTAAAAATAAGTAATGAAAGTTAAAATTGAATCAGAAAAACACTTGTAACTATTACAATAGCAGACCTAACCATCATTTTCTATCAGTTCATCTATATTTAGTAAAAAAAAATCCTACATGTTTAATGAACCCATGGATATCCTATTTATTCTTTATCATAATATGTTTATAAGGGCACCATTAATAATCAGACAGCCTTTTTATTGTTATAACCTGGCCTGGATTGTAGTGGTGGTGGTGGGGGGGGGGGGTGCATTAAAGTTGAGGGGGGCATTCAAGTTGGCTCAAGAAGAAGTTAAACAACTAAGTGTATCTTTAACTGCTTGTGTGGGAGATGGTTTAGAGCGGAGAAAACTTCAGGAAATCCGTTTCCTTTCAAACTTTAGAATAAATTCAGGGGGGGGGGGGGAAACTACAAAATAGGGTTTTTAGGGACAGCTGTAGGATAAGGAATGAATGAAGAGTTAATAATAGGGTTTTCCAACAGTACCAAATTAATTCCAAGGCAGAAATGTCGTTGAGACAACTTTTCGCTTTTCAAGACTTTTAAGTTAATGGACGATTTGAGGTTACACAACATTTTGATACAGTTTTTTCAAATTTTAACACCGAGAGAAGATAGTTACAAGAACCTAAAAAAAAGATAGTTAACCATAGAACCTACACAGAAGTGGTTGCTGCATGCTGGAAAAAAAATGTAAAGAACGATTATGCTCTATGAAATAATTGGAATTGATCAAGAATATCTGTGAGTGCTAATTGAAGGGCACATTATGACATAGGATTGATAAAAAGATAATCGAACGCTGATGGAAAGATTCTAGGATCGCTTTATGATTGATTCTTAAACTTTCACAATGATCTAGACATAAGAAGAAGCTCAAATTTGTGTGACCCACCAATACTGGCACGACATTGTGACCTTGTAGCTCCTCTAATATGAATATTAAGCACAAGGAAAGAAAAAGAAAATTTATCCGGGCTGAAAACTTTAGAAAAGTGGATATACAGATTAATGCTTGATCCTCTCTTTTTCTTAATATCGAGACTAACCTAATCTTGTACTTGTATCCTGAAAAGTGTTTAAAATTCAACCAATCAGAGTCGCGCATATGAAGCCGATAAGTTTGAAATTTTGCGCGCCATTTAAGATTTTTTAACTTTAATAATTTATTTCAATTAAATTTTACAATATTTTAAAATTTTAATATGATATCAGATGGAAACATTTTGAGACTTCTATATTTCTTGTTTTTAATCCTTTCTTCTTGATCTTCCATTCCTTGTCCATCCTTCAATCACACTATGGCTAATTTTGAAAATAAAAATAAATGAATTTTTTGGATGTTTTCTACAGCTAGCCAAATTGCAGAGGTAGAACTATTTTTTGAAGCCCTGTATCTATATTCTATAAACGGGAGGTGCTCTCTTATTTAAAAAAAAAACGGTTTTTGATTTTTATGTACTGTCCGAGAAAGAACGGTTTAAGAAGAATATCAAAGGTGTGTCTATTGGATACTCAGATTAAATAATCGGGATTAAGGATATCTCATTTTAAAGTTTTCAGCTCTGCACTGGTTGCATATTAGATATTCAAAACATTCTTCAAAATTCAAGTTCTTAAAATTGATCTTTTGAGTTATGAAAACATACAAGATTCTAATATAACGCTCAATCTACTTTAGTTTCACTTGGTTTAAGAGGAAAGAGTTAAAAGTTCTGATTAATAAATAAAAAGGTTTCAACTTTCAATACTGATTTTAAAGCTCTGAAGATGGTGAATTTAAGGGTTCTCAATAATAAAACCCTTTGAAAACCTCAGAGTTTAGAGGTTAACAAAACTACAAATAAACATCTTAGTCATAACAAGTATTCTCAAAGTAAGATAAAACATCAAAACCTTTTATTTTCCTACTTATCTATCTATCTATCTACCTATCTCAGACGGTAATGCATTCATTTAAATTCAGTCAAGGAAAATTAAGAGTTACAGCTTTCTGAATTTAACTAACAAACTATAACAAAAACCTCATCTAGTTAAGCTAAAAGGCAAAAAAATGTAATTTAAAAAAAAGATAAATCGAGATTGTTTGATTAATGATATTGTCTTTGATCATTTTTGATGATTTTTTAAAGATATTTAATAAAGAAAAGAAAACCAAAACAATTTTAAAATTATATAATTCTCAATATTTATTTCATTTAATTTTAAGCATCAGTAATAAAAAAATCTCATCATAATAGTCAGATCATTTACAAAATACAAGTATTTTTAATTTTAAGCACCAATAAAAATAATCGTTTCAGATAAATTGTAATTATCATTGGACCTTGTTCATAGCTCCTGAGTGATTGTCAATAATATCTTTCCTAATAAATGTTTCAAGTCTTGGAAAGACCACTAAACTGAAATCTTTCGGAGTAACTTCTCCATAGAAAAATTAAGTTTTGATGAACATCCATAAAGTGATTTTTTTCAAGCCAACAATTATTCTTTTTATCCAGTCCGAAGTGTTTCGTTGTCGTTCTCAAGCATTTAGTTTTAGTTTTTAGGTCCCCTTCGTAACCTTGATCCATCAGCACATATACACTTCTTGAAGTCAGGCCTGGATCTATCTGCACATGGTGGTTCTAGGAATGTTCCGCTCAAACTAGCATCAGATCCATCAGGACAAGCTCCAGGGCAGTCAGGATAGGACCCGTCATGACAGGGAGGTTTAGGACGAGGAGTAGAACCATCTTCACAACTACAGGTCGGAGAGTTACCTCCCAGCTTACAGGGAGGAATATCACATTGACAGGATGCACTGGATCCGTCCTCGCATATCAAGGAGGGATGAGGTCCGTAGATGAAACCTTGGGAGGATACTAAACTGATACAGAAAGCTAGAACAACAACGGAGATTTGCATCTTTATGAGACGACGGTTAAATAGTCACTAAAAACATTAGTTTATTCTGCTGATAATGAAAGCGAACCTATACGTAGAATAGTGGATCAAAACATATTTTATGGCAATTTTTACCAAAACAAACTGACCATGTTTTTCCTTTGTTCCGTTGCCCGTGACCAATAGTTTTTATACACATTTCATGATAAATTACTTAGTGAGTCATTATATATTCTGTACTTTGCAAAATAATGGCGATTCTCTTAAAATATTCATTGAGTTGATCTAAAGGAATTGAGTTTTGCCCCAAACTCAATTTTTCTAATCCCTATATCTTTGCAACCTGATATTATAGACATTTTAACAGAGTTTATTGTATAAAATATCTAAAGTCAACGACATTGTGTTGAAAAGGTACAATGAACAGAGCTGAAAACTTTAGTGAAAGATATCCTTAATCCCGATCGCTTAATCTGATTATCCAATGTACACACTTTTGATTTTCTTCTTAGAATCTTCTTTTTGGATATTTCTACTGTATAAAAGTTACGTTTGAGAACAATTAAAGATATAATGCTATATCGATTGGACTAATATCTGATTGAAAAAGTCAGTTGTTCACAAACCGGCTTTTAGAGCATTTAAACAAATATAAATTCAATCATGTTATATGAAATTATTAAAAAACATATTTTAGGACTATTGTCATTTTGAACATTAATCTTAATAAACATTAATCCAAAACTTTCGTTTTTTTTAATCGATGTTTAGATCAATTGATATGACACCATCAACACCAGAAATCACAAGCGGTTTTCAAAAGTTAAAGAGTACATCTTATCATGACACGCTGATTGGTTAAATTTTAAACTTCTTTCTTGGATATCGAATTCGTATTAAAATAACCATGGGTTTAGTAAATTAGGAGTTCAGCATTAATCTTGATATCCACCGTTCTTAGAATTGGGATTAGAAAATCAGAGCTTGCGATAAAGTCTCAATTAGTTTTTGGAAAACTTTTTAGCTTTAAAAGGCTTCTAAAGCAAATATTTTAGCTTTTAAATATTGTTTATTAAACAGTTATTGTTAATATTGATTAATTTCAAAAAATTCGAAAATCCACATTTTTTCTAAGCAAATTTTTTTCAGTTTCGACCGGTCATTTACCGTCCTGGACGAAATTCTTTGATTTAATATTTTAATGTTTAATCCATAATGCCAAGGTAGATACTAGATACTACTGAGAGGATGATCAATCTCTATTCTGATTGAATTCCAATAAATTATATATTGGGTTCTCATGCAAATCGAAAATTTATCTAACCTAACGAGAAATTGTAGTACACCGTGTACTGTGTTAATCCCAGGGGAATAATTTATACAATTTATTAATTCAATCTTGGAATCAAGAAATATACTTAATAATTCTTCATAAAATTATATTGTCAGTCAACCCTTTCAACCTTGGTCTGATCAAGGATAACTGTTATCCTTATTTTACTGGTTGAAAATTGATTAGCTTATGTTGTGCACCCTATTTATTTAAAACTTTCGAAAATGTACTCGAAATGGGAAGTCGATGTTTTAATCATGATAAGACAAATCAAATATAATTAATGGTGAATCAACTCGAAATGAAAAATGGCAATTTAAATATTATAAATATCATACCTGGTCTGTCGTCGTCTATATAATAACGATACATTCACAATAAATATTTTTACATTTTCCTCTGAAACAATTAATTAATATCCTACCAATCCATATTATTTCTATAATTACACAACGACGGTAAAAATATTGTAAATTTATCACAGATTTACAATTCAAAGTATAATTACTTGAGAACTATACAACAAGATATTATAAACAGAGTTAACAGTGATGTACAGTAATTTAATTAGGCATACGCATAACAGTTTGAAACATAGAAATAATATTTTTTCTTAAAAACACAATCCTTGACGAAATGAAATGGTAAGCTGGCCATCACAGGTAAGGATTGTATTGGTAAGAAACATATTCAATCTTATTTTTTCCCTTTTACTTCCATTTACCGGAAGTTTACTTCCCTTTTCCGGAAGTAGTAAAAAGGGACAGATGCGCAAAGAGAAAGAGGTGGGGGGGAGGGGAGGTTTACAATTGATATTCATAATTCTATCAGATTCTTCAGTTGAGCGTGATGGACAATTTTCTAATGGCTTCAAAAACCCGTAGACTTTCAATAATAAAAAATAAAAAAATTTAGAGTATACTTTATATGCTTTCGTGATAATAATTGCTACAATAAAAAGATCAATTTAATTACAAGACGGACCGGAATTAAAGAATTTCTTGAAGTCGTTGCACTCCCTACCACCGGTTCAAATCCTGCCAGACCACTCATCAATTTATTCATGAATACTCATGGGTTATTGAATCGGTGATTCAGGATTTGAACCGGTGCACTAGTAGGAAATTCAGCGACCTCACCAATTCATTAATTTCGGTCCCTGGGTCCAGTTTGAACCAGCTATACAAATGATAATATAATTACTAAATGTTTAATTCCTAAATCATGATATAAATACATATCTTCTAAAAGCAAAATTAAATTAAATACAACAATACAAAATGAAAAATTGATATAAATAATGATCTAGTATGTCGAATATCTAAATACAAAAGATTAGCGCGATAATACAATATTTGGCATAAAATTCTTTTAAATTAGAGCTTTTATATTCAGTTCTTTTAAACAGAAGATAATAAGGTGAAAAAGAGAGCTTTCGAAATCAGTGTAGGCTTGAATCAAGAGTTGATTTATTCAATGGCGGATCGGCGGAATGATGGCGAATAATAATTTCTAAAAAATGAGGGGGCGAAAACCTTAAAACTTTAAACCGGAAGACGAGCACAACTTTTGGCAACGGAGTTCTTAGAAAGCTTGTCAAGTACTAGAACTGTCTGATTTACTATTTATGTACAATATGTGCAGTCATCACTGGACAGAATATAATCTATTTTTATTCAAAAGTAAGATTTTCTGGGTTTTTTCCAAGAAATAAGTATAAACTTTCTATTCCACAGTTGTTCAAAATGTACAAAAATTTAAGGTTGATCAAAATTAAAAAATTACCAGGGTGCTTATAAAACGTACACTAAAGAGGAGCGTTCGGAAGCTTAGAAAAAAATCCAAACTTTTGGTTAAATACTCCGAATTCAATTAAACAATAAACAATAAACCTGGGCCAAATCTTTTTGAAAACTTTTTAATTTGACTCTTTTTCTTATTTCTACCTATCATTAAGTGTTGAGCTTTAGTCATTTTATCTGAAGTAAAGACATACTTTGGCAAATATTTGGTTGACATTGCAGACGACTTTAAGAGAAAAATGTTAATTCTGCTCACATGAGTCTGACAAAGAAAAAAAATCTTGATTAATAAATTCAAATAATAATTTCTTCTTCAGGGAACCGAAATATTTAAAGTGGGTAGAGCAACAGAGTAGCCAAAAAAAACAATAATTGCTCATGGCACAAGCATTTGTACAATTAACATAATAATGATCTGCTCACCGTAAAAATTTCTAGTTATTAGTTGGCGTGGATGAAACAACCTTTTTATCTGAAAAAATAAAATACTAATAAGAAACTACGTAAACCTAAGTACTGTAGTTAGGTCGTGGGTTAGTATTTGTAATGGCGCGGAAAGTTTAGAAATCCGAGACCATTGGTCATTGGTCAAGAGAATTTGGAAGTGGTAATATGGACATCAGAAACTTTGTTGGCTAAATATTGGACTTGGCTTTGGTCGTGCCATCGTTAAACTACATCTATGACGGCAAGAAAATGAGAAATGAGAAATAATTGTTGGCCATCTTGATAAATGGTCTGCCATCTTGTTAAATGGTCGGCCATCTTGCTAAATGGTCTGCCATCTTGTTAAATGGTCGGCAATCTAGTTTAGTTATCGGCCATCTTATTTTTCAAATAAATGCTTGAACATTAGTCTTGGCTGAAGTACACTGAATAATGTTGTCCTAAGGCTACATGTTGGTCATCTCGACAGTGGTTGTGGAGGCTGCTGTTGCATTCTGTTCAACACTTGGGGATCTAACATTAAAAAAAAAGGTTTCATAATACTAAGAGTAACAAAATTATTTTTTTCTTTCTTTAAATTTTAATCTTATGGGTGGGAGCTCAAGTCTGATTTCTAAGGATTAAAGGTTGATTGCAATTATAAAAATTATTATTATTATTATTATTATTATTATAAAATAGATGCTATTTATAATTCATACCCTTCCAGTCGTTCTACTTAAAATTGAAATCAGTTTGCTCAAAAATTATTTTTATCTCATTAATGTTTACCTGTAAAATCTATTGAATCCAGCTTGAGCTTGATTAGAAGCTGCTTTAGCTACTTTCTTCTCCTCATCCCTTTAAATTAAATATAGGTCTAAGATGTAACTTCTAATCATAAAGGTGAAATAGCACCATTACATACCGTCTCAATGTAATGCCTTTTTGACATACTGTCTCATTGTCAAACTGTCTCATTGTCAAACTGTCTCATTGTCGTACTGTCTCATTGTCAAACTGGCTCACTGTCAAACTGTCTCANGAATTGTCCAACTGCCTCATTGTCGAACTGCCCTTATGTCGGAAATGTCAAAAAGTCGAACTGTATCAGTGTCGGAACTTTTACAGTGTCTGTTTCATTGTCACTCTGTGTCGAACTGTTTAATATAATTACCTGGCAAACCGTCTCTGTTTGACAGCTATTATAACATCCGATGGATTGAATGTATTCTGTATAACTCTCCCAAAGACCCTAGTAAGAAAAGGAATTGATAAATTGGAGTTCAACATCAAGACAAGACTTTTGAGTAAGATCTAAGGTCCTGTCCGCCGGGATTTAAAAGATTCTTTTTAGTAAAATCAACAAAAAAATCTTTGAAGTAAAAACTAATCCTTTGGAATAAATAGAATAACGTAAGATTGGCATCTTTCTCAAGTAAGAAAAAAATACTTTTCTATTCACAGTTTAAAGAATTTTCTAAACATGTTCTTCTCCTTCCATAAAATTATATGATCCCAGCACAATGCTTCTAACGATTATAATCTGTTCTTCTCAACACTTTACAGGATTTAGAAACAAACAAGAAAACATGAAGCAATATAGAACACTTTGCAATCAGAACTAAAATGCAACTGTGATGCTGAGGATTGATGAAACATGTTTTACAATAATATTAACATGTAAACTCTATATGTATTCTTCAAGGGGGGGAGGGGTCTCCAAAAATATTGAAAACACATCCAAGTTAAACCTTTTTTAAAAATCTTACCAAAAAGCCCCGAAAAACCATATGGAACGTAATTGGTTGGGTAAGGAGGGGCATAAACAATTTTCAGCAAATTCCATGTCCATGGAATCAGCTAAAAAACAAAATTTAGACAAAATATTAACAACGTTTTACCTGGGCAACGCAGAAACTACTCCAGTTATAAGAAGAACTAGGTAGTGTTTAGGATCAGACATGGCATGCTGCATTACAAGATACGGGTTCGTTAATCCTGAAATAGGTATATATAATATAATATAACATAGCATGCTGCATTACAAGATACGGGTTCGTTAATCCTTAAATAGGTCTATATAATATAACACAGCATGCTGCATTACAAGATACGGGTTCGTTAATCCTTAAAAAGGTCTATATAATATAACACAGCATGCTGCATTACACCGCATGATGCATTTTGTGACAAAACCTCAATTTCTTTTTACCATATTTCCGTTATGAGTTTCTTAAAGTATAATAATATTACCTTCACATTCACTACAGACAGCATTGTAAATGAGACCAAAGGCAAGGTATAAACCTACAGACGTAATCATGGCCAGCCAGTGAACAACAGTCTAAAATATTATATATGCAAACGATGATTAAGATTAAATGTTTAATAAGGTGGGTATTTTGTGCTTGCACGAGACGATAAAGGAAAATGAGGAAGGAAAGTGAGGAAGAAAAATGAGAAAGAAAATGGAAAAGGAAAATGAGAAAGGAAAATGAGAAAGGAAAATGAGAAAGGAAAATGGAGAAGGAAAATGAGATAGGAAAATGAAGATAAAAAGTGTGGACGGAAAATGAGGAAACAAAATGAAAAAGAATTATGAGGAAGGAAAATTGAGAAGGAAAATGAGAAAGGAAATGGAGAAGAAAAATGAGAAAGAAAAATCATGTGAGACATTTATGTAAGTTTTTAAAGCAATTTTTTACATTTTAATAAAAATTAGACAAATTTTTTATCGATCGCGTTTCCTTGACAGTCTACACAAAAATTGTGGAAAGACCCTTAAAGAGAGTTAAAATTTACCCATGATTTCGTTTCTACTCCTAGTTGTATAAGCATCACCAGAATACACTGGGAGCAGATTAGAGTTCCAAACTCCCATACTCCTATACTACTACCTGTATACACTCCTAGGCATGACAATCAATCAATCAGAAATTATTAAATCAGTCATATTTGATTTAGTCATTCAATTCTAATTAACTTAGGTAACTAAATCAAACCACTACTCAATTCCAACATTATTATCAAATCACGAAAATTAATTAATGGCAAATACATAAAATTATTCATCCACTTTTCAAAAATCAAATCAAATCAAGATTTATTAATTGTTAAATTAAAAGTCTTCTATCATGACTTCGTGTGATAGGAGGCCTAAACTAGACGATCTTGAGGTCAATAATTTTAAGTTATTTTAAAAATCTATTTCCTAAGACCTACAGTGGTTTGTCAGATTCAGAACGGTACCCTTGACAACACTGTTTCATCAAGAATAAGTAAGATATTAATATGTTACTCTTAGTAAAGATCATTTCAATAGTTAATTTATACTAATGAAGCGACTGGAATTCTACTGCAGAATTAAATGCCTTTAATGCTAGAAAAACGACTGTATCTTTCATATTATTAATTAGCTAAAGGTGACGTTCTGAATTGACCATGCCCAGATACGTATTCAGGGTGGGGCTATGGGGGTGTAGCCCCCCCCCCTCCCGAACCAATGAAATCTATGGATTTCAGGGGTTTTTAGGTACCAACGGATGATGAGTCCCGCTCCTTGGAAAGAAAAAAAGTTTGAGCCCCCCTCTGGACAAAATCCTGAATACGAAACTGGGCCCATGCCCCTCGATAAATGGAGGTTGACATTAAAGTACAACGACAATCCCTTTATGAATTAACACTTACCAAATGCAATGAAGAAGAGAAGAATTGATGTATAAAGTGCTTCAGCCATATTGATCCAGAAACTATAGGGTTTATACACAGTACTCAACCTTGAATAGTATATTGATCAACTATTAAAAAATATTTATCAAAAGGTTGAATTGTTTAACTACTATTCCTAACCCTATTTCCAAACTATTATTCAATCTTAATAATCTTATTATTCTATCTATTAGTAATCAGTTAAAGATTTAATTAATTCCAAACTTAATTAGCTCAATGATAAATCAATTACTTGATAATCAAACATCATATCAATTTAAATTTCAATCTTTATCTAAAAGCCGTTTATGGAATTTGATCATCGACCCATTAATCCATGGGTTTATTAATCCTTTATTTAACCTTTGAAACGAAACCGACCTGCCAACACTGTAGAGCTTAGGCTGTGAAGTAAGGAGGTCCGCGGGGGCGTTCCTATCGAACACGCCTACTGCCACAGGAGGCAGGGAGGTGAACAGAAGATTGAACAGCATCAAGTACATCTGGTCAATCATAACTTGACCTGACCAGCCACAGAACAGCTGGTACCTAGAGTACATTCCTTCTTTAACATTACTTTATACAAGGAAAGTAACCCTGAGGGCAGGGGATTTCTAAATATTTTAAGTATTTAGAAAATGTTGATTCCCCTAATTCATATATCTATAATTAGCTTTAAAAACAAAACAAAAAAACAATCTTATTAAAAAATGACAAAATTAAGGATGGTTCAAAATAAGAAATACCCACCCTAGTTCTTAAATATCAAAATTTGTTTAATATTTGTAATTAATTTTTTCCGTCCTCATTCCCCAAGAAAAGAAAGAACTATGTAATGTATAAAAAAGTTTATAAATTTCTAGAAAACGTGACAAAAATTAAATTATTTTGTTTCTCTGAATAGTAAAAGCTCACCAGAAACATACAAAGACAAAAGTTGCATTTTTGAAGAAAAAGTGCAACACCATCCGACCCAGTCTAGGATACAGAGCAATATTTTTATAACAGGGGAAAATATTTCAAATGTTCATAACAAATAATGAAAAAAGCGTTTTTTCCAGAGCCTCACTTTTAAATTCTTCCTAAATGCTTTTATTGTTACTTTTGCAGAATGCACAATAAAATTATTGAATCTAAAAATAGATCAATCAATCATAGCACTTTTCTTTTTTCAATATCAATTATTAAGAAATTATTATTTATTTAAAGGTTTAACAATACTGGCAACTTTTGCACTGACGGAAATAATTTGAATCGGTTTAAATGAGCAGAACTTAATACAAACTCTTTCTTAATTCAAACATCTCTTGAACAATGAAACACAAGCGAATAAGTTGAACTAATTTGAACCATATTAAAGTGAGTCTGTTTAAGCTGTTGTTGGGAGATATTCAGTTCTTGGCAATAAAATAAGAAAACTTACACTGATATATTGTTGGGGGGAAAAAAGTAAATAATATCATTAAAATATGTGAAAAAAGAAAAAAGTTGTACAAAGTGTGAAATCACCGCTGTAATATGCAAAAATATTCACTAAAAGGTAGAAATTCTAGATCTTAACAGCTCCAAGTTCCAAGTTTATAACATTAATAAGAATGTAGCACAGCCTCTAGAGGTTAATTTAGCACAGCCTCTAGAGGTTAATTAAAATATTGCCACATCCCTGTCATAACTCCAGTGTCCATGAACTAACAGTAACCGCTCAATAAACCGAAATCTAAATTAAAATTGTTTAGGTCTCATTCATCATTCGTCATTCGTCATTCGTCATTCATCATTCATCATTCATCATTCATCATTCATCATTCATCATTCATCATAATTTAATTTCAAACAAATCATTCAGATATTACAACCTATAGTCATCGATTACCTTTCGCCACATTTGTATATAGTTTATATGTTGTAATATTTTTTAGTTAATTTGTTTTGAAGTTGTTTATTTCTCTTTTTGTTTGCGCAACTATCGAAGAATGCACGCACCATTCACATTTTTCGAAATCCGTTAAAACGTTTTCTAAAAAATTAAAATATTATAAATATAAACTATACACAAATGTGGCGAAAGATAATCGATGACTATAGGTTGTAATATCTGAATGATTTGTTTGAACTTAAATTGATTTTTTACGGTCTAAGTCATATGTTGCAATTTTCTGAATTTGTATGGGCGCTAAGTTATTCGGTATGAGACGTCTTAAACAATTTTCTCCTTATAGACGCAACAGATAGAAGTAAAATTAGTAGCGATCAAAGCGCTCTTTTATCGCATTCAGCCTATACCCCCTTTCATTTTTCGCGAACACTCCCTTTAAGTTCAGTTTTAAATCTGATTATTTCTAGATTGTAGGTCAAGGAGCTGTTGGACACTTCCCTAGCTGTATGATATGATATGATATGATATAATTTGATTTCAGTTCAGTTTTAAATTTAGTTTAGTGCACACATTAATGAATTGTTTACGACCTAGTTTAATGTACAATACCAATGTCGAGATTAACGAATGTAAATGTTTGAAATGAAATGAAACTAAATTAATGTTGTATAAAAGTTAACCTTGAAACTGCAAAATCTGCCGCCATGACAGCCTGCATTCCCTCCTAGAAATTATACAAAATGTTTTAACAAATTACTAAAAACGGATTGTTATATGCAAATGGTTCTTTTCGTCAGTTTTGAAATGGACATTAACTGAAATTTGAACTGAGTCTCTATTTAAAGAGGGCCGAACCTGATTATCAACGTGGTTCTGTTGTTAAACCAGTGCCTAGGATACATTTAATTTTGATACGGATCCGGATCCTGGATGCGCACTGGAAAAAAATGGATCCGGATCCAGGTCATTTCTGTAAGATTTACTGAATCTTTTTAACAAAAAATAATTTTAAAATTTTTTGTTTTATTTTTTTCGCAAATTTTTATCCTAAAACTTGATAAACCATTAAGAAATGTGGAAAATTTTATAATCTTTTTTTTTCATAAGTATAGATGTTGGTTTTAGGAGTAAAAAAGGTGTTTTTTTTTGCAGTTTTTGGTTGATATTTTACCCCTTCCTCATAGTATTCTGGTTTGAAAACTGACTGTTTTATTCTAACATTGTTTAAATCCACAAGTGACTTTTACTGAGAACCCACAATTGAAAATTGTCATTTATTAAAGAAAAAACCTGGATATCTCATTTTTTCCTACTGAAAGAAATCGTCACATAGATAAATTTTACATTAATGCATAGTGATATTTCTTAATGTTGGATTGAGTAAATAATTTTGTTTAAGAAAAACACATTTTGATGTTAAAATACAATTTCTTTATGGACCCTCTGGTATGTTTCTCTGTTTAAATTAATAATTTAAACCCACCACTTCAAGGTTCTTTAAATCAATGAAAACAAAAAACAAAACAAAAACAATCTTATATTCGATTCAGGATTTTTACAATATGCATTATATGATGTGTTATAATGTGTAAATAATTATAAAATATGAATTGAATCTCTTGTATCATAGTATAATTGTTCTTAGCTTCTGTGTGTAGGCTTAACTGTTGCTTCACTTAAGGTCAATAATTTTGGGACCAAATATGTCTTCAGAGTTCTGGACTGTGTATGCAAAGGCTTGGGGTGTTGAGGAGGGGGGGAATATTATTAGTGAATTTTTGAAGGATGAATTCAAAAGCGGGAAAACTGGAACTAAATATGGAAGAAATAGGTAACTGAAGGGAAAGAATTTAGACGGGGAGGCCGGGTGGGTGGCAGGGAGGGGTAGGAAGGGAAGAAATGGGGGGGGGCGGGGGTTAAGGGTAGATAACCTCAGGATTTCAAATTTATTCATGTTATGAAGTTTACCTGGCCGGAGATTCCAACTCCAATGTCAGCAGTCTGTATCATTGATACATCATTAGCTCCATCTCCTACATCAATTCATTTATTTATTCATTAGTTAATTAATTAATTAATTAATTCATTCATTATCACTCGACATATTGATTAAATGATTAATTGATTTATCGATTGATGGGTTGCTTGACGAATTGTGAATAAATTTTTTATTATTTATTTTATCAATATTGACTGAATTGATGGAAAACATCGATTAAAAGATAGATTGACTGACTGATTAATAAATCGGTTAATTAATTAATTAATTGATTGATAAATTGATTAATTAATTTATTAGTAGATGAATTACATTATTGATTAATTGATGAATTTAATTTATGGTATATTTGAATTGATAGTTATTAGCCAATTGATTATTTAACTCATTGACTAACTATTTATCTCTTTGACTAACTAATATAACTGATATAACTGATATAACTGATTTAACTGATTTAACCGATTTAACCGATTTAACCGATTTAACCGATTTAACCGATTTAACCGATTTAACCGATTTAACTGATTTAACTGATTTAACTGATTTAACTGATTTAACTGATTTAACTGATTTAACTGATTTAACTGATATAACTGATTGATTGATTAACCATACCTATAGCAAGAGTATGCATTTTTAACTCTTCCTTGACAATCCTGACAATATAGGCTTTCTGTAGAGGAGTAGCTCGACACCCTAGCACTGCACAACACTGCTCAGTCAGCTGCAGGAACAGTTCCTGGATAGGCAGATAGATGGATGGATGGATAAATGGATATAGATAGATAGAAAGATAGATGAATTGATGAATACATGGATACATTAGAAGGATAGATGGAAGGATGGATAGAGGGAGGGTGGACGGATGGATAGATGGAAGTATGGATGCATGGATACATGGATAAATGAAAGAGAAAGATAGCGATAGATCGAGCTAGAGATAGATAGTTAGATAAGTAGATCTATAAATATAGACGGAGATAGACAACGATGATAAGAAGATAGATAGATAATAAATACCTGGATATTTGCTCGTTTGTCCAGAATATAAACCAAAGTTTTCCCGTCAACTACAAGTGCACGCTTATCCCGGGTGCGCGTTGAGTGCTTAGCCTGGTCCAGGTAGTTCCTAGGTAGGTAGGTAGGTAGGTAGGTAGGTAGGTAGGTAGGTAGGTAGGTAGGTAGGTAGAAGAATCACAAATATCTGTTATTAGTATAAAATAAAAAACCTGATTGATGATTCAGCAGCGTCTCTACTTCTAGAATTTAGTTTGATAATCTCCATATTCTGTGTGAATAATCTAAAAATGTATTCTCGTGAATAATCTAAAAATATATTCTGCGTGAATAATCTAAAAATATATTCTCGTGAATAATCTAAAAATATATTCTGCGTGAATAATCTAAAATATATTCTGTGTGAATAATAAAAAATATATTTTGCGTGAATAATCTAAAATATATTCTGCGTAAATAATCTAAAATATATTCTGCGTGAATAATAAAAAATATATTTTGCGTGAATAATCTGAAAATATATTCTGCGTGAATAATCTAAAAATATATTTTTTCATAATTTTGCATATTTTTGTATACCTATATATTCAAAAACAATTTAACTTTAAATTAAACTATAGTATCATTTTTGAGAATAAATCTTTATAAGAATAGAAGAAGAAAAAAATGATATATTTGTTTACAACTTTACAGAAAATCAGAATAATTGACTAGATACCTGCAGCTGAATGCTATATTTATCGCAGTTTCCTGTTTATCCCCGGTCAGTACCCATACAACCACACCAGCCTAAACATGTACATTATACGGTACACCAACTTTTAGTGTACTGCGCCGTCTAATAAAGTAAACACATAGTACTACACAATCTTATAAAGTAAACAATGTAGTGTCTGCACCGTCTAATAAAGTAAACAATATAGTACAACACCTTCTTATAAAGTAAACAATGTAGTGTACTGCACCTGTCTTATAAAGTAAACAATTTAGTGTACTGCACCTGTTTAATTAATTAAACAATGTAGTATACTGCACAATGCACATGTCTAATAAAGTAAACAATGTAGTGTACTGCACCTGTTTAAGAAGGTAAACAATTAAGTGTACTGCACCTGTCTAATAAGGTAAACAATGAAGTGTACTGCACCTGTCTAATAAAGTAAACAATGTACTGCACCTGTCTAATTCTGAATATTGCGTCTGGTACTCCTTCCTGCAATTTATCTTCTATTCCTAGAAAAAATATTGGAATAAAGATTTGTTCGAAAAGTTTCATTAAAAAATACCATTTTTTATCATTAATTGATAATTAATTTTGAACTTTATTTAAAAAGTTGCCCGAAATGTTTTTCTACCTGTAGCTCCCAGAAGCTTCATCTTATTTTCTATCGAGTTGTATGACTCCATCAGAAGCTTTTCACGCCGCTCCAGAGCATTCTCCGCCTTTTTGTGCTGCTCCAACCAGTCCTCGTACTCTGGGTCCCCGAGCTCCCTGGAGGCCATCACTAGGACCCTGAGACCCTGCTGACTGTAAACATCCAGGTGGTTCTTAGTAGACTCCAACAACGCCTCCTCCTCCTGATAGTATGATTTATAATCGAGATTCTTAAACGAGATAAAATGCACATTGCGAAAATTATGCTTTAGGGGTTAGTAGTTTGTATAGTTGTATACCTGAGATTTAGGTCTGGATATTCTGGGAAACATATTGCTATCTGCCCCCTTGCAGTACAGTGTTTTCTTCCCTGTCTTAGGATTCAGTAGAACTACACCCATTCGTTTACGGACAGAGTCAAACGGTAGAATATGCAGGATCTACAATAGTACATTATTTTCTTATTTTCATGTGGATTATTCAGAATGCACAATATAGCACCTGGTTGTTTGCAATTTAAATATTTGACAATGAAGATTTTATGCAATTCGATCCTTAACCGATTATTTAAGCATACGAACTATATTTCATCAATTGATGTCTGGAATGCAAAAATAATATTTTATATTCATATTTTTATTCAACTACAAAGCATGAGATATTACAAGTAAGCAATCACAATTTACTATGCAGTTTGGGCCCGCCTAAACATGGTTGGTTGTTTTGAGTGGTTATTGTTTTTTTTTTGTATTTTAATAATAACGATAAAATTTATTATAATTTGCTTGATGTCTAAACTTTTGTATTATAATCCCTTAAAAGTCCTGATAAGTGTTGTTCGTACTTTACTGCTTATGGATTAATTAAAGGGAATCGCTGGGTTTTCTGGCCCCCAGTCGACTTCCCCCATCAGTCCTCCCCCCCCCCCTTTTCGATATGCATTTACTACACGCCTCAGAGACTCTGTTTAATCCGCCCAGGTTTTGTTCTATTAATGATTCATGGATGCATGCAAACCCAGGTAAAGGGCTTCCATGAACCTGAGTTAGTTGTAACCCCAGGTTGACATCTTCAACCCTTCTGGATATCTTTCAAAAGGTCAATAGGTTGATCGCGGGGATAAGAGGAAGCTGTTTTTCACGGATTAAGCACTTATTTACAGTTTTCACACTCGGTACGGAGTTTTTGCGATTTAGAAAAAAACCCATTTCATAGAAAATGTCAACCTTGAATTAAAATTTCTTATAATTATAAATTAGTTCTTACCTTAAACTCTACTTCTCCGTCCCCTGGCAGGGACACCGTCAACTGCCCTGGTGTACGCTTTATCAGTTTACAATTGTACGCAAATGCTGCGTCAACCAGTGCCAGTTCGTCAGGGGATTCTGCCTCAAATATTGGCCGAATCTCCCCGGCAGGAACAGATGAACGGCTAACTTTGCTAAAATAAAAAATAATTTGAGTAAATTACGTTAAACTTTTTAGCTTTAAGTTTAAACATTCACCCTGCAGCAATGTGTGAAATCGTTTTTAATTTCATGTACGTCGTACTATGTACTGAAAACAGTACATGCGTTGTTCATTGCATTGTGTGCTGTGCATGTACTAAACATTGCGTAGTGCGTTCATTGTGTTGTGTGTAGTACATGTACTTTCCTGAACCTATTATTTACCTGAGTGATGAATTGGAATAATAGGAAGTAAGTTTAGAGATAGGATTCAACATAGTAGATAATCTAATCAATCAATTAATCAATTGTTTAATAGGAAGTAAGTTTAGAGATAGGATTCAAAATAGTACATAAATCAAATCAATCAATTAATCAATTGTATAATAGGAAGTAAGTTTAGAGATAGGATTCAAAATAGTACATAAATCAAATCAATCAATTAATCAATTGTATAATAGGAAGTAAGTTTAGAGATAGGATTCAACATAGTAGATAATCTAATCAATCAATTAATCAATTGTATAATAGGAAGTAAGTTTAGAGATAGGATTCAAAATAGTACATAAATCAAATCAATCAATTAATCAATTGTAATTATTAAAGAAATAAATGAGCAGAAAAATTTCTTAACTAAACAAACCATTGATAAAATGAAACATGCTTCCATAAAATAATAAATCCATTTCTTAATTTAAACTAAAGTAAGCAAACAAGCAATCCTAAATTAAAAACAAAAAAATTGTAAATTATTCTGAATAATCATTCTTAAATAAAAAATAAACGTACGATCAAACAATCATTCTTTAAAAAATAATGAATCAACTATTTTTAAATAAAAAACAAAGTTATTACTTATCATTCAATTAAATCAGAATATTTTAAAGATAATTCTTATAATTTGCAATCAACATTAAACAGATTTTTCTAAATATATAAAAGGTCTTGAGAATATTTTAGAATTGATTATTTCCTTAATGATCTGTGACCGGAAGCTGGTGAATCAGCTGGACTTGTCTCCGGGCTGGATTGTATAGGGGAGAGGGGCCGAGCACCGGCAGGTAGAAAATCTAAAAACTTTGGTCGCCGGACTGGCTGGGAACCAGGAGGAGTGGTTAGACCAGCTGTAGATGACACTGTAGATACTAGGGAGGGAGGCGGGGAGGGAGAGGATTCACGTGATGCCTGAATGGGCGTGGCACATGATGAAGCAAGGGCGGAAGGCGGAGCAATTAATGAATTCCGCTTAGGACGCCGAAGCGATGAGTTCGCCGTTCCTGTAAATTGACTTTAATTTATCTTCAAATAAAAAATACTTAATTGGCAATTGAAATTTAATAATTTGACCCGAAATGATGATTATACTTGAGTAATGAGCATGCAAGGAACCATCTCAAATTACTAAATACTTACATAAAACTATTTAGTGCATTTTATAAGGTGTGCTGTGTACAAAGTGCATTGACTTATTTACACAGTGCACTTAGCTTGACCTTGCTGCATTTCAAGATTTCTCAAACAAGGAATATTTTATGTTTTACAATTATCATCAAATGAATCATTTAACTCGTTTTTGTAATAAAAGTGATATCTATCAGCGTGCTAAATGCTAATTTGTTTGAATAATTTGTGAAGTGTTAAATAGTTTAGAATAAAAACTCTAATTGCTCAGTCAACATACCAATTCTTCTTTTCCTCAGACTAGTAAATATTAAAAGTCAACTTTCTTTACCCTTACACTAATTCTTTCTTTCACTTGTACAAGCTTAAACAAATATCATCTTTAAGTAGAACATATCTCAATATGGGATTGACTATGTTTTGAACTTCAAATGAATCATATGAAAGCCCCATTTTACAGCTTCTTCGTCTAGACCTTTATAAGATTTTTCTCCTCTTTCTTTAATCAACTTTTAGTGAAATCAAACTAAACGAAAACTGAACTCAAAACTAAACTGAACTTAATACTCAAACTCAAAACTCAACTGAACTCAAAGCTCAACTGAACTCAAAACTCTTAACGAACAAACTCAACTGACCACAAAACTCTTAACAAACAAATTCAAAACTCAACTGAACTCAAAACTCTTAACAAACAAACTCAACTGAACTCAAAACTCTTAGCGAACAAAGCATAGCTTAAGCTAAGATAAAACTTCTCCCCAACTGATCTCGAACTGGTAAAGTGACCTCAAGTAGATCTCCAACAGATCTCCAACAGATCTCAAACAGATCTCAAACAGATCTCAAACAGATCTCAAACAGATCTCAAACAGATCTCAAACAGATCTCAGGCAGATCTCAAAAAGATCTCAAACAGATCTCAAACTGATCTCAAACTGATCTCACTGATATCAAACTCATCTCAAACTGATTTCAAACTAAACTAATCTTTGTCCACTGTCCAGTCCAGTAATTTAACTCGAATTCAGTTCTGAAATTGTATCAGACTTATATCTACTAGAAATCTTTATGTCAATTTTAAAAATTTTATTTCAGTTTTTTTATTCTTTTACCTCTATGCCAATAAAAAAAATAATTTCAGTAAATCTTTAATCTGTAGGCTCACTCCATCTATCTGTCAATATTGAATATATCCAGTTACCTGGGTTACTTTGTATGACTCCGTTTGCATTCATTGTATCCCTGTGAGGTTTGTTCGCCACTAAAAAAAATATTTAAAAATGGAATGATGTGCGCATGAAAGTTACGTAAAACATATGAAGGAAGGATTCAGGAGGAAAGTTTAGCAAGCGTTTTATAAATTTTAGTTTCCTAAAAAATAAATTTTTCCAAAAAGCAACAATTTCAGCAATAATCTTTTGTTAACAGGATTTTTACTTTTTATTGCTGGAAGCGACGGATAAAAAGTGGAGTACAGGTAAATATAATCCCGACGAGTTTCAGGGAAAATTAATATTTTATAAAAATATTAAAATTGTTCACCTATGACCGTATTGCACACAGCTAATAATAGAAAGAATTCTTGTACGAGCAGGGAACCCTGGATATCAAACATTTTATCAATCATGAACATTTTTTCAAAACATTTAAACCTTCTGCAGTCTTATCAAATGAAAAAGAAAGGGTTTGGTTGTTTTTAAATTAGGTTTTAATGCAAAACAAATTTTTCCTATTTATCATCTTTACAGTTAATTAATTCACATAAATGAGAATGATTGATTAATTGATTGAATTCCTGTGAGGGTGGAGTGGTGGAGTCAACTAAAGCCCCAATCTCTAAAGTATTCAGGTACTCAGCTAGCTTAGGATTTGTGGGGATTATTGCCCTGAAAAAAATGACATTATTTTTGGAGCTTGTTGTGTCATTTCTATAGTATACAAATGATTATAATGTAAACAGATCAATTTTTTCATTATAATTGAAATAAATACTAGAAAATTCGAATTAGCGAATTAAGCTATGAATCTTTCTCTAGTGCTTAACTTTTATTTTAAATCCAAATTTTTCCTAAATTTACCTTGAACTGCCTGGATGAGAGAAACTATTATGCCCGAAGTCCTGACCATTTATACTACAACGCTTAAACACCATCTTATTTTCTGTTAATGTACCAGTCTAAACATAATAGAAACATATATAATTATGCGTTAGCTTAATGATTAATTCCCTTTTCTCCATTAAAAAAACATATGATTAATTGATTTAAAGTCAACTTGCCTTATCACAGAACATGTACTGCACTTGTCCCAGTTCCTCGGGAATATTGAGAGCGCGGCATTCCACGCGCTTCTCGTGGACAGGATCGTATAAGAGGGGATCATTGTGAATTAAATAAACCTAAATAATAATAAAGTTAAGATATTATTTTAAAAACTCAAGACTTAAAAATTCACTGGAGACTTATTTGAGAAAGGAGTTACAGAAAAAAAATTAATTAAAAAAGGAGATGAAACTAACCTGTGAGAGTTTAGTTAGCTCAATGGTAACATATAATGAGAGAGGGATGATAATCTGAAGAATGATAATGAAAGTCCAGAAAGCAAGGAACCCGTCCCACAACGGGTTTACCTGAAATAATAATAATAATATTTTAAAAGTCCATTTTCTAGGAGCGCCGACCCCTATTTCATTGAATGATGGGTTGTCCTTTAATAATAATAATAATAATAGTGCTGAAGAACCGGATCATTTTTTCCGTTTTTCTCGCAAATCCGGTTCAAGATTTTCAAACAAAGACAAAAATAAAAGACCAAAATTGTCAAGACCTCAAGTTGTCATCTCTTTTTGTTGTTACTTGCATAAACCAGTATTTACTAGATCAGAAATTAAAATTTTAAATCCGGATCCGCATTTCCAAAATAAGAAAATACACGTGACTAAAACGTTTAACCTTCCAACTGCTTACTATAGAGCACATTTGAATAAAAACGTCAAACTTTTTTTTAGATTCTTTACAGATTCAGAAATAAATTATTATTATTTTTTAATCTTACATCCATTATCTCCAGTATTGCAAGAAATGGAGCTGTCACATTGAAGGAGTTAATCCACAAACCAGCGCCTAAAATAAACATTGAACAATGGATAAGAAAAAAGAAAAAAATGTGAATTTCTTTTGAAAATAAAACACAAATTTTTACCATGAGAAGAAAACTAAAATGATTTATCAAAAACAAAATATAATTTCATGTACATTGACATTTTAGTTTTACTAGAAATAAGACTAAAACCCACAAAGACGACCTGAAACTCTAAATATAAGACCATAAGGTTAAATTAAGTTTTCTGCTTTCAATGGCTTCCAAAATGATTTAGCAAAGAAAGATCTAAGTTTACAGTTGCAGGGAATCATGAATTTAAGTAATACAAACAATTCCACACAGTCAACTCTATAGCCTCATCCCTGTATTTCACATATGAGCTTGCAACATTGTGAACGCACTAGAGTGTAACATATATATGTTTAAATTAGATTTCGAATATTTTTATTTTTAGTAAATCTGAGTTAATGGTGACTAACCTACTGCTCCAATAAGGCAGAGTCCGAAGAGAATAAATACACAGTATAGAACCTCGGAGTTGATTTGTCTCTCGAGTTTAGAGCGCTTATATCGAGGACCACCATTGTTCAGCATAGCCTTAGATTCATGTCCTAAACAAAATATATTAAATAAAATGAGATTAGTCATAATAAATCTCTTGTAGAGTGTCAGTCAGCACAATCAATCAATCAATCCAACAATCAAACAGTCAAACCAAAAATCAAAAAACTTTCTTAAGTAAATCTATTCGATGTTCTGAAGTAACTTTGGAATGAATCCATCAATCAATAAATCAATAAATGATAAAATGAATCAATCAATCAATCAAACAATTTAACCAAAAATTCAAATATCTTTCTTAAAAGAACTATTAATTATTAATTCGGTGTTCTGGGTGCTTAGCATAACTTCGGAATGAATCCATCAATCAACAAATCAATGAATGATGAATGAATGAATCAATCAATCAAACAGAATCCATCAATCATTAAATCAATGAATGATGAATGAATGAATCAATCAATCAAACCAAAACTTCTAATATCTTTCTTAAAAGAACTATTAATTCGGTGTTCTGGGTGCTTAACATAACTTCGGAATGAATCCATCAATCAACAAATCAATGAATGATGAATGAATCAATCAATCAATCAAACAGAATTCATCAATCAATAAATCAATAAATGATGAATCAATCAATCAATCAATCAAACCAAAACTTCTAATATCTTTCTTAAAAGAACTATTGATTCGCTATTCTGTGGTATTTAGCATAGCCATAGGATAAATCCATCAATCACCTAATAGTAAAAAAAAACATTTCTACGATAATGCAGCACCAAACCAAACCAAGTACATGAGTAAATGTGTCTACCTGCATATACAACAAGACCCTCAACATAGTCTGTATTCTTGAGCATACACTCTCGTAGGATCAGATTATCTTTACCAACAGGTATTCGCTCTCCCCATGGTTGAACTAGATAAAAAATATAATAAGTAATGATATATTTTTTAAATCATTTTTTAACACTAAGCTAACATGGCGCTTCGCGTCCAACTTTAATTGTTGCTCTCTCTGTTAGCGTTTTCTTTAGAACAATGAGAAAAAATTCTGCGTATTCACAATTTTCATCGTGATTTTTAACATTTTACTAAAATTAAATATTTTGTGACAAACTTTTGTAAGTGTAAGCTTTCATAAACCTTCCCTGGGATCATCCGAGGTCCGAAAAATAATTTGGGCCCGATCAGCTAAGTCGTTTTAACGTTTACTGGATACAAACAAACAGACAGACAATTGAATAAAAACAAGATACTAGAGAGGGGATGTGATCAAAGCAGAAGAAAATAACGAGGGGGGTGATGATTTACCTAAGCTGCCGTGGAATCTATATATTTTAGTAGTTGGAGCATCACATTCTAGATTACATCGTAGCTCTTGAACATCTGATAAAATATAACCAGTCAGATTTAGTGTTATCATGATCACAGATTTGTCATTGCTAACAGGATACAATGATAACAATTAAATTTAAAATTACAAATTTTAAATTATTATGCAATTCCGCCATTTATTGAAAGGAAATAATCATTTTTCTTTTTTAAAAATTAAGTACATGTATTATCTGGATAAATAACCCATTCATGAAATCAATAAATAATGAAACGATTAATACTAAAAAATATATTAACACATGAATGAACGAATATAAGGATAAATAAATTAATAAAATGTTAAATAAATGAACGGAAGGATAAATAAATGAATAAAAGGATGAATAAATGAATGAAAGGATAAATAAATGAATTAAACAATGAATAAATGAATGAATGGTTGCCTAGATTAGGTCCAGTTCCAAGTTTAAGTCCTCTCGGTATCTCTCTTTGTTTCAAGTTAGTTTCACCGTCAAGATTCTAAAAAATGGAAGATGAATATAAATTATGAATAAAAAATGAAGAAAAGAAAAAGCAAAGCGTGTACACAATACAGTGTTAACGACCAAAAGAAGCAAAAGATATTAAAAAAATTAAGTTGCCTTTCACATATTGCCAGTTCAGATATGAAATATTTAATATATTCAAAACGTTAACAGGACTAATAAAGAAGGAGTCAAAACTGAACCGTGTAGAACTCCATAATAATATTCTATAACTAACCTGTGTATCAATAAAACAAAGTCCAGAGGCATCACTGCAGATATTAATTTTTATTTTAAGTAAAAATAAACTAACATATACCATGACAGACATTAAATATGATTTTAGGTGGCCCTGCATCAACGAAACACAACAGTACCAAATGTCCATAACAGAAATTTTTTCTGATCAAAAAATTGTTTATCCCCGTTTGTTTTCTATTTTTTGGAGACCGACTGGTAAATTTTTGCGGAAAATGTCCGAGATTTGTTACTGGTAAGCAGACAACTAGACTAAAAACCAAATTTACAGACAACTGGACTAAAACCCAGACGTGAACATAAAAATATTATTCCTTGAATGAAGAAGAAGAATGTCGGCTGGAATCTGCTCATTGTTCGACAAATGAACTGAAAAAAAAGATATAATAAATCTTTAAATACCTCATAGTTATTTTTTTAGGAACCCCTACAAAATTACAATTATTTCAATATTTCAATCATTAAAATGCCTCGGGTATTGAGTTTCATTGTGATTTATCTCTTTTTTCGGAGACTAAAATTCTCCATTGTTACATTTTTTAAATACATTTTGTAATAAATTTATTACCTATATCCCCAGTGCGAATATCCTTCCAATATTTAGCCTCATATCTACTCTCTTGATGGTTAAATACTCTATCATAACACAATCAATTAATCAAATTTTCTATCGGAATGTTTCTATACTATTGATCGTTAAAAATCGATAAATCAAATCAGAGATTAAAACTTAAATTTTTAGGATTGAAAAAAGTATTAAAAAAGGTAGCTTGGAGAATGAATTAAATGTACTAATAAATAAGATATTGGATGTTAGTAAAAGATGTTAATCCAACTGTAGGGACTTTTTTTAAGTAATAATTAAGAAAGAAAATTTAAGTCGGAAAATAAAAAGTGATCAACGATCTAAAATTAAACTATTATGACAATAAAAAAGTTTGATGTTTTCCTGCAAGTCGAGTTGTTGACTCTTTGGTCTGAAGTTAATCGTCGCCGATCCTCAAACAAATCCTAGAAACAACAATTATAAGACTTTTCATCATTTAGTGGTTATTTATGTGGAGGGATCGACATTTTTTTAGTAACTTCTAACGAGACTTAAGACACTAAACCTTGATTGCAGTAACTACTAGAACCAGGATAACTGGAAGCATGCTGATCTCTTTTCCGAAAGCGTTGATGGCAGGAACCCAGTTCAATAGAACAATGAACAGGAAATACAGGTTCGCAAACCTTAAATTAAAAACATATTTTTAAGAGCTTAAGTGTCAAGCAATTAATGAAATGTCAAGCATTTGTGATTTGCAGTTTGTAACAATTGACTTCCAGACAAAAAAAACATGAACAGCAGGGTTAATACGATGAAAATGTTAGACTTAAAATATCAAGCATCAAGCATCAAGCATCAAGCATCAAGCATCAAGCATCAAGCATCAAGCATCAAGCATCAAGCATCAAGCATCAGGCATCAGGCATCAAGCATCAAGCATCAAGCACCAAGCATCAAGCATCAAGTATCAAGCATCACGCATCAAGGATAAAGCGTCAAGCGTCAAGCGTCAAGCATCAAGCATCAAGCATCAAGCATCAAACATCAAGCATCAATAATTAAACAAAAGCATCACGAATTACTTATTTTAATGCATATAAGCATAAAGAATTAAGCATCAGACGTAAAAAAACAAGCATAAGTAATCAAATCTAGAATGAAGGTCAAACATAAAATATTAAGCATTAAAAATTATATCAATAACCAAAGCCAAACATAAAATATCAAGAATCAAAAAGGTCAATAATAAAATATAAAGCATCCAAAATCAAATCAAGAACCAAGTTCAAACATAAAAAACATACTAATAGAAATAAATTAAGAATCAAGGCCAAACATAAAATATATAAAGCATGAGGCAATAGTTGTTGTGTACATAAACATTATACCTGTGAAACTGCTCAAACAAGTTCTTTGGTAGGAAGGAGAGGAAGGTGTACTTAGTGGTTCGAATCTTGTTCGAGAGGAAAGAGTGATTTGGATGTTCAGTATCCTAGAAGATTAATAATTTCATAATCACTTATTGATTAATTAACTGATTTATGATTAATTATAGAGTAAGTGGTTCAGGTTGAAATAATGACTTCATTTTAAATACTAATTAAATATCAAATTAGAATTTATTGAAAAACAAATTTGTATGTATTTTTTTCTCCCCCAACACATGTTCTTAATTTTTTAATAAATTAGAAAAAATCAAAATGCGGAAACAAACCAAAAAAAAACTTTTTCACATTCGTTTTGATAAAAAAACCTTTCTTAACATTTTCTTATTCAAAGGAGGATGTATCAGCGCTGAATGAAAAATCACAATCTGACACACAGTCGGAACCAACATTGATCACACACATTTAGGACGCACGTTAAGAACGTACTATTTAAACGTATTTTGAGAAGAACATTGAGAACTTACATACATACTAACCGTATCAGGTATCTATATAATTATGTATATACTTTGCTTGTCTGTCTGTCCGTTTGTATCCAATAAACGTCAAAACGGCTGAACCGATTGGGCTAAAATTTTGTGTAGGGCCTCACATGACCCCGGAAAAAAAGATTCTCGCTCACAATCAAAAGTTGAAATAGAAGAGGGAGCTAAAAGCCTAGTTTTTATATAACTTAGCTTTTAGGACGCTTCGCACCATCTTCTATTTCAATTGTGAACATTTCTTCTTAACATTGTAAAACAAAACCAAAAAAAATTTAAAATTAATTTCTTGGATTTTCAAATTGAAAATAGAATTTTATTAGAAGCAAATTTTTAAAATTTTAATCATTCATATACCTTCCCTGGGGTTCTGTAAAGTCCCACACAAAATTTGGGCCCGATCAGATCAGCCGTTTAGACGTTTATTGGATACAAACAGACAGACAGACAAGCAAAATATATATTATATATAGATTGTACTCTCTAACCTTTGGTGAGCCTGGAACAAGATGATTAGGAACAACTGTTCTATGTTTCCTTTCTATTTCAACAGCTGGAACAGGTTTATTCCAGAAAAATACTTTTTTCTAAAATAAAATATTTTGTTTTTAACTTTACCGGTTAAGAGATTGGGGCGCAGAATTCATATTTTCTTTGGCATGTTAAATAACTAGTTGTTAGCAATATTAAGAGGCGCCCATTTTTTTTTTTTTTTTTTTGGAAGACTTAAACAATACCTTGTAGTTAGTTGTTGTTTGTCTTAGAGTGTAAATGGAGTCGCTTCTTGAATTCTAAATGAAAATACAGTTTGTAGAACAAATTAAGTATTAATTGAGTCCAAACTTACCTAGACGACAAACATACTTTACACTAGGGTGGGGGGGATAAAATAATTGTTCAAGAAAATATACACCCATGCTTAATATTTACCTCTGAACCTCAAAATCTAAGGCTTGTAATCCAAATACTCCTACCAAACTTTCTAATTTACCCAGTATATGGGTGACACAGCACGTTTTTTTGCAACAGGCGAGGGAACTATCGTGAATGAACCCCTTTTATTTACCTGTCTACTATGGCCTCTAAAAAAGCCTGTTATGCTATCAGTTCTTGAGTGATTACGTTTGTGAGACCCAGGCCTGGAATAATAAAAAATTAAAAAACTTAAACACGCAGCCAAAATAAATTTAAAATATTTGAAAAAGAGATAACTGTAAAATCTTACCATTTTTGCAAGCAAAATTGTAAGAACAATTTATGAACTTGTTAACCCCTTTCATGTTGGAAACTGTCAAAAAGTTCAAAAACATCTTAAAATGTTCGACTTTTTTGGTCAATAATACTAACAGTCAAAATGAAATAGTTCCAAAACACTGCGGTAAGCGAATCAGTGTTTAATACTCTCTATGTAACAAGGAGAGCATGAAAAACAAATATGAANCCCCCCTATTCTTATATCCGCCCTGTGTATGAGAAAAATGAATAAATATATTGCTATGAAGTAAGTTCAAACTAAATGATTGTAAATATCTAGTGTAAAAATTATAATGGTATATCCATAATCATTTAAGATTTCAAGGAATAATACTACAATAATATTACTTACAAATACGAGAACAAAATAAAAAGATTTAAAGACCATTGATGTAAATTTTTGTCAGGCGAAAAATGAATATTTTCTGGTTTTTGTAAAGTAGAATTTGTTAAGTATTTAAGCTGTCCGACAGAATGCTAGCATACTTAAAACAGAAGGATTAATACATAGGATTAACTCATTATAAAATCTGACCTTGAAGGATTTATAGGATTAACTTTCTTTCTTTCTCTCTCCTCATGATCGGGGGGAAGTAAAAAATCAGTTCTGCTTCCATTCCTAACGAGAAAATAAAAAAAGTATTATTTATTCATGTGTCAAATGCATTTTAGATGATAATAACATTTACAAGAAAAAAAAATGGCTTTAGATAATAGATATACAAAATTCAAATAGACTTACAGACAGACAATTAAACAAAAGCCCTGAAAACAGTAAGTAAATTCATTTACAATGTTTTTTATACAAGTCAATATTTTTGGTAGAAATTTTCTTTTTCTAATTTGTTTGAGGTTTAAATTCAAGTTTCCTGATCCCCAGCAAATTTAAATCGAACAAATAAAAATAAGCAAAAATTCTTAATGAAAAATGTCCTAGATAACAAAAAGAAGGTTGAGAATATAAATATATTAAAAAATCAAAGTTGGAATTGAAAGAACCCCCGATATTACTTTTAAGATTTTTGGACCACCTCATTGTAACTAATCATAAATTCACTATCATTTATTATTCGAATTAAAAACATATTTTATCTGATCCAAAAATGTGCGAGAAATACTTAATAAACCCCATGATAGATAAACCCCATGACATATGAGAATGAGTCCCCAGCAATGTCTTAAAGAAATCAATTATGTAAAGTTTACCTTGTATGCCCTGGTTTATAAGGTTCCTGATTACCCACTCCTCCTTGAGAGAATACACGCCTGAAAATAATTTTCTTAATTCCTCATCACTTTTACCTTTTTTAAGTCTTATAATTCTATTAGTAGTTGAAGTAGCCGGCTTTGCCCGTGAAAATAAAAAATCGACCAATAGCAAAGAGAAATCGACATATGCTATTTATTTAAACCTGTCAAACCTAACAACTTTCATTTTAGTTACGTCCCTCTTAAGGGTTGCGATTCGGTCGGGTTAAATAACTTAAATGAGAAACATTTTACTTCCGGCCTGGAAACCAATCGTTGTTTAGGCTACTGACAAGAATTGTCTAGATAGGATAAACAAGTTGAAGACGACTTCTGGACTAGCCTCTGCTCCCAATTATATACTGCTATTGCTGTAGATTGTAACAAACTGAATCCGGATCTTTTTGTTAGCTAACAATAAACCAAACACATTCTTACAAATTCTTTCTATTTCTTACCTATGACCGGGCTTTTTCAGCGCTGAGGTTAGTTTCTGGTTTTGTAGATTCTGACTGAACTGTGTTCCTCCTCCTGCTGCTGCCGCGGCGGCCGCTTCGCGCTCTCTCAAGGAGGGGGTTCTAGACAGTTCTCGTTGTTTAAGTACTTAAAAAAATCCCAAGGAAAACAAAAAGGTATATACTATGTAGATATTAGATGTCTTTAAAATGAAGGTGAAATATTCAAAATATCACGAAACCAATATATTTTGGTTATTTTTTCGATGTGGGAAAATGAATATTTCAACCCTATTTAGTCATGAGAAATAAAAAATATTCTTTAACACTCTGACATTTATGTGCTAAGTTTACGATAGAATATAATCAAAATACTAAGATGTTAAGTTTTATTTTCTTCTATATGTCTATTTTGAAATCAGTAACTAGATATTGAATCTTAATCACGAACACGAACATGGTTTCTGACGTCATCGCCTTTAAACTTAGTTGGGGCCAAAAAATATTATTTTGAAAATTATCAAGAATAAAAAGTAGGTACAAATGCAACATTTCAAACTTATTTCTTATATTTAATAATTTCAAAAACCCCCAAAAAAGTTAAAAATAAGATCTAAGAAAACTACAGATTCGAGCTGAAATTAATGGAAATAGAGAATAAATAAAAACTGCGAGTTTTCCTGCCTGAAATGAACACCTCCATGGCTGACCGACCTCGTGTGAGTCTTGACGTTATTAACGGACTTATGGAAGGGGGAGGTCATGGTGTCATCGTAAAATATACTTTTTGTGGCCTTCGGGTCAGTGAACTTTTTAAAGTGTGGGATAGGGCTTGGAAACGAAGTAGGAGGAGCTTCTGCATTACGCGGCAAACTGCGCCCTCGAACCTCTTCGCTGGGAGGGGCGAGGGCCCCCGTCTGTGTGATGGGATGGATGGGATGGCTGCTAGTTTTGGATAGAGGAGGATGGGAGGCAAAGATGGGATTTATGGCCGAAATCGGAGGCTGGAGATTAGAGGACGCGTCAATATCCTCTTTTAGATCATTAGCACTCAATCCACTAAACAAAATCATTCTTTAAAATGGAAAAATTAAAATTACATTTTTGATTTTGAAATAATCTGAAATTTTCTTTTTCTGAAACAATTTTTGATTCGTCATAAAACACTTCAGATTTTTAGAAAATTAATGGAATTAAAGAAAAAGTCACATTTAATCATTAAGAAATGAATTCCTAAGTGCACTAATTGTACTAGACGTGCTATTTGTATCAGCTGAGAAAACATCATCATCGATGACGTTTCTGGCAAAACTGGTTTTATGATCACCACTGGTCACGGGTAACTTTACTATCAAAGGTTCACTAAAATTAGATTCCGCCCCACTAGCAGGCAATGTATTCGCCCTGATAGGGGGCAGTTGTGTTTTTCCGGATGGCGCCAATCCATCATTCGTCCCGGCGGAAAGGGTCCGACCTAGGAACACTGGTCGGACATTTTCAACAAGATATTCGTCTTGTATATCTGGTTCAGGGGCTGCATCCGCCGACTGTAATCGTGGATTTTCCTGATCTGATTCTGGCGGATTTTTCTCCGCCTCAGAAGCTTTGTTCTTTTCTCCACCAGCAGGCAAATGTGGCATTTTATTTCATTCTGAAATTTATCTAACTTAATTTATTTTCTTCAAAACTATCATGCATTTCTTGAAAATTTGTTTTGAATCAGATTTGTTCAGATCCTTCTCTTCCCTTATCTTATACATATTCAATATTCATTTCCAATGTTTCACTATTCTGATTTTTGCGGTACTGCATTGAACAGATAAAAAACACTTTAACCCTATTCCTGACCCCCCTCCCTGTAGTTTTTTTTTACATAACTCAAAAAGTATTGATCGGAGGCTGTTTTCTGACTTTTCCTAAATACCCATAGCTATTCCTTTAAGACTAAAACCGTGCGTTTATACTAACTGTCAGAGTCCTGAGGTACACTGCCTGAATGACTACTTTTCCTGTAACAAACTAAATATCTTTGCTTTGACCCACTTTTAGTTATCACTTATCAGATTTTATAATTTTTAGCTTTTTGGAAAGCCTATGACACAAGGAAAACGGATAGCACGAGTTTTGCAAAGAAAGGTTTGCAAATTATTTGCAGACAACCTTCAAAGAAATTTGAACATTTTTAGTTTTTCTTAATTACACATCATGGCATGGTGAAGGGCTTTTCAAAAATGTATATTTTTTTATTTTTTGACATTTTTTGCAAACATTTTTACTATATACATATCTGGATTTTGCAACAAAAAAAAAGTGAATTTTTTTTTTTGTTGCAGATTATAAAGAAGAGCAAAGTCTAGAGCTTTTCAATTATATATAATTTGTTATATTTGGACATCAAACATAGGATTTAGAGAGGGGGTCAAATTCACCCCCCCCCCCCCCACCCGCGTATCCTGGTTTTCAAGTACCCCAGCAGGGATAGATAGAGTTAACCCCATTCTGACCTTAATATGATATTTGTCATCTGTTTTAACTCTTTCTTGGTCATTTGTTGAAATGACTATTTCAAGCGTATTCCGATTGCTGCATTTTTTAATATTGAAAAAATATTCCATAAATAACCGCGAAATTGTACAAAATTATTTTAAGAGCATTGCAGTATTCCTGAATGATAAATCAATATAATCAATATCAAGAAAATATATGCTGCAAACATCTCATGTAAATTTGGAACCTAAATTTTATTTTTTTTTAGCGGACAATAACTTGAAGTGGAAATGCTGGGAAACAGAAAAGTAAATATATAATAAAAGACCAGGATTGTAGAGTTAGATCTTCTTTTACTAACTAAGAACTGATTCAGTAATAATGATTCTAGAGTTGGCACTCATTTCTAGTTTTTCACCAGGGAATTAGGAATACAGGAATATTTACATATACACAGTTCACTGTACAGTACAGCATAGAGTACATTTTAACATTGTTACTATTCAAAAATCATGGACTTAGTACTAGCAATTAGATGTTCTGACCGCGCGCGTCCCTGGTACTAAAACATTTAAGTCCATGGTTTACATGGTACTCTATTCTTAAGGGTTTGTATTACTTACAGCCCTTCCAAATATATGAGATATAAAAACCTTAGAAAATTTAACTAAATTCAGTGCTCAGGATCCGGATCCGTCGGATCCGCCAATTTTTGGCTTGAAAAATATGCGGATCCACGGATCCGGATCCAAATGGCAAAATATCAACCAAAAACTGCAAACAAAAATCTTTTACTCCCAAAACCCAAATCTGAACAAAGAGTGATTATCAAAAATTTCCTCATGTCTGAAAGAATGGTTCATGAAGTTTCAGCATGAAAAACCGAAAAAAGAAGAAAAATATTTTAAAAAATATTATATTGTTAAAAAACATTAAATCTTAAAGATATGTTCATGACCTGGATCCGGATCTGCATCAAAATAAAATGAATCGTAAGCTATGATACATATATTTATATACCTTGCTTGTTTGTCTGTTTGTATCCAATATTCGTCAAAATGACTGAACTAATCGGGCCCAAATTTTGTGAAGGACCTCACATGACCATAGGAAAATTTTATGGATGCTCAAAATTACAAATTGTCCAAAAGTATTTGATTTTTGTGAAACTTTGAAAATGCGCCAAAAAATATTATTTAATCCTCCACCTTTTTTTGTTATTGTTTTATACTGTACAAAGAGAAGATGCTCATAGATATGAGAAGCACAATTAAGATATATTTTTGTTATTGTTTTATACTGTACAAAGAAGATGCTCATAGATATGAGAAGCACAATTAAGATATATTTTTGTTATTGTTTTATACTGTACAAAGAGAAGATGCTCATAGATATGAGAAGCACAATTAAGATATATTTTTGCTGATGACGTCATTATCTTTAAATTCACATAGAATTAAAATATTCTTGATCTTGTGATTTTAAAGAGATTGAAATCGGAGAAGGAAGCAAGACAGATGATATTTGTAAGATGACAAACTTGATAATAGTATACTTAAACTCTACTTTTCTAACCAGCTTTAGACTGAAGAAAACTTGAGTTCGCGTCTAATGTTTAAAATCTATTGATGTGGCCACTTTGGATATCAAACTGTCTCGTGAGCTTGGTCAATGCATATGGTTGAATAATTACATTTTTAAAACGTGTGTATTTTTTTCGAATCTCGTAATTTTTCATCTCTACTGTACTTTGACGTTCAGACGAAGAAATAAAAGTGCTTAGGTATTAAATTTACTAACAGGATAACGATTAAATATATTTAAAAAACAAGTGTTCGGTTAAAGCAAGGACAAGTTCAGCTGCTTATATCAATAACATTTAGACTAAAAGGAAACATTCCACTCTTTAAAAATGAAATAAAATTACAAATTAATTTAATTTCGTTAAGATTCAGATATTTGTGAATTGATGAGGATTAATATTAAATTGAAGAATTTTCGTCTTGATCTGAAATTTGTTAATCACCCCCTAAATCAAATAAAATAATGTAAAATTAATGCTAATTTTCTCTTTCTTATTTGCTTTTCTTAGTAGTGTAGTGCAAGCTTATCTTATCATATTCAATATTTTTATTGCATCAGATGTTTTTTTAAGTAATGGAATCGTTGTCAAAATTAATTCTCCAATGTAAGAATTTTTTGCCTCATAAGATCAACGCCTGAGATATAAATGGCGTAGATTAAAGTTGGCATAAAAAAATAGATTTTCATTTAGTATTAGATAAAGGTAAAATAGAATATTCAAAACTATTTTAATACAATTTCTTTAGATATAACGTTACATAGAACTTATCTCACTGTTAATGATTTTTAACTTTACACTCGTAAGATGAGCTATTGACTGAACCTGAACACACAAGGATCAAGTATCAAGTGTACGCAAACTATTAGTAATATATTTATAAATATATACGCAGTTTAATCTAGCTCTTCTGTACTGTGAAGGCTGGGTGCAACTATTAATAGTGTAATTCGAGAATAGACAGGAATTCGGAATTCGTCAGTCAGTCAGTCAGTCAGTCAGTCAGTCAGTCAGTCAGTCAGTCAGTCAGTCAGTCAGTCAGTCAGTCAGTCAGTCAGTCAGTCAGTCAGTCAGTCAGTCAGTCAATAATGACAAAAAATATTAAGTTCTTTAATTTTTAACCTTGTCCTGGATTATTAATATTCATATATGAAAAAAAACACCTGTGAAAAATTAAAGAAAAGTGAGAAAAAAATCATTTTAAAAAGTACTTGGATTGAAAAAATTTCAATTAAACCTTCAACCCTAGTAATATTGAAGTGGTTAATTTGAAAACATCATTAATCCAGGGGATTACTTGTAACGAAATCGTTGACAAAAAGCAATAACATTATTTTACGGCGTTAACCAATAAAATGGATTGACAATACACACGGTTCAGCCGTTTCATCATTTATTGGATCAAGCAAACAAAAAGGCATGAATGAATAAAATAATAAAAAAAAATCCTAATGTCTTTTGTAGCCAACCTAGACTTTAGCATTGTTCTTTGTAACTGCTAAAAAATTTTAAATTTTAAAACTTTTTTCATCACGAAAAAAAATATCCATTTATCAATTGGGCCCAATTCGCCCAATAGGCAAACATTGCAAGTACTGTAAACGCAGATGAAGAAAAACTCATTCTACCAATTAAAGATCATTGCTGTAATTTACTGTATCTGGTTATTATTTCAATAACTACATTTTATTTGAGGCATTTATCGTAACTTTTCTGAGCCACCTTTTCTTTCTTGTTCCACACACCTTTCTAACTAAAGAGTTTTTAATTATTTTCCCTGCCAGCGGAGGGTTTTCATTAAAGGTTCTACAAATTAGAAGTAAGCATGTGTATTGTGTATTCTTCAGACTAAGAAATAGAAATACTCAGTTTAAAAATAGTGTTTTAAACTTTTTAAATGTGAAGTTAAAACCCTTTGTTTTGTACAAACTTGACTTAAGCTATAGTTGATCATTTTCTAAGTTCTCATTGGTCGTATCCCGTAATTTTATCTGACAAGTGATTGAGAGTGAACTATATTTGCTTGCTTCCTTTATAAAACCGGTTACCATAATTTACTAAGATTTACAACATTTCTTCCTTGCTAGGAGACTTCTACTAGAAGAGACAAAAAAGTGAGATATCTCAAGGGCGCTCTACTAGAAATTCGTTTTATCTTGATTCTAGTCCCATGCTGCACAACAGGTCTTCGTCGAAATTCAGATTTTTCTCTCCCCCCCAAACAAACAAAAAAAAATTCAGCGGTAATAAGTATAACTGATTCAAAATTTAAATACAATGAATTTATGTAAAACTGATGCACCCGGAACGATTTTTGGATGGGGGGGGGGGGTCCAAAAATCGTATACTAGGAAATTACCATATTTTAAATTTGGGCATCAAATTAGGTGCAATGTGAAAACTATTTTTTACTTTATTTATTCTTCAGGGACGGTGTACCCTACTATTCCTAAAATTGTGTCCACGAATATATTCTATTAAATTATGGTTAACAAATCCCACCATAAAATCGTATACTATAACCAAACGGACCAAAATATGCTACACTATATTATAAATTTTAAATTCTAAATGTTTTTAATAATGTGACCCAAATAAGATGAGTCACAATATGTCGGAGCATGACCATTGTACTTTGGCATCCGGTTGGTTTAAAGAGATCTATTCAACTAAATTAATCACAATAATTTTTCTATAATAATTTTAATCGTTTAACACTTCCTTTCTCACTTTAAAAGTCACCTTCAGCACTTCATTTGCATTATTGCGTAATTCCCAGTTCCCTGAGAGAATTCTGCCAACAAATTTAGAACTGTCACAAAGCACCGCGGCATACACACATACACACATCTCTCTCTCTTTTCCATGAAATTGGGCCCTGAAAGATCAAAATGAAACAAAAAAATATTTCGTTGTGAAAAAATACTATTTTCACTTTCAGAGCAGATTATTAGGTTTTTTAATTTTTATTTTTTTATTTTTTTCAGGGAACATTTACATGTCGTTGACTTTGGGCAATTATTAGTCCGATTCGTTAAACATTTTCTAACTATGAATTTGGCTGTGACTTCCTTGCATGTCTACTGTCTAGCCTGGGAAATCGCAGCAAATCACAGCTAGAAAATGGTTAACGAATCGGATAATTGTAGCGGCCAATATTTGTTACTCACGAATGTCGCAATGAATTATAAGAAAAGAGAGATTTATAGTTATTAGTATAATAAAAAAGTTCTGAGTTAGGCGTTAGGGTAAGACACTTTCTGCGTCACCGCGCGCTACGGCTAGGAAAGGCTAGATCGAACCGAGCGCCGCGGCTAGGAAAGGCTAGGGGACCGGACGCTGCGGCCACAAGTCCATCTAGCAACTGTAAAACCATGTGCTAGTAGGTCGGATGTGCAGCATAGCACAGATGGCCTAGGTCAGAAGTGGAGTATAGCGGATTTGCGTAGATAGAAAGATACACCATCCGACATACAGTTCATCGGACCAAAAACAGCTAGAAGCTGCTGAAAAATCACGTGCGGGTAGGTCCGAAGTATCGTAGGACGATCTGGACGAATGTAACGTTGGACGGATGCAAAAAGCCGCGTCTAATTCTCAAACTTTGAAACAGCTGATCAGCCCTCTTTAAACTATTGCCGAACAACAAATTGGAAATAGAAAACAATTGTATGATTTATTTTTCAAATTCATTTGAGAGAGCATTAATTACCTTCAATTTAATAATTGCAAATTTACATAGCCTTTCGATATTCGATCCGGCATTTTCCTCTTATCAAGTCCCACATGGTCAAAATCGTCATTTAATTTTCGTAAAAAATTTATGTTTTTTGGGCTTTACGTCGCCGAAAATTATCGGATTGCATCGCCCACCCTCCTAAATAGTTCTTGAAACAATCCAATTCCTCTTAGTCAACTAGATATCCTACTTCACAGGTGGGTGCGTAGAGGAACCCCATCAAGAACACCACAGTGGAGAAGAAAGCCATAGAAAATCAACATATCAAGAACTTCATCATAATTTTTTTTTTACTTAAATCATGGATGTTTTTTGTCTAGGTTTGCTTACCTTACCTTATCCTTTTTTCGACCTAGAGCCTAAATTTTTCTGTTTTTGTCCAGCTACTTACCATATCCTTTGAATACAGGGCCGGCATTTTGAGATTTCAAGTTCGTATATCGTCAAAATCGACGAATTTGACGTTGTTAGTTTTCATTTTTTGACTTTGTTGCTTAATTTTTCCAGTTTTGTTTAGCTCATTACCTTAACCTTAGACAACCCTGCCGGCATTTTGAAAATTCAATTTAGTCCATCGTCAAAATCGACAAATAAATCTTAATTTTCAACAAAAATAAATTAAGCCTCGAAGTCGAAAAATGAAGACTGACATATGACGATTGACGAACTTGAACTAAAAAAATGCCTACACGATTTCAAAGGATAAGGTAAGAAGCTAGACTAAAACAGAAGTCTCTAAGTCGAAAAATAAGTTTACAAAGGATAAAAAAATTCAGGATATAAGTAAAAACATAGATGGTGCATGAATTTCTTGATATTTTGATTTTCGGTGGCTCTCTTCTCCACTGCGGTGTTCTTGATGGGGTTCCTCTGCGCGTCCACATCCACATAGTGAATAAGGATATCTCTGAAAAGCATTTTTTATAAGGATTAGTAATTCTTGATTGAAATTGTCTGAGAGGAAGTGAATTTTTCTAGATGACCGAAAATAAAGGTGCTCAAAATCGTTCGACCAGAAAAGATCATACCAGGAAGATTACTGAGCATCCAGAAGAACTTTCAAGGAAGAGTCGCAAGATTTTAAGGCATATTTCGCATACGGCAAACTAACACTGCCACCAATAATGTTTTCCAATCAAAATATAAAACCTTTCACTTATTCATGAATGAATTGGTGTGAACCAATTGGTATATCCCAATTTTATAATGTATATGGAAGTCATAATGGAGGTTGTTGACCTCCGATCCCAAATTGTGTCCTTGATTCGTATGGATGATTACATTAAGATGCTGCATGCAAAATTTCAGCCTTCTATCACAATGTTTAAGACCAAATCCAGCCTGTACAAAATTTGGTGTCACAAAGTTAATTTTGATCCAATTTTTTCAGCTATGGCTGCCGAAAACGCAACTGGCCTTTTGCGACCTTTTTATCACCATCCCCTATTAATTGCGGTTCTAAAATTTAAATCAAAACCAAAACCAAAATCTATTTAGTTTTGAGAAAATGGGGAAATCGAGTGTTTTTTTAGCCTAAACATGTCAATGTGTCAACTTTGTACATGGATCTCATATGTAACACATGGATATAATTGGTCGTGTGGCCGCAGTGCCCGGCCCCCTGGCCTGTCCTAGCCGCGGCGCTCAGCTTGTTTCCCATTGAATGTCCTAGTCGCAACGCTCGATATAGAAGTCTTCTTTACTTAGCCTAACGCTTAAATAAAATTTATAGGGTTCTCTAGAACAGACCTCAATAATTGTCCAAATTGAAAATAAAGTTCATGGTTCCTTTCCAATGTATTGGAAAGTTCTCAACAGCTTATCATTTTATTTTTGCTTTAAACTTTTCTAAACTTTCTGAAACTTCTAAACTTAATCCATAATTTCTAGAAAAAATGTCGGAAAATGAAATGATGAAATGTGAAATAAAAGCGGAAATAAAACTGGAAGCCCCAGAAGACGAAACTGATGAATATTCTAGGCCGACGATGGATTTAATGTTTATTAAACAAGAAGATGTAAATTTCAATATAGACCCAGACTTGAAATTTGACCCTCACATGAAAATGAACCCTCATCTGAAAATGGACGCTGATCTAAAAATGGACCCCAACCTGATAAAAGAGGAAACGATAGTTTATCCTATTTATCATAAATCAGAGATTGAGGACGCCTATACAGTCTTTATAAAGGAGGAGGAGAAAGAAGAGAACGAAATTAAAGGTTACAACTCTAAGGGTAAAACTGGGACACTTTTTTGATGAAAATGCTCAAATCCATCTTGCACATACCATAGAAACAAAAAATTTAAGTCTTAATGAACAAAAAGGACTTTAATCAGCGGTTCGAGGCGCATCTTTTGAAAATTGAAAAATCTAACTTCCTAATGATTTTTTTAATTCCTTAATTACTGAATTCATAATTTAGATTTGTTCAATTTTTATTTTTCATTAAATTATTTTTTTGTTGTGAACTAAATAATTTTTTTGTGTTGCAGCAAAAATGAGTCGTCAGTTTCGATTGAATAGTTTCACCCTTAACTTCTTAACTAAACTTGTAAATAAATAGATTTCGAATTGGGGAAGGGGGGGGGAGTCGATAAAATAGTTTCACCCTTAAATTCTTAACTAAACTTGTAAACGTGTAAATTGATAGATTTCAAATTGGGGAGGGGGGGTGGGGGGTCGATAATGATTTTTGATGATCTTGGGGAAAATGTAAAATTGGATATCAATCATAGGGCGAGATTTTTAAAATGTTTGAAATTTTATTTGTTAATCATCTTTCAAAACTTTTTCACTGTTAAAGGGGAAAAGGCTTGTAGAATAAAACAATATTAGAATATAATTAAATACTAGTGAAAATAAAACTTTTTTACATAATACATATTGATTTATTAAATTATGAGAAATATTTGAATTTAAAGTCAGAACATGGGTGTGATTTTTGGAGAAAAAAACTTTACTTGAAAAAAAATTTTAATTTAAATAATTTAAATATTTTTCATTTTCAATTTCTCAAAAAAAAACTGTCTTAGCATTGTCGATGAATATATGTTTGTTTTTCCTGATTAAGAATTCAAATGCTTAATGTTTTTCTTCTTGTTTAGGTAGTATTCAGGATCCTCTGAAATCAAAACTGATTCATCATTGTGATCATTGTCCATATGTTGCTGCCAGATCAGGAACTTTAAAGAGACACACGGACAGCAAGCATAAAGGGATTAGGTATCCCTGTGATCAATGTGAGTATACCGCCTCTCAAACAGGACTTCTGAAAATACACATAGCATCAAAACATGCAGGGATACGATATAATTGTGATCGATGCGAATATTCAGCAACGCGGCGGGGGGATTTGAAGAAACATTGTGAAACCAAGCATGATGGAATACGGTATCCTTGTGACACCTGTAACTATATTGCGACTCAGCCTAAATATCTAAAAAGACATAAGGAGATAAAACATGAAGGAATAAGATATCCCTGTTACCAATGTGAATACGCCGCAACTCAGATGGGAGACTTGAAGAAGCACATAGAGGTTAAACACGAGGGAATTCGTTACAATTGTGATTTATGTGAATACTCTGCAACGCGTCCAGGACAAGTTAGAAAACACAAAGAGAGCCAACATAAATTAACTTATAATTCATTTCATTTTCCTCCTTTAGAAATTACACAACTTATTTATTCAACACCGGAAGCCAGTATCATCAATGAAAACATGTAAAATTTGTATAATTATTAGTTTGATCTCTAATGTCCATGGTCAGTGATTTAAATTTTCCTAATTCCCCCCCACCACTTCTTCTAAATTTCCAATTATAGAGCTAAAGTATATTTATTTTGTGAAATTTTATTTAATTCTCGTGATATTTGTTTTTACAATTTTAGAATTTAAATGTTTAAGTTAAATCTCGAAAACCTCCCATATACGGACTGGATCCACAGTTTTATTTTTTTTAATTATAAAAATGTGGAGTGTGATAGTTGTCATATTATTTCTTGTCTTCCAAACCAGTAACCAGTAATATTAAAGATTATTGATACATCTGTCTGTAATGCAATAGCCCCCCAGCTCCTAGAGATTGTAAAATCAAAAAATCTTCCACAAAATGGAGAATCGAATATTTTAATGTAAAAAGGCTCGAATTTTTATTTTATTCTTAACATACTCAACAAACCTTATTTCAGATATCACAATAATTATTAATACCCCCCCCCCCCCCCCCACATACAACATACAAGCCTCTCTAAATTTTTTATCACAGACAAAACAATAATATAAATTTTTTACCGAATGTATATAATTCTCTTAGTTATTATGTTAATTTCTTAGTTATATAGTGTTCCAATAAACCGGATAAATAACTGAACAATGACACCTATACTTCCTTTATGGTTGATATGTCAGATTTTTAGAAATCTCCGTAATTAAACCAATGTTTTTTTCTCACAAAAATAAACATATCCAAGACGATTTATAGGTAGTTATTTCCAGGTTTTTCCAAGACGATTAGACTGTTATTCCCAGGTTTTCGGTACACTGCGAAAAACACTTCAACAAAAAATATTCTCTAACTGAGCGATTACGAAACATGGGATATGAATTAATCTTAATCTAGGAGTTTCAACTATTTCCGGATCAATTTGGTTAAAAACATTAAGAGCGGAACTTAAGGATGTCACAAAAAACCTGTATAAATATCTAAATGATTTGTTTGGAATCATATTGTATTTTTATGATCCGAGTCGAATATTGAAACTTTCTGAATTTTTATGGACGCCACATTCTTCGGTATGAGTCATTTTTAACAATTTTCTCTTTACGGACGCAACAGATAGAAAGTAAGATTATTTTTCGCCGTAAGCATATACCCCCTTTAATTTTTCGCGAACACTCTTTAATTAATCAAAGAGAATCTTTTAATTTATCGCTATAGTTAATTGATTAATTGATAGATTGGTTGATATAATTGACGTTTAATATCTATTTACAATAAAAATTATCCCGGAACCATTAAAAAGTCTTCCAACTAAATTTATTTAGAATAGTATATAGAAGGGCAATCTTCCAATTATTTTTTAGTATAGTCACTTCAGTCTTATAAATGGTAGGTGTAAACTGTAAAGTTTTTTATTTGATTTGATACAATTATGGAAAATTTTTCTTAAATATCTTGTCCAATAAAATAGCGTTCAGCATGGAAGGCAAATAGTTTTACTAGACTCTTATAAAATCACTTATTTTGTGAAATGGGTCTGTTCACACTGCACAATTGCTGCGTTTCAAGGTTATTGAACTGTTTTAAAATGAAACTTGATTCTCAAAGTCGTCCTAATATTCCAGAGTTTTTTTGGTTATTATTATATATATATATTGCATGGTGCATATATATGTTTATATATATATAACTATAAATTAATAATCAGAACAGCTTCTCAGTACTCATATTTATTAATTCAAATTGTTTCAGATCTCTCGATCCTCATCAGTCATAAACATGGTTAACGTTTATTAATTTAACATATTTTAGTTTACAACTTGTATTTTTCTCATTTTGTGATCCCCTCTTGAGGATAGAAGTAAGAAATGGATGGAAATACATATATATAAAATAAAGTGTTTATCCACCACATTGTTTTCAGAGAATTACAGAAAGAATTTAATTTGGTTTATTTGACAAACCGTCGTTGCCGTAGATATTAATACAATTTTGATTTCTAGAAACCTTTTAAACAGAGGAGACGCATCAAAATGTAAAAAATAGATACGTTTTCATTTAAAAGCTTCCTTATGTTTCTAAACTTCAAATTTGAAAAATGCTTGTAAGGGATCATGCACTAATAATAAAAAGTTTCCTTAATTGTATTAACATAATCCCCGACCACTGGAAGTATTTTGATTCCACATTTTTTGTGAATTGATCAACTTTTTATTAGTTACGTATTTTAACCAAAGGTTTTCGTCAATACCAACAAATATATATATTTCTTGGTCAATACATATCTATTGATGTTTTTAAACACAGATTTTTTACAAAATAACAAAGTAGGATTACAATATTTACAAAATAACAAAGTAGGATTACAATATTTTCAAAATCATTCTTTCAAATCTATGCGCATTGTGTTTATAGGATCTATTTGATCCGCAAAATTTTTAGTTCCTGGATTCGGACACATCAAAAAACTGCTGATAAGTTATTTTCTTAAGTCGTGCTTGGGGACAACTCCCCCTAAAGTTTGAACCATTTCAACACAATGTTAGAAATTTTAAAGCAATGTTATGACATTTTCAGATATTTATTAACGTATTTTGATTGGAAAACCACATTACAAATTATCTATATGTCTCGAGTAAATATCAATTGTTGGACGATTTGAAGGGAAGACGACATTCAAGATGAAATAACTGTTTTTGCCTTTACCCCTTAATAATACAGTTAAGAACTAAATGCGTATTTAATATACAGAGCGTCCCTTATCATATTAGATTATCTCCAAGTTTTAACGCCAAAATGAACCCATAATAATCGAAAAACCTTGCATTTTCCACAAGAAAATTCTTACAATTAGCCTTATTCAATTTTTCAAAACAGTTAATTCTTCTTAAATTTTCTGATTAGTCCCGAAATCGTAATTTAGACCGATGGACGATCTAATATGATGTGGGTATGTCAACTAATAATTTGCAATGTTTTAACATAGCTTTTTATGTCTAACTCGGAATGATTCAAGGGAAGTGTTTCAATGCAGGGAGTTGACCGAGGGGAGGAAGGTCAGCCACAACAATTTCTAGTCCGAGCCACATTCTCCTCATTATCTATTTTGCTATTCATTTTATATCGCAAAGGTTTGCCATTACGGAGGCAAAAGAGATTTAAGTTTTACCTGAATAAAGTTTGACATCATTCTCATGGCTTCAAAGATTCCAACATGATGTAATCATTGCAATACTTCAGTGTATCCATATTTTATGCCCCATCGTGGCCAGATTTTCATAAAATAGTTTTATCTTCAAGGATTAGAAACTTTAAAACACATAAAAATCGAAGGACGCGGATTTCGAGGTGGCTCGGACGAGAAAATGAGGAGAATGTGGCTCGGAAGAGAAATGGTTGTGGCTGGTCTTCCTCCCCTCGTTGAACCCATGCACTACACCTATAATAACCAGGGAGCAAGGAATATTCCTTGCTCCCTGATAATAACTAATCAGCTTTCAATGTATAAATCAAGTTTTTGTCAAGAATAAAGTGCGTTGACTAAAGACAATGTGTTTGCAACTTTTTTGTGAAAGACGTGAATCTGGATCCAGCTTTTGAGCCTTATCTATTTTTACAGAATAATTCCAGGATCCTAAATTTAAATGAAATGGAAACTAAGCCCTGCGCATGCAGTTATTAGATTTCTCTATAATAATTATGATGTATTTTGTGTCGAGTCCCATAGTAATTAGGAGAGAGCATTTCATTACAAGATTTAGAGCTGTACAAGCCAGCATTTCATTCCGAGATTTAAAGATGCCAGCCAGCATTTCATGCATTTCACTCCAAGAAGTTGTAAGCCGGCAATTCATTCCGAGATTTAGAGCTGCCAGCCAGCATTTCATTTCTAGAAGTTGTAAGCCGGCAATTCATTCCGAGATTTAAAGCTGCATATCCAGCATTTCTTCCGAGATTTAGAGATGCCAGCCAGCATTTCATTCTAAAATTTAGAGTTGCCAGCCAGCATTTCATTCTAAAATTTAGAGTTGCAAGCCGGCATTTAATTCAGATATTTAAAGCTCCCAGCCAGCATTTTATTCCAAGATCTAGAGCTGAAAGTTGGAATTTCATTCAGAGATTTAGAGCTGGAAGCCGACATTTCATTCCAAATTTAGAGCTGCAAGGTACCATTTTATTCCGAGATTTAAAGCTGTAAGCAGCATTTCATTCCGAGATTGAGAGCTGCAACTTGTAAGCCAGCATTTTATTCAGAATTTAGAACTTGCAACGATTGTCTATCGGGAAGAAAACATTTTCCTCATGATCTTCTTCCTCCTCATCCTCATCTTCCTCATCCTCTTCTTCTTCTTCTTGTTCAGTTTCACTCTTCATATTCTCTCCCATACTTGTCCTGCAACAATAGTGAAATTAGAATCAATAGAAATAATTGCTGATTAAACTTAAATTGAATTCACATAAATTTCAATAGAAAGAGATCATTCATTTAGCGTTCAGTCCAGTTTGGTTTTATACAGTCTTTGTACTGTACTACTTGCCCTGCAGACTGAAGTTGAAATTCGGCCCGGTACATGAAATGAACTGGAATGTACCGTGAGTTGAACTGACGTTTATTTGAACTGCATTTTCTGGACAAAAAAATTTCTATTAGCCTTGTTAAATTTTTCAAAATAATTCATTTTTCTTAAATTTTCTGATTTGTCCCCCAAACGGGTCTAATTTGATAAGGGACACCTTGTTTAATGATCAAGGGGACTTTTGCTCATTTAAACTTATTTTCAAGTGGTAACATTTTTTAAATTAGTTCATTTAAACTAGGGTTTCCATTCGCAAAACTTTTGTCGCAATTTTTGCGGAACAAAACGCAAAATTTTTCTTTCTTTGCGCATCAGTTTTGTGCGAAAAAACAACAATTTGCGCAATCATTCGCAAAAGTCATTTCGCGCAAAATTGCCCTATTCCGCTTTTGCGAAACTCAAGTTTTGCGCAATTCCGCAATTTCGTAAATATCAAACGGTTGGTGTCGATGTGTGTTTCTTAGAATTTAATTCTGGAAAAATCTTGTTTTGGAATGTTTTCCTATTGGTCACTTTTACATAATTGACCAATGATAGTTATGAAGAGTTCAAATCTCACAATTTTCTCGACAATTTTAGTTTTGGACATGCATATTTCCTAAAACTGGATTCTTCAGGCATTGGTTACTTTCTTGCATTATTTTATATGAGATTAAAAAGATTTCAGAAATTTGATTAAAAAAATTTAAGAATATAATTCTTATTTTATTAGGCAAAGCTTTTAAGGGTCACTTGAAATTATTTAATAGGATTAAAATATTGCCAAGTTTCACACTCTCTAATTTCTATTTTATTAATTTTGGTCCCTTAATTTAAACTTTTTGTAACTGGAAGTAACCAATTGAGTGTAGTATAATCGTTATCATACTCGTATGTTAATATTTTTTTTTGTATATGGAATAAATCTTCAGTTGTTTAATTCTAAGCT